GTTGAATAGAATAAGATAATACTACTCCAACAATGTAAAGAGTCACTCTATTTCAAGAAAAATAAAATAAATGAGTAAGAATATTGAAAAGGTTGTGATGATGTTGTTCATGGGTCTCGGAATCGCGGGATCAACCATTGAAGTGTAAACTGACCCGTACCTTGGCTTGGCAACCCGGATGGCACTCTTATGCAACCGGGTTTTGCATCCATGGCGGTCTCAACATCTCTTGGCTGATCTGATTTTTACAGATTTGAGCCTTTTTTCTACTCCCGAAATCAGTGATCTAATTCCCTGTATATGTAGATTTTTAGATACAATTTCAAACGAAATGTTAGGGTCTAGGGGGTGTGGGTGGGTTTTCTACCCTTCTTGATTTTTCCAATCAAATCCACTCCCCTTCTTCATCCCGGCTCCCAGAATTCTTTCTTTATTGATTTCAGGAGTTAGTTCTTCTACCCTTCTTGATTTCTCCGATCAAATCCACTCCCCACATCGATCTCCCGGCTCCTAAAATTCTACCTATTTGATTTTAGGAGTTGGTTCTCGGAGTTTAGATTTTGAGCTGGGATAGAAGCTGGATCTGTTGAAGGAAAGCTTTTTTGGACCCGGGTTTGTGATAATTTATCCAAAAGTTGTGACGGTTCATGAATCACAGTTTATGTTCTGAGTTTTTCTTTCTTAATTATATTTTTTTCCAGTAATTTTTTATCTACTTGGATCTGGTCGGTTAGAATAGAGAAAAAGAGGGTGAAGGAAAGAAAAGGATATTAAGGTTTTGTCTTAAATTTTTGCTAAGGTTGGTGATAAAATATAGCAAGATCAGCGCAAAAAGTTAAGTTTATTTTGTTTAGCCCTTTGTATTCTTGAGCATATTTAAGTGGTTATAGATATCATCTCAATTGCTGTTTGCATTTTACGGTTCAAGTTTAGACTAAACTGCATAATTGGTCCCTTACATTTGGTCAAATTTAAATTTTAGTCTCCCACATTAACATGTATATGGAATGAGCCTTTATATTTGATTTTGAAATTCTTTTGGTCTCTTTTCACTGTTCCGCCATGAATTCCGTCTCGACAGCCGTTAACCTAATCCTGACCAAGGGTATTTTTGGAACACCATATATAAAAGGAAAAATACGTCTTATATTATAAAATACTAAAAATTTTGTTTAGTAATAAAAAATTAAAATTAATACAACTAAAAAATAAAAAAATCAAAATTCAATTTTTTTTTACTTTTTGAAATAATAAAATAATCAATGAATATTAAGATATTATTAAATAAATTCAAAAATTTTAATGCTATTAATTTATTTCAACCTTTCAACTAACAATCAAACTGTCCCTTATCTTTTATCTTATTATCCTAATTTTCATCCCTTCAGTCCCAAATAAGAACTACCACTCTCGAAATCGCCGCCACCTACCTAATTCCCACCCCCTCCCATCTTTCCCCAAAACGAAACCACAACCATCTCTGCATCTCACCACCATCATCCCCAAAATAGCTATCACCACCACCAACTATTTCACATTAATTCCCAAAACCAACGCCACTACCTTAATTTCTCCTTTTCTCCCGCCCCAAAATAAAACCTCCAGTAACCAATTTGCCACTACCTTTCCTACCTACCATCAAAATCTCACCAAAGAAATGAACGAATTCAAAGACTACATCCCATTTGACCCATCTCACCGACCGACACCGTAAAATTTACTAAAGTTATTATGGACTCCAAATTCATCATAACTTTCTATCCATCTACAAAGGTTATGAAGGAAGATTTCCAAATCTGAACCATCTTTATTTTCGAGCGAGATGAGTTGGATGATTCCGATGAGATATTGTTTGGTCACTGTCATTGAAGTTCAAGCTAGATTTCGATGGGAAAACTTGGGATTTGAATTCGTACTAGTTGTTTCATGTTTTTGCTTTGGAATTGAGGAAGAGGAAGTACCTGCAAAACATTTGAGTCGATTAATGAAGACGGTGTAATTAGATTAGGATTTGCTAAGTAAATCTATTTAAATTAGAAGGTAAAATTGATAAAGAAATTTCTGTCATTTTTTTATTCCTAAGCAAACTTTTTAGTATTTTATTATTAATATAAAATGTATTGTTCCTTTTATATGTGGTGTTCCATAAATACCCATTGGGTTAACGGTTGTCGAGGCGGAATTCATGCCGGAGCAGTGAAAAGGGACCAAAATAGTTTCAAACTGAAATGTAAAGACTCATTCCATATACATGTTAATGTAGGGGACTAAAATTTAAATCTGACAAAATATAGGAGACCAATTATGCAGTTTAGTCTTCAAGTTTATGAATGGCAGAGATTTTATTTTATTGGAAGTCTTGTGAAAATAGTCATTTAAATCAAAAGTCATGTTGTATGCTTTACGTTTGTGATTCACGGTGGATTGGGAAAAATTTAAATTTAAGTTATGATTTTATAATGTTGGCATATGGTTTTGTGTGCTTGTGAATGTGAGTTGAACGCACTGTATATTTTTTTTTACCAAAAAAAATAGTTTTGTTATTATGGAAAATAATGAGCAAATTTTGAAAATCATAACTATTTATGATCATGTTTTGACAAAGTATTTTATCAAAAAAATTATGATTTTGGGATCCAATATTTTCTGAAGATTACTGCATTTTTTCTTTTTGTTTTGGACTAATTGAGTTCTGTTCTCCGAACGATAGAAAACTAAAAGTAAATAGACAAGAATGAGTTGCTGTTTATTTACTTGAAAATAAAAATTTTCGAAAATCATGTTTTGCCCAAGATAGAATTCAGAAAAGAAAAATGTTTTTGTTCTGAAGTCTGATTCATTCTCTAGAATGCACCGGTTTTCAATGCCGAATCTGAATTTAAACTGAAGTATGACTTTAAGATAATTCATTACTTGATATTGTTCAATTTGATATTTTGCTTTATGCAAATATTGTTAGTTTTTGTTTGAGATTGTGCAAAATATGAATATATTTGGGCAGAAAGAACTCACATTGATCAAAAAATTTTGTGATTGAAACTGAGAAAGTGATCTTTTTAAATTTGGTTCTAATCAAATTTTCGAAAGTTTGTTCCGTATCTAAGTTCAGGTCAAAAAGTTGATTAGGCCAAAATTTGAGCAGCCCAAATTTTTCTTTTTCCCGAAAGATATTTTCAAGAAGATTAAAGAATCTATAGAGCTCTGCTAATCCTTCTTTGGTGCAAGATCCTCGACCTAGGTGATAGGACTTATTTGATTGTATTATATTTTTTACTTCATCAACCTCTAAAATATTCCACAATAGTAGTAACGTTGTATTTCTTTTCTAATCTACTTGATGATTTTTAGTGTTCCTTGTAAAGCCAAATAATTAATTTGATGGCACAATCATTTGAGTAGAGTTGTTGTTACATCCATTGTGGGGTTTGTATGCTTAGTAATTTAATTAAATTGAGCCTCCTTATTCCCAGCTCGTTGAGCGTGCAACTATAGATTGGAATATTTTGAAAACATACTTATACTGAGCAAAATTATGACGTCCCGCAAGCGTGGCTTTAGGTTCCGCTAGTTTTTTTATGAAAAAAAAAAAATATATATATATATATAGACTCACTTGAATGACGAAAATACCCCTAGCTGCAAATGTAGATTTTGACGACAAACCAACGAACGAAATGCTGTAGTTTGGGTCTTTCCATGGTATATATAGCAGTAGATAAATAAGAAAAAGGATTTTTGTAGGTATTATAGTTTTGTAAATTATAAAGTATTTTCGAGATCATATATAATTAAAATGCTTAAATTTGAACCTTATTCATATTTATTATTCTTTAGAATTTAAGATTTAAGAATTTCTTTAGCGGTTAGAGCCTAACGATGCAATCTGAATATATTTTTTGATAGGTTTAGACCGTTGAAATTTTAGCGTGTCAACCTCATATTTTTATATGTCTACCATATAAGTTTCGAATGTTGATTCGACTTTATAAATTTTGACGAATTTGCTATAATTTTAATGTGTCTGTTGTATAATTTAGAAGTTTTGGCCATATAATTTGAATGTGTATATTATTTATTTATTTTTTCTTTTTTTGTGGTTTTGATATATATATATATATACATATATATGTCCCATCTAGTTTTGATATGCCTCCCATATCATTTTGATGTAAATTTCTTTTTTTAAAAATATAAAAATTTGATGATTTTACCTTATAATTTTTATGTCACTTATCTGATAATTTTGGTGTAAATTTTGATATGCATTTCTTAGAATATCTCTAATCAAGACACCAAAACACTAAATTTGGTGTTTTAATGTAAATCACTGCACTATTTTGGTGCAATGAATAGTGTTACATCAGATTTGGTGTAAACTGTCCATTATACTATTTTTAGTGCATTATCTTTTTACTTTGATCTAAATATATGTTTGTTATGTAATAGAACTTGTAAAACGAATTATGTTGTGAAAATTACATCATATTAAATATTTTGTTGAGATCTTCAAAATAAGACACATATTGAATATTACTTATTTTTTAAAAAAATTAATTTTTAGTTATTATTAAAATTGAATATGAAAAAAATTGGAAAAAAAATTGATACTACTACAATAAAATAAAAAGCGATTATAAGAAACAAATTTCACAAAATTATCATCAAATTATAAGATTTTAATTAGCCACAAAATAAAATTTAACCGAAAACATTAAATATTTAAACCATTTGGTGCATCAAGGTTAGAGAGCAAGAACTTTGGTGTAAAAAGATTTTTAGAATATTTTATTTTTACATTAAATTTGGTGCAAATGATAGTGGAATGGTTGAGGATGCTCTTAAATCAACGATCTAAATTAGTGATATAATTCTTGTAGTGGACCTCTTTCCGACAAGCCCAATATCATGTATAAGAAGCCCATCTTTTGGATTTGGTGTTACTCAATGGCCAACATTAAAAAGCCCATTGAGCCACGTGCAGATCTTCAGAGGAGGGAAACTATAGGCTTTTGGGTAAGCCGGTTAGCTCGCTTTTCTCTCGTACAGCAATTGTTTTATGTTTTTCCGGGATTAAGATAAACATTGGAAGAAGTGACAAATTTCACTTTCAGGGCGTGATCTCCGACTGACATGGCGGAAATCAGGAGCGTCGGTGTGGTTGGAGCCGGTCAGATGGGCTCCGGGATTGCCCAGCTGGCCGCCGTTAATGGCGTCGACGTCTGGCTTCATGATACTGATGCTGAAGTTCTCGGGAGAGCCCAGACTTCCATTTCGAAAAATATCCAGCGTCAAGTCTCGAAAGGAAGCATTTCCCAGGTCACAATTCTTATACTTTTTCTTTCTTTCTACACTTTTGGAAACCCCAAGTTGCATTTTTTTGAGTCGGGGTTGAAGAAAGTTCGAATCTTGATCATTCTGAACTAAATAAAGAAAGTATTATTAGGTAGAAGACGGTTGACTTTATCGTTTTTTTCCTTTAAAAGTTAAGTTAATTCGGGATAAAACTCCTGTTGATTATAGATTATCTGTGGTTCTGCTGTACATCTATTAACTCGTGTGGAAGAAATAAATTAAGCAGTACTTACTTTTTTCTTGAATCAAGGTCTTCATTATCATGAGTCTAGTTGGAGTTGCACTGTTCTATCAGCAGTTTTTTCTTAATTGGAAATTGATTAAGGTAAATTCTCTAACTCTGTAACCCGATTTGATGTTTTGCTCCATTCCTTCTTATGGTCTTTTAACAGGATAATGGTGCCGATGCTATTAGGCGTTTGAAGTTTACTACCAAGTTGAGTGATTTTCATTCTGTTGATTTGGTGATTGAGGCTATTGTGGAGTCAGAGGATGTGAAAAAAGGTGTTTTTGCTCAATTGGAGAAAATTGTGAAAAGCTCTACCATCCTGGCATCCAATACCAGTTCCATCTCCATTACTCGTTTAGCCACAGCAACTAGTCGGCCGGGCCAGGTCCCTTGAACAATTTCTGATGCCTAGATTGAATTTTGGGGTTGAATCTTCTTTCTATGAGTTTGGATTCTCAATACTGGTTTACTACCTTCTTACTGTGTGTGGGGCCATCAGTTGGGGATATGTCTTTGCATAATTACAGTGTGGTACATGAGCTCTAAGAGCGAGGGAGTGGAATGCTGTGTTAATATGGTTTGATTCTTGGGAATTGAGTTTTGGAATGAAACCTTGATTTGCTGCAATAAACCAAACCCCATAACCTGGTATAGTTTTGATTCGATCATTGTGTATTTAGTATGCAATTTCGGGTCCAAAGCAATTGTTCTCTGTTAGTTTTACCGACACATCATAGTGTTGAGATTGGTTATATCTGTTTGAGTATGTGCATTACTTGAAACAGTGAAGTTTATGCCTTTTTTAGCTGCCGTTAGTTAACTCTATGATGTGCAGGTAATTGGTATGCATTTCATGAACCCTCCACCAATCATGAAACTAGTGGAGATCATTAGAGGGGCAGATACATCTGACCAAACGTATGATGCTGTTAGATGCTTGGCTGAAAGGTACATATTTTGAAACATTTAATGGTGTAATTGTAGCACTAGTTCCTGTTTTACATTATCTCTTAGTGAAACCTTAGTATTTATCTGTCTGTGCCCTTTTGCATATGAAATTCTACAATTCATCATGCAATTTATAGTTGTGGGCTCTGGATTTTACAGGTGGGGAAAGACAGTAATTTTTTCCAATGACTATCCTGGCTTCATTGTGAACCGCATTTTGATGCCAATGATAAATGAAGCATTCCACACACTTCATACGGGAGTCGCCACTAAGGAAGACATTGATACAGGAATGAAACTGGGTACTGGCCATCCAATGGGTCCTCTAGAACTCGCTGATTTCATTGGACTTGATGTTTGCTTGTCAATATTGAAAGTCCTTCACGCTGGCCTTGGGGACAATAGATATGCCCCTTGCCCTCTTCTTGTGCAGTATGTGGATGCCGGTCGACTTGGCAGGAAACGTGGTATTGGGGTCTACAACTATAGTACAGGACCCAAGGAGATAAAACCAGTGGCTCAACTTTAACTCTGTTGAAGTGTGGTAACTTGAAGGCATCTCAAAATAATTGTCATTGCCCCATAATTTGTCATGATAGCATGAGCTTCCGTAGTTCTGAAGGTATGATTATTCTGTATGTAGATACTTCCACACTTAAGTTCAATAATCTCGCTGTAATGTACCCTTAGAAATGTGAAGTACACAGGATCAATGTACTTATGCAGAGATGGAGAAGAAAAGCGATTCCGCAAACTTATATATAGTAGATATTTGGTGTGAAACAAAATGTTTGAGCCCTCACCGCTAATCTACCAAATTTACCAGTCTTCTCTTAGTATGCAACTGTTGTTAGTCAATCAAATAGGGATCCAATCACTGTATGTGCTCTATTTTAGCTTTAATTGTCATGCTCCTTGGGTACTATATTATTAAGATAGCCCCTCAATAATATGATGCTTTTCTCGATTGTGCTTGCCAGTTGCCTCTAAAGTCTAGCCAAACCTAAATTTCTTATATGCTGTTGAATGCACCAGAAAAAGTAGCCCATGCTTTTCAATGTTTATGGCCTAGCAAGGCCCACAAAAGTTCCCTGTTCTGGTTAGGATATTCATAATTCATCCAATTCTGAATGTCTCAATCACACTTTCCACTCCCTAGCTGTCTTCTCTATAGCCATGTGGGATGGTGAGAGTGAGTGAAAAGGAATCCAAAGGACGGAAAATGATGCCATTCTCTTTCTCTTAAAAGAGGACTGAAAGAAAACCAGGACAAAAAGGAAGAGGGGCTTTTGTTTATTTGAGTGGCAATCTGCACCTCATATGAGATTTTAGTGGGGAGGAAGAACGAAAGAAAGAAGGGAAGTTATGAAGTTCTTGTTTCAGTGCCCATGTTGCTCGTGTTTCTGCTTCATGAAGCCTAAGAAAGGGAAACCAAAGGTGAAAGATTCCAAGGCAGAGGTGAAGGAAGCGGCTAAGGAGGAAGTGAAGGAAGCAAAAGCAGAGTAATTAAGCGCCAATTGAGTAAAAACATTCTTTCTTTTGTCTCTACATTTTGGTTTCTTGGTTGCGCATTGTTAGTAGAAACCCGCAATTCTATGTGCTTCTAATCATGTATTGAGTGGTAAGATTCTGCCTGGATGCTTTTAGATGATTTAAGGGGATGAACTTCCTTTGAATGTTGAAGGAATGGTAATAAAATGTCACATGTAAGCAATTTGACATTCTAATTAATGCAAGTATTCTGCTATCCTCTTTTATTAGTATGATTGGTTAGAAATGGTTCTCTCCTTGAGGTTGAGGGCCCTCTTCTCGGTTCTCTATCGCCTCTACTGAATGCAGTAGATGATGATTCTATTATCTCAAATGGGCCGCGAACGGCAAGAGTTAGGGTTGATTAGATTCACGTTCTTATGGAGACTCTGCATTTCTTTTTCTTTTACGGAGTCATATTATGGTTGAGCATGACGAAGACATTTCTCGACGAGGATTAAGTCAAACCAAGAATATGTGTACTGTATTTGCTAGACTCTATTTTAACTTACAAATGGTTTGTCTTTGAGGAACAATTCACCGGAAAGTGCATAAGATCTTACCTGAATGGCTGAATTCGATCCTCAATTTTTTTATTTTTTGGGTAGAAATCGATCCTCAAATTACTTTATAAGTTTGTAATGTTAGCTACTTATGTAGAGTGAAGACGGAAGCAGTCAGTTTTTGCCAAGCGACCAGTGTTTCCAAAAATCCTTGTGAAATCTGATTCCCAAAATAGCGATTGACAAGGGCAATGTAAATATATTTGTAGCGAAAATAATTTTTGTGCCGATACTCTAACATAATAGGAGGCATCAGACTTCTTGTACGGAGATCTATATTTCTTTGATATAGTCCAAAATATAAACATCTGCTTCTAGACTCTAGAGCACTAGAGCATGACTAAGTCGAATGTGAATTATGTAACAATCGACGCTATTAAAGCAGTTAGCTTTAAGTAATGAATTGATGTATGTAACCAAACGGGCAGGATCATTAGTCAAAGGGCGCCTTGCATAATCCTGAATCCTAACATTTACCCATCAGCAAACTCTGTGTTCATTTCGGATACATTTTTTTTTAGGGTAAACGGATGCATACGTGCTAGAAACAAGAAAGGTTAGCTAAATTACATTGCCCATCATGAGTTCGTTCCATAAATTTGTTCATATGAGAGGAAATACCATTTTTTAATTCCCCAAGAGTGCATGCCAATGCTGCAAAATATAAAATATTCACTTTGTTTCGAAATTATTTTTCACTTTGAAACAGTAAATGTCACGAAATTAACTATTCTCTGAAGACGTTTCGCTTTCACCCAATATCTATGATCTATCTAGCTATTTCTTGGGCCATCATCATTTGTTCTCGGGCTCTCTTTTTTTTTGGATTTTTTTCTGGATCCATTTCAAATGGTCCGATAGAAATTGGTCTGGTGAGACTTTCCGATCTCTAATTCCGGCACATTTAAGATTTTGGAGATTGCAAGATCTACATTGGGCAAGATTGGATTTTGTTAAATCCATATGTATCTTTCATCCTTGATTGGCTTATGACATCAGCATTTATTATGAGGCGTCTTTGGTCCTGTTAGTTTAGGCGTAGAATAGGAACAGACTCAATCAATAAATGTGAGTGGTCTTAGAATCCAAGTTTTATTTTGCTTCTCCATATGATATGAATATGATAACTAGTTTCCAATATAAGAGTCTGGTGATTAACATTCTCTCAAGTCTTAGCCCCTTTAAATAATCGTTAACCTTCTCTTCAGTTTTGTCAACAAGAATTGTTGTAACTTTCCTCCCTGATTGGCTTATCGCATTATATCATGTCGGGGTTTTTCGTCCGTCTCATTTTGGACACGAAAACTGGAAAGTAACAACGACTAGTATTAGAAAGCAACTTTTTGGGTATGACAATCACGAATATCATAATCAAAGTGATTGTACTGGATGGAAGGGACTTCTTCACTCTTAACCATAGGTCGAGAGTTCGAAATTCAAACCTCGCTACAGGCATGAAATAACCTTAAATACTTTGGCCAGCTGTCACACCCATCGAGATGCTTACAATTCAGCGAAAGAGATTAGTTACTGCCCCAAATTATTGTCCAATTTGGATTTTCATTTTTAGTACAAATAATTGAACTAATAATGAAAATTTAATACTAATATAATAATTTTAAGACATAGAGTGTACTGTCTAAGATCTCACTTTCATGAATTATCAAGTATTAATATATTTTCTTTATTCAAAATGATTGTTCAGTTTAAATTTTTATTTTTAATATCTGGACTATCTTTCCGGACGTAAAGAATAATAAATTATAACCATCAAACTCACTCTCCAACAACACTGATAGGTCAATCCATATATATAGAGCGACACATAATAGATCACCAGATCATCCAAAAGAGGGTTGGAAATTCAGAAGAGAAAAAAAAAGGTGCAAGCCTGAAAAAGGGCCTATAAATCTGAGCTGAAGAAGCAGCTCATCAAGAAAATGGCCTCAAAAAAGAGCGGTTCAGAGTCAGATGGGGCTAATAGGCCGTTGCTAGTACAAGTAGTTCATGAAGCCGAAGGAGCTGATCCGCAGCAGCAGCATCAACAATGGTGGAATCAGATATTGGACGTGGGAGAAGCCAAGAATCAGATACTGTTTTCGTTGCCGATGATTCTAACTAATGTTTCATACTATTCCATCCCTCTTATCTCCGTCATGTTTGCCGGCCATCTGGGAGAACTTCAACTCGCCGCCTCTAACCTCGCCAATTCTTGGTGTGCCGTCACCGGCCTAGCTTTCATGGTATATATTCCACTTCTTCCCTTTCCTTCAACAAAATAAGTTGCTTAAACATATAGTGGATTACAAGTCATTAGTATTCCAACCATTCGAAAATGATTGTCAAATTTTGATTCTTATTTCACTGGACAATCAGTTTGGGACGAAAAAAGTATTATTTCGGAAAATGATGCAAATCAAACTTAAATTCGTTCGGAAGTTTTATTCATTCATTGATTTGATTTTCAACGAAAAGATGCCACTTTTATTGACTTGGAATACCTACGAATTAGTTTCAACAAACCTACACTTCAGCATGTTGTATTGTTGTTGTTCGAGTCATTTATTAATGTTCACAATTCCGGTTGCCTCGCCTTATTTGCTGAGATTAATCAAGCGTCATGTGGACCTCTTCTTATTGAAACGTTATTCTGCAAGCCCACATGATGAAATATGCACAGTATTTCTTAGCCGTACGTTATTTTTTTATATTTTCTTCTTTTCTGTGTTTAAAACTGTTGCAAGAAGAAACGATGTAGATGAGATCCAAAGTTTTAGGATAACAATAAAACAATAATTGAACAGAGAGACGTGCGGTTTTTGTCCTTTATTTATTTATTTATTTTTTTTTTGAGGGCAGCCCCATCAGCACTCCGTTTCTCTCTGCTCTGTCACTCCTCCGTTGACTAACCAGTAATCGATCAGCCCTCACTTTCGTAGTTGCGTCGTTTCCTGCAAAAATTTCGTCCGAAAACAAAAATGAAAATTGGGATCATGACAACGGCAAGCCCCATCTTATTAATGAATTTGCATGTTAGAAACAATATAAAATAATAAAAAATGAAAACTGTCAGAAAATTAAACTGAACTAGTAATTGGCACTGAATTTGACTGTAATTTTTGTACTGTTTGAATAATTGGCACAGGTGGGATTAAGTGGTGCACTTGAAACATTATGTGGACAAGGCTATGGAGCAAAATTATACAGAACGTTGGGGATTTATCTGCAATCATCCTGCATTATCTCATTCATCTTTGCAATTTTCATCTCAATTCTCTGGTGGTTTTCTGATACAATCCTGATATTCTTACACCAAGATCCTCAAATCGCGAAACACGCCGGACTGTACTTGAAGTTTCTGATTCCGGGTTTGTTTGCGTATGGAATTCTTCAAAACATTTTGAGGTTTCTTCAGACACAATCTGTTGTTGCACCATTAGTTGTCTGCTCTGTTTTGCCTTTGATCATACACATTGGGATCACATATGTTTTGGTCAAATGCACGGCTCTTGGTTTTCGTGGCGCCGCATTGGCGGCCTCGATTTCTTTGTGGATTTCGGTTCTCATGTTGGGATGTTACGTTCTTCTTGCTCGTAAATTTAAGGATACTTGGGATGGATTTTCTATGGAGTCGTTTGATTATGTTCCTGTCACCTTCAAGCTTGCTCTGCCATGTGCTGCAATGGTTTGGTTAGTAATTTTTTGGTAACATTTTCAGGTTTCTCTTTTTCCAACCAATTAGATAATAACAAGTATACTTAATTTGACAGCTTGGAATACTGGGCATTTGAGCTTCTTGTACTATTAGCTGGCCTAATGCCAAATCCAGAAATAACTACTTCACTGATTGCAATCTGGTAAATTCAGCAAGCTTTATTCTTCAATAGTTTCTCACAGCTTAATATTTCTACTATCCCGAAATGATCGTTGTATTTACAACAAAGAGGACCATCATTTTGATACAAAAGTCTATAATATATGCTTTGGACCATTATTTGCTGACTCAACTTTCATGTGATCTTTTGGTCAGCGTTAATACCGAAGCTATTGCCTATATGATTGCTTATGGCCTCAGTGCAGCTGCTAGGTAAGATAAATTAGAGTATTTGATTTTATCTATTTATCATTTATTATTATTAGTATTTTTTTTTTGGGGGGTGTGGATTTCCTCCTAGTAGTGAGTGAATCGCCTGCATGCATATCTAGTCCCTCGACATGGTTCACAATTTGATTCGATTATTCATCTTAGAAAGTTTCAAACATGGTTTCTGAATTTTCACTATTATTTTAATCAAGCACAATCAGCTCACCAAGTCAAAAATAATTAGGTCTTCAGTTAGAGTCGCGCCCGCTAGTGCATCCGTTTTGAGCCTTCGGGTTCAGTTGCTTTCATCAGATCAAAACTCTGAAATTTGATAAATGATTTAGAACTTTTTTTTTTTTTTGGTAGTGGGAACTAACGCGAATTGATACACATTTATGGACAATTTAAATGTTCATTTTTTTGGAAGGAAAAAAAAAACAACACTTATTTACTAATTACACTGACAATGTTGATGATGGATCGCATGCAGCACCAGGGTATCAAACGAGTTGGGAGCAGGAAACCCTGAGAAAGCAAAGCACGCAATGAAAGTAACACTGAAGCTATGTGTTGTTCTTGGAGTCATTGTGGTTTCAACGCTTGCATTTGGTCACGATATCTGGGCTGGCTTCTTCAGTGATAGCCACGTGATCATTGCCAAATTTGCATCAATGACTCCTTTCCTTATGATCTCCATTTTCATTGATTTCGTCCAAGGAATTTTATCTGGTTAATTCCCCTTCTCCTCATCTGTAGTTCTTCTGCTTCAATTTCTTTCAAACCCAGAATTTCAATTTTGCTAACCATAGAAAAAAACCTATCACATTTTCTTTGATTCAGGTGTGACCAGAGGCTGTGGTTGGCAGCATTTGGCAGTGGTCATTAACTTGGGAACGTTTTACTTCATTGGAATGACCATTGCGGGACTCCTCGGTTTCAAATTCCAACTCTATGCTAAGGTAAAATTTAATAACCAGAAATTATTCTATGCATTTGTTATATTCGCATTTCAATCATTAGTATTCTAGTAATACTAATATATATATTTGATCTTCTTTCCTTTCCACAGGGCTTATGGATGGGTTTAATTTGTGGGCTGTTCTGCCAAACTTGTGGGTTGTTGTTACTTGCCGTGTTTACAAAATGGGTTAGATTGGATCTCTCTCCAGGCAACAAAGAGGCAACTTCGGCATGAGTGCCTATGATTAGAGTTTGACATGGTGTAAAAAGGAATAGCTTTTAATTTTTAGCCATAATCAAAGATGAAATGATTTTTTTGGATCAATATTTTACTTCAATCCCACTATTCATGTAACCAGCTTTTACAATTTTTTTTACCTTCTTGTCACAACTTTTTAATATACTTCTAATGAATGAGATTGGGGAAAAGAAATCTATTTGTCGCAACAAAATCGTTCAATTATTTGTTACACAATTCTAATTTTAATGTATACAATTATTTTATTGGGACGAATAGATTATCAATTTTTTGAGGCAGACATGGACAGTGTTGTTTATTCTTCTCTGGTATCGCAATAATTTAATTGGTAGAAGTTTGTTCGTTGTCAACGTCCTCTTAGTATCAAGCGTGAGGAAGGTGCAAGTGTACAAGAGGGAATTAATATTCACAATCCTGGCTCTATCCCTATCCTTATGTTGCATGCATTATTGAGATTAATAATTATTCTTTTATCTTTAAACAATTCGTAAACAAAATCTGACCGTCACAAAAAAAAGCAGCCATATTTGCGTCTTCAATCTTGGTAGGTGTATGCGACAGCCAGACGGAGTCACGATCTCGATTTTCCTCGTGCACTTGCAAAAATTATTGTAATAGTACGTTGCTAATTTTAGTCAAACATTTTGGAATTTGGGAGTCCTGGAACCCAACAAAATCGGAACAATGCATTAAACGCTACAACTTACTCACAATACTTGCCAATATATGTGTTTTTGTTAAAAGTGCATTATCTGTTCTGCATCGACACCGCTGAAAAAAAGTAATCAATTCTAAAGGTCACTACACTCTTTGAAACGGGAGCACAAAGTACTTATATACTTTGACAGTTTTTTTTCAGATACACTAGCACAACAAGAAAGGCGTGGCACCCATTCTTTTGATTAAGAAGGGGAAAGGGAGAGAATAGAGAGAACTAGAACCGGAAGTCTTCAACCGATAAAGAAAAAGAAATGGCATCAGAATGTGGTTATCCAGAGACCATTACTATTCCATTGTTAGGATTACCCGAAGGAGAATTAGCAGCGACAGAGCAAAAATGGTGGAACAAGATATTAGATTTGAAAGAAGCAAAGAACCAGCTGATTCTGCTGTCAATTCCATTAAGCCTCACCAGCCTTTCACATTACTTGATCCCTTTAGTATCTGTCATGTTTGCTGGCCACCTTGGAGAGCTTCAGCTTGCTGGAGCTACTCTTGCTAATTCCTGGGCCGTCGCTACCGGTTGGGCATTTGCGGTACGCTTAAAATTTCTTCTCTGTTTTTTCCCTTTTGTTCATAAAACTGAAAGCATTCTGTTTGTTCTTTGTGGAACTAAAATATTTCTTTTTGTTTTTCAAATAGGTTGGCCTAAGTGGTGGACTAGAAACATTGTGTGGCCAAGGATATGGCGCGAAGTTACACGGGATATTAGGGATGTATCTTCAAGCATCTTGCATGATCTCGTTCTTCTTCTGCATCCTGCTTTCAACTGTTTGGTTTACTCTCAAATGATTCTTACTTTGTTTGCATCAAGATCCTCAGATTGCAAAATCAGCCGGTCTTTATTTGAAGTTCCTGATCCCGGGATTGTTTGCTTATAGTCTTCTGCAGAACATTTTGAGGTTTCTGCGAGCTCAATCTGTGGTTCTGCCACTGGTTGTTTGCTCTGTTTTTCCCCTGCTGATTCACATTCCCTTAGCCTACGGTTTAGTTCATTGGACCAATCTTGGTTATTGCGGCCCAGCATTGGCTGCCTCCATTTCGATTTGGATATCAGCCCTGATGTTGATCTTTTATGTTGGGAGAAGTGACAATTTCAAGCAAACTTGGGTTGGACTTTCAAAGGAATCACTCAAATATATCCCTCAGACCTTACAACTTGCCTTGCCTAGTGCTGCTATGCTATGGTATGGTCAGTATTATTACTAAAAGAGTAAACCTCAAAACAAGTAACCAACCTTTAATATATTTCTACTCTAGGTCATCAATTAAATTTATATTTCTACTCTAGGTTATCAATTAAATTTATTTGTAACACAAGTTACCTTACTAAAGTTTTAATCCATTTCAGATTATTCTGTTAATTTTGGCCGTTAAATAGAGACGGAAATTTATTTTTCACATGTTTTTGAGTTCAGGGATATTTTTGTCATTTTTTTTATTTTTTTTAATCTTTTAAATTCTTATTTTTTTTTTTACAATTCTTCTTCTTATACTTCCTAACTTATATATACTGGTAGTATAATTCTAAATTTTAAAAATTTATTTTTCTTTTGTATTTTAACTTCTAAATTATAAAATTTTTTTTAAAAAAATTTAGAAATGAAGAAGAAAAATTCGAGTTAAAGTAAACATGAAAATAAATAATTTACCATTTAAAAAAAACAAAAATTAAAATAATTAGCTAAGACAAGTTGTTTCTTCTAGGTTATTTAATTTTTTTCAACTCCATTGAATTATTTAATTATTAATTTTCACGTTACTTATTCTTTTTTTTTTAATAATCTATAAGTTAATATACAAATGACAAATTAATTTTCAAAAATGAATTTGTTTGTCATTTGTATCTTAACTTCTAGATTATAAAAAAAAGGAATAAGAAACGTGAAAATTAATAATTAAATAATTTAATCGAGTTGAAAAAAATTAAATAACCTAGAAAAAACAACTTGTCTTAGCTAATTCTTTTAGTTTTTCTTTTTTTTTTAAATGGTAAATTATTAATTTTCATGTATACTTTAACTCGATGTTTTCTTCTTCATTTCTTAAATTGTTTAAAAAAAATTTTATAATCTAGAAGTTAAAATACAAAAGGAAAATAAATTTTTAAAATTTAGAATTATACTACCAATGTATACAAGTTAAGAAGTATAAGAAGAAGAATTGTAAAAAAAATTTAAAAAAAATAATAAAATGACAAAAATATCCTTGAACCCAAAAGCATGTAAAAATGGATTTCCGCCACTATTTAACGGCCAAAATTAACAGAATAATCTGAAATGGATTAAAACTTTAGTAAGGTAACCTGTGTTACAAATAAATTTAATTGATGACCTAGAGTGGAAATATATTAAAGATTGATGACTTGTTTTGAGGTTCACTGTTACTAAAAATCACAGAATATAGATTAAGGTGTGTTTAAAATCACATCTAAATGTGCTTAAATGTTATCATTGTTTGATTTGCAGTTTGGAATAGGCTCCTTGTGCTAATAGCCGGGCTAATGCCGAGTCCAAAGATATCCACTTCACTGATTGGCGATTGCAATGTGGTATAGTATTTATCGTATTCTCTTTGCTTCACATGTTCCTTTACCACTAACCTCTAAAATGTCTTGTTTAACCAAACTAATGTGAGTTTGAACTTTGAATCTCCTCAGCGAAAACACTGAAGCCACCGCCTACATGATTCCGTATGGTCTTATCGCAAGTGCCAGGTAGTGTTTTTTCGGGACAATAGAGTACAATACATTTTAAATGTTATTGTATGTTTTTTTCACTAAAATGACCATATATGGTTTGCACTTTTGCAGCACTAGGGTGTCAAATGAGTTGGGCGCTGGAAATCCTACAAAAGCTAAGAAGGCTATGATAGTATCCATCAAGCTTTGTGCTCTTCTTACTTTAGCTATGGCTTTGGATTTAAGTTTTGGTCAGAATACATGGGCAAGTTTGTTTACAGACAGCCCTATCATAATGCAACAATTCGCTTCAGTGACACCGTTGCTTATAGCCTCCATTGTTATTGATATTGGATGCCAAGGAGTTTTATCAGGTTTCTTTTCTCCCCTATATTTTCTTCCTCCAAATTTAATGACTTGAAAAAACATAAGAATTGGATAAAGAATTCCTTATGCATTCCTGTTGTTGTTTCGGTGCGGCAAGAGGATGTGGTCGGCATAATTTGGCTGTGATAACTAATTTGACTGCGTATTACTTCGTTGGAATGACAACTGCAATTCTACTCGCTTTCAAGCTCCAACTTTATGCCAAGGTAAATTAAGAAGGATATTAGATGGTTGTGTATAATTTTTTTTTGCTTCAGTTGTAAAATTTTTTTGGTTCTGTATAATTCAAAATGTGAAAATGTTTATCAGAAATTAAAGTTGGAGAACAAGAAGTCAAAAGTCAAATGACGAAACAAACAAGGCTTTAGTTACTTTTCTCTAAAGCTTATATATGCAATTTTTTTTTTAATGAAAAAATTGACCAAAACCATTAGAAAAAGAAAATGCCTTGGTTATGAATATTTAATACTATTATTCTTAAAAAAAAAGAGAAGAAAATGCCTCGGTTCTGATGCGATTTTTTTTGGTGATGAATGTAATGTTAGCAGGGATTATGGATGGGCTTAATATGTGGTCTATACTGCCAAGCTTGTGGACTTTTGTTGCTTACAGTATTCACGAAATGGACCAAAAAGTATTCCTTCCGTCCCAAAATTATTATTCACTTTGAGTTTTTATTTCTAGTACAAATCAAATTATACTAAAAGTGAGAACCCAACGGGACAAGAGTGAGTAGAACTCACTGGCAGTGAAATAAGTCGAGATTGGAATGTGGGAAAGAGAAATTTTACATTTCTTTTCCAGAAAGTTACAAAAGGTTTGATGTTGTGAATAATAACTCTATAATAATAATAATCCGTCCGTCTGATTCTGAGGTTCTGAGCCAAGAAGCGATACTTATTTTAACGAGCGGTCTACAAAAAGTTTACCGGTAACCGACTAAGCCGGCTCAATTACCGGGAATTCCAGCGTCTATATAAAAAAAAACATAAACTAAAAAAAAAATCAAGAAAAGAGGATAAAACCAACGAATTAAGAAAAGGAATAACAATGGCAACAGCTGCGTCTACCATCGTTTCAGTGCAGCAGTCACTGTCCAAGTTCAATCATCATCGAACCTTTATTACAGAACCTTCTACAAGAATCAACGGGACTAATCATATCGAGAACCGCCGGACTCGGAGCGGTGGCCGCTTGAGGAGGTTCGGCGGAGCGGTGCGTTGTGAAGTGGCAGCGGAAGTTGGGACGGCAGAAGCGCAAAAGAGACAGACGACAGTGAGAAATGGTAACGATTCGCTGGAGATATGCAGGGTACTGAATGGAATGTGGCAGACAAGCGGCGGATGGGGAAGAATCGACCGGGACGACGCCGTTCAGGCGATGCTGGAATATACCGACGCCGGTCTCACAACATTTGACATGGCCGACCACTGTAAGTTCGCTTATCTAAATTACGTTTTTACCCTTCTGCAGCTCTCTAATTTTTTTTTTTTGGGCCTCTTATCAGTTTTCATTCTAATTTTTGTTCTTGCTGGTGGAAATTGTATTAACAAGCTTTCAACGCTTCTTTTCGGTTTTTCGTTTCACAAAAATAAATTAATTAAGTATTACACATGGATGGGGGTACAAATGTAATTCACCTTATACCATTCCGTTTACATATCTTCCTAAGAGCGTTCTGGAATTATTATCCATCACTCATCGAGGATTTCTTCCTGTCATACTTTCAAATGGCCAGCCTTTTACAGAGTCAATTTAGCATTACCCCAGTAAAGATCAATTCTCTTAGACTGAATGAAACAAGAAGATGGATTTCAAGCTCAGTACAGTGTTTGTTAACAGAAGATGAGAAGAGGGCTGTGGTCAAAAATGGGAAAGATTCATTAGAAATTTGCAGGGTAGTTAATGGAATGTGGCAAACTAGTGGTGGTTGGGGAAAAATCGATCGAGATGATGCAGTTGATGCAATGCTTCAGTATACTGATGCTGGATTCAATACTTTTGATATGGCTGATATATGTAAACATCTTATGTACTTTTTTGCCTTGATGATTTACTTCATGATTATATTAAGTTTTTCTGTGCCATCAATCATTGTAGAAATGGTCACTAGCATCCGGAGTTTCTAGGCACCCTCATGCTATGTATTATTGGATCATAGTTATTCACATGGTTCAATCATACAGATTTTATTGGTCTTTCTGGTTGCTTAAAAGATGTCGTGTTACAGATGGACCAGCTGAAGATCTTTATGGGATCTTTATTAATAGAGTACGTCGAGAGCGTCCGCCTGAGGTTCTGGATAGTGTTAGAGGGTAAGATGCAGTAATCTAATTCGTACAACGCTTTTTTATACTTTTAGTGCGGTATAGGAGAATCCCCGGATATAGATTGGCTGAAATGTTTGATGACAAATAGTCCGTTTGTTGTTAACTCAGCCTAACAAAGTGGGTGCCTCCACCAGTGAAGATGACGGGTAGCTTCGTCCGTGAGAGCATTGATGTTTCTCGGAGGAGGATGGATGTGGCTTCCTTGGATATGCTTCAATTTCACTGGTATTAATTTTACCTCTTGATTCTTTGTTCAGCTTAAAGATTTTGTTCACTACTGCAATGCTAGACGGTTATTGACATGTAGATAGTAAAAGATGAGAAAGTAAAAGATGATACCTCATATTTGTTCTTGTGCCCCCCCCCCCCTTTGTGTTGCTAAATTTTGTTGCTTTCTGAACCAGGTGGGATTACTCTAACTCCGGCTACCTTGATGCTCTAAAGCACCTTACAGACCTTAAAGAAGAAGGTTAGGGTCAACTCATGAGCCATGCATTATGTCCATGTCAGAAAATTTTGATGATTAGAATGGAGTAATTCAGGGATCTGCATGCAGGGAAGATTAAGACTGTTGCATTAACAAACTTTGACACGGCGAGATTGCAGAAAATTATTGAGAATGGTATACCAGTTGTCAGCAATCAGGTACAATGTTGAAAATGCACATCTTCTTGTTTGTATATCTTGATTCTATATAGTATCGTTTCTTTTCTGATGCCCTGAAGATGAAGACCGTTCTTTCTTCAGGTACAGCATTCAGTTGTTGACATGCGTCCTCAGCAGAAAATGGCAGAGCTTTGCCAGCTTACAGGGGTGAAACTTATAACGTATATATCTTTATCTCTCTCTCTCTCTCTCTCTCACACACACACACACAAAAAAAATATCTCAACCAGCTTCTGTCGAATTGGGCTCAAGAATTTAGGCTTTACCATGTTCAATTACATCATTTTCCTATTCCACTTCTTATTATAACTCTTATCTCCAGGTATGGAACAGTCATGGGTGGCCTATTGTCTGAGAAGTTTCTTGACACTAATCTAGCAATCCCTTTTGCTGGTCCTCCATTGAACACGCCATCCCTGCAGAAGTACAAACGGGTAGGTCATCTATTAGTTCAATTTCAACAGTGCCTCTTTTACTGCTTTTTTAATTATTCCTTTATTTTTTATTTCCAAACTGTGTCTTTTCCATCTTAATGTTGCTATTTGTAAATAATGTAGATGGTTGACGCTTGGGGAGGATGGAGTCTCTTCCAAAAACTGCTTCAGACAATGAAAATAATAGCTGCTAAATATGGTGTCTCAATTCCCACTGTGGCAGTGAGATACATATTAGATCAGGTAACGTCTAGCATTTCGATTGTTAGGTTTTGAGCCAAACAAAATGCCGGTTGTCTAACTTGTCTCTGATTCATTATTGTTGTGCCATTTTTCGTGTTACAGCCAGCAGTTGCAGGATCAATGATTGGTGTTCGGCTTGGTCTTTCCGAACACATCAAAGATGCCAATGCTGTCTTCTCTTTCAAACTTGATGAAGATGATATGAGCAGCATCCAGGAAGTTACGAAGAAGGGAAGAGATCTTCTAAAAGTGATTGGTGACTGCGGAGATGAATACAGGCGGGTGTAAGTACCCTAAGTTATGGAAATTATACATTTTGTAGGGGCTAATATTGAAGGTCTGTATATCCCACCAAAGAAAAGAAAAAGAAAAAAAAAGAAAAAGAAAAAGAGAAGAGCAAAAGCCTGTGGCGAGCTACTATTGAACTTAAATATACGACATAGAAATTTTTTTGGAATTATTTACAGTTAGAAAATTTCTTTCGTCTACCAATTTTTAAGTCAGTTCTTCATCAAACTTGAATGTCCAAAGCGACACACCGTTCATCATCGGGAAGTCACCAGTTTGGCCCAGGCACTCTGTTAATCATCTGCAAGCCACTCAGCAGACCACCAATCTGGTCTCTGGACCTTGACCTTGACATTTTCCTGTCCTTGGATGGCCGAAGAGCTTGGTTTTCTGAAGGCCGCCTCCAAACGTAGAAGTCCAAGACCACGACAAGCCAGTTCCGCAGTGATAGTTCCGACTTTTTTGCCAGATGTTTCATCAATCACATCTGTCTTTGGAGCTACTTTATCTTCTACCTCTGGAGTTGGAGGATACAGAGGCAAGATAAATGGAGAAAGCAGAGAGAATTTTGAATATATAACGCGAAATTGACCTTACCATTCCCATTGGCATTCAAAAACTTCAGTGGAAGCATTCGTTTTGGAACGACTCCAACATCACGCGTATCCACCATTTCTCTTCCCACGTAGCATCCTTTATCAAAGCTTATTGCATTTAAACCAGCTAAGTTGCATTGCAGGGGTAACGCCTTACCTATGCATGATGACAAGATCAAGCAGATGCAAAATCATAGGACAATCAGCAGTTCTTTCCTCCCTCCTTTTACCAGGAAGGAGAAACTCAGAATATCCAGGACAACAGAAAGGGACAGGTTTTTATTTCGCCCTAGAGGTAATTAAGGTTTTGTACTCGATCAACGAGAAAGCGGACTGACGAAGCATGGATTCGCGCCGACGTTTCCAGTTGATTGAACCGGCGGCCATGGCGGCTATGAAACCCTAAAACCTGCAAGACAGAGCCTCGGGGTCTCCCGAGGATAGACTCTCGGATGATGCTTAAGTCAGTAAGAGTATTCGTAATTAGGGTATAAACCGGGTGCATAAAGCGTACCTTTGATACGAGGGGTTGATCCTTATTTATAGAGTTACGTTATGAAACCCTTTCTTGGTAGGAAAGTAATTATGAACCGAACTTGGGCCGGCCTAGTAGTGGGCCTTATAATTAGGACTCGTCACGGACCTTTAACACCGAAAAGAGGTTATAACCCAAAGAAATGTAAAGAAAAGAAGATGGCGCACCTTTTGGAATTCTCTGAGGAGCCTTCTGGAATTCCCTTGTCCAATCTCCATAGAATAAAATGTCTTTCATCATCTTGTTTGTCTACTTCAACTAGAGGGGCTGCAAAGGAGAAAGAAACGCTTGATAAAAAGGTCAATCACTTAGAAACGTATCAGCAGCTAAAGAGCATGCATTGGCACCAAATAAATACATCAACTTTAATCCTCAATCCAGGAAGATGAGAACAAATTTTGGCAATCAGACAGAGACAAAAGGTAAAAACTAAAAAGAACTTGCGGGTTGAATGAGAAGGAAAAATAGCCCTATATCCAAGGACATCACATCTGGGATCAAGATGCCATTCCCATCCATCCCTTTTGAATCCGCTTCAGTAGAGTCCGTGGAGGACTTGTGACTGTTCAACCCCAAATCTTTGCCAGCAGCAGAAATCCTCTGTAACTCTTTCAATCTCAACCTTGGACCCTAACTGGTATCTTCAGAATGAAGCAGAGACATTGAGAGACGTAGCTACATTATTCATTACATCCACAGTCATTCCCCCCCCCCCCCCAAAAAAAAACTTTATACATAATATTCCTTCCGCTCTTAAATGTTTATTTCGATTTTTCCATTTTAGTACAAATTAAACTAAAAGTGAAAATCGAAATTCATCCATTTTAGTACAAATTAAACTAAAAGTGAAAATCGAAATTCAACAATAATTTTGGGACAAAAAAGAGTAAGAACATAACAATATCAATTTGATTCATATGGTGCAAACCAGAACTCATTAAAAAAAAGCCTCACTTTTTGAACATCATCACGAGTTCATCGAGAAAAGAACTATCCACGTCAGCAAGTAGCTCCAACTCCCCCGGAGCCGATCCCGTAGCCTCGACCTTCTTCGCATCGGGTCGGAGCCGCCTGTAAAGAAACATGTCGAACAAAAACCTGCCTTCCGGGTTCAATACAGCGGTGTACAGCGGAGGCGCCGTGGCGGAACTGAAGCTGCTTTCAGGGCAGCCGCCAAGTCGGCGTAAATCGTTGGTTACGAGACCTCGCAAGAAGTTGACTGTGTCGGGTCCCTTGAATCGGATGACGGACCGGGTCTTGAGATGGCAGGCGAGGGACCCGGAATTCCCCAAATGGTTCGTCGACGTGGAGAAGGGTTTCGGCTTCGAGAAATTGTAAGAAGAAGGTTTCAGAAAATGGCGGGAGAACCCAATTCAATGCATGGTTCCTTATCACCGTTTTACTACAGAGATTTCAGCACCAAAAATAAAAAAATAAAAAAAATCCCATGTTTGAGAACAAGATGTCAAATCCTTAAACTTAATTTGACTTTAAAAAACATGGTAATCGTTAATCTAAGAAAATTTATGTCTTTTCGTTTCTAACCCATCCTGAGATAACGTCTATGCCGAGAGACGTAAGAGAATTTGTTAAGTTGTAACAACTAATTATCAACATGACCCAAAACTAACAGTAAATTGTTAAAGCAGGTCAACAGTCAATGCGACCGAAAGTGTAGCATTATGATCGCCCACACAGTTCCTTCAAGGAGAAAGTTATCACTTATCACCCACACAAAATATATAACTCTCTCGGTTTGTTGAAATGGTTGTCATGTAAAATAACTAGTTTATCACCGCAACTGTCCGAGCACTGTTTAACATATTTAAAACAAAATTATGTAGAATAGAAACGAAAAAGTATTTTCTTATGATAAAAAAATTTTACAGGAAAACAATCAAAAGATAAATAACGCTAATCCTTTTAACTCGGTTGTCAATTTTTATTCTAATATTTACTTCCAAATATAGATGCTTAAAATTAACTGACCATAAAATTAAATTAATATATGTTAATTTTAAATATATGCATAAAATTATGGAATTAGCTCGATTGTCAATTTTTATTCTAATATTACTTCCAAAAATAGATGCCTGAAATTAATTGATCCATAAAATTAAATTAATCTACCATGGTAAGTTTTAATAGATGCCTAAAATTATGGCATTCCTTCCAACTCTTGAAAGCAACTGTCACGTGACATTTGTGGAATTTAGGTGGGAAATTTTTTTTTTTGAGTTGTCACATGGCTTTTGTGGCAACTGTTTTCAATAAGTGTAAATAGATAAAAATGTTTAAAATGAATAGATCACCCAGAAGACACAATTTTACTACAAATCAATACGGAAAAACTCATTATTATGAGCTGAAACCAATGCATTTATTGTAGCAAATTCTAATAAACTCTAATGAACTCTGATTTAGGATTTAGGGTTTAGGGTTTAGGGTTTAGAAACTGTAGTTTGAAAGATAATGAGGCAAATAAAAATACAACACCAACACACAAAAAAAAAGTCAAATCCGAACAAGCAGCTCATTGCAGAAAAGAAAGCAAAGTTTGAAAAATTCCTTATTTAAGTTGAGAAGGGTGTTGAACCAGACATCATTTTTACTCGTAAACAAAAAAGGAAGTTGAAAAAGGAAGTTTAGTTCACCGCAAATTCTATAGTTCATCGCTCAGAAAAAGTCAATAAATTCACTTTAAAAAAAACTCCAATTCTATTATCGCTCATTAAGGTGCAGAATCAACAATTCTTGTATCTGTTGAATATTATTTCCTTTAACATTATAATTCTTTTATTGTTAAAGGTTGCAAGTCTCACACACTGCGACTTTCTTTTTAATTTTATTCAAATTTAAATAAAAAGGTTCTATGCACCAAGCACCGCTTGTTTTGCCAAAAAAAAAAAAAAAGGAAAACAACAACTCTAATGAGCTCTAGGTGTAACTTTTGAAAATAAGTAGATGATCGAATTTGACCGCGTGCATAATATAATTTGTGAGATTGAGGTTTCGTATATTTAGGAGCCGTTTGTTTACCTGGAATTGGATTCAGGAAACGGATTCAATACTTTTTCCCATGTTTGGTTGCCGGGAATCGAATCCCAAGCAATGGGTTGAATCCCATAGATTGAATCTCTACCATCCCCCTGGGATTCAAGTTGAATCCATGCTTCAATCATTTTCTCAATTTTTTTTTACATATCTCCTAATAAAAATATTCTTTTCTCTGCACTATCTTCTTCCCCGTTCATCTAATTTCATCTTGTCGATGCAATAGTCATAAACATCTCTGTCGCTTTTAAGCCCAATATCTTCTTCCTCGTCCGATTTTAGCATTGCCAATTTTTTCCCATCACTGCAGTAGTCATAACCACCACCGCAGCTACACTCATTCCAATTGTCAGCCTGCCCGATATCCAGCCGCCGCGGTCATTACCAAAGCTAACACCATCGTTGCCGCCGACCATAGCCATAACCATTGTGGCCGGTGACATCTAATCATACCTACTGTCACCGCGAACAACTCATCCTTGCCCAATTGACACAACAAACGGAAGTCTGCAACTCAGATCTAACCATGGAAGGTGTATTATCCTTTTTTTTTAGTTTGATTAATTAAATCTGGCATGTTAGAGAAGAAAGCTGTTGATTGTTGGTGGGGATTTGCAGATTAGAGGGAGTGGTCCAGCGGAGAAAGGGTGAGGATGGAGGTGAAAGCAGGGGAAAAAATATTTTTTATTTTATTTTTAATTATATTTAAAGTCAAACTCCAGTCAATCTATATTCTAAACAAACACAACTATTGGATTCACGAATCCACCATCATTCGAATCTAATCCGTCATTATTCAAATCCGTTTCCTGAATCCGTTTCCAGATGATATAACAAACGCCTCCTTATTTTTTATAGTCTTCAAAGACTCAAAGTCATTCGTTTTGTTCTTTTTTTCTTTTTTGGGTCCACGTCCTGGACAATGACTATAGTGGAGTCTACCTAAACACCGTAATAGAGATCATCATATAGTTATACGGTTACATGTAGCCATGTTAAAGTACTTCACAAAGGAGAGAATTAAATCAATTAAGAGATTCAGTAGTAGTTGTCTTCTTTATTGGCAAAATGTATATAGATGCGCGGTGAAGTAGTTAAACGTGACTTTGACCGGAGTTTGATGTCACCAGCTAGCTAATCAGGTCATATTTCTTGTTCGGGGAATGGAAGTTAATGGCTTGTTTGGCCAACATTTTGTTTTGGTTTTTGTTTTAGTTTTTTAATTGGATTTGAGATGTGATTTAAAATGTGATTTGAGATAAAATTTAAAAAATTGTTTGGATAATATTTTAAATAAAATATTAATATTTTTAAGCCAGCGGCGGACCACCTCCACCACCGACGCCACTGGACCGCCCACCACTAGGGCTGGTCATTTTGACCCACGGTTCGGGTCGAACTAATGATCCGAACTGAACCGATCCGAAATCGATCCGAAAATTTAGTTTCGGTTTGCTTCGGTTCAGATCAATTATTTGAAAGAGTGGAATGGTTCGAATCGGTTTGGGTTAAGTAAATATCCAAATTGAACCGAATTAATTAAAACCAAAAATAATAATAATAAATTTCAATAGTTTCCGACTTTGACTGCCACCGACCGCCATTGACCACCACCGGCACCAACTTTCGGCCAAAAATTCCGGCGACGTCGCCGGCAAATTGATTTTTTCGGCCAAAAATTCCGGCGATATTACTGGAAAATCGATTTTTCCGGTGACCGGTGACCGACACTGACAAGATGACATATCGAATACAAAAATGTTTCTTTTCGGGTCAATTCGGTTCAGGCCCGAAACTTAACCCGAACCGATCCGAATCGAACCATAGTGATCCAAAAGAAAGTTGTCCCATTTCCGAACCGATCCAAACTAACTGTTCGGTTCGGGTTCGGGTCGATTTTATGTAAAAGAACAACCCTACCCACCACTGCCGCCGGACCGCGCCGGTCGGTGACTGGCCAGCCAGATTTCGGCCAACTCACCGGAATCTGGCTGGCCGGTGGTAGCGGGTAATGGTGGAGGTGGTCCGGTGGTGGTAGACAAAAATTGTGTAAAAATTATTTTTAAAATATTTTTTAAAAGATAAATTAAAAAGTTGTTTGGATAGTATTGGGATTTGTGTTTGAGAGGTGTGTTAAGAGGTATAATGAGACAAAAAGGTAAAATAAGTGTTGACAAACAAGACCTAAACATTTCCATGTCACCAAATAAACCTAGCTCTCTGACATTACCCCTCTCCCCTCCCCCCCTCATCCTCCCCCCTCCCCGCGTAAAACTTGTAATCTTCGAATCTATCTCCACAAACATATGCATAGTAATTAATTGTATGTCATCGTAAACATATACAAACGTACTATGTTTTTGTGTCGGAACACAAATTGTCACACCAGCCTCAACTTATTTATGTAGAAGGTTTGTTTCAGCTGAAGGTCCAATCGGAGTTCAACAGTGAGCCAGTAGACTTAGATTTCTACAAAGTGGTCCCTCTTTTTGTCACGCTAGCCTTAGATTTCTACAAAGGTGTCCCTCTTTTTCTTCTTTCTTTTCGGTCCAAGTCCTTGTTGATGAAGCCTAGACTGGGTCAGTGAGTAAACCAACCATGTAGTAGTATCTCATCACATAGTTATGGTCACATCACATTTGTGTTTCTTTACCAGACTTAAACTTCATATATCAATGTGCAGGTAATATAGCCCACTTCCCTTGGGAAAATTTCTCCAGTTCTTGCTAAAAGTGGTCATCAATAATATTCAAGTATATAAAAAGCAAATTCACTTGATTATAGACCGACAAAGTTTCACCAGCTATATATAATATAAGATGTGGGAGTGGGATATGTTGAGGTTGGGCGTGTGCTGCATGATCAGCACCGCAAGTGCCGGAGCTGCTTCTCAAAGTTTGCGCAATACTAACATTTATCAGGTTTCTGATACATTAGTCAAAGGTTTTGATGTTTTGATCAGTTTTCTCCCACTTTATTCGACAGCCTACGTTTTGAATCATTTGGTTGTAGTTGATGTAGCTTCCGAGATGAAACATGACCCGAGTTATATAGACATTCGGATGTTGATTCACGATGGTACTAAGCGTCTCTGCGGTTTAGCTGTCTGCACAGCTCTGATTCAGTATTTCGGGTTCTCATTCTATTGGGTCTCGTTCCTAGCTGTCCCTCTTGGTTCAATGGAAATCGACGTGGTACGCTCCGATTTCTACATCCCCCGCAATAAGTATCATTGGATTTCAGTTCTGGTGTTGATGTTTTCTCGTAATGTTTTCTCGAAGATGATGATGTTACTGATCCCATATTACCATGTGCTACTAGTGACACCTTACTTCCAAGGTTTTACCACAAGGTCATCATTGGCGGCTCGCGCCTATGAAAAAAAAAAGTACATTGAAATCGTTTGCGGATTGTTGGCAAATGCACTAAGTACATACTATTTCAGGTTCGAATCTACGGATCTTCTGGTTGCTTTCTTGGGTTCAGCTGTATCCTTCTTGTATATGTTTGCCACTGTCAAGCCATCAACGGATTTCGGGATCATTCAGTTCTTAATCACACAAAGCATCCAGTGTGCAGTGAACCTATTTGGGCTCTTCCACTTGAAGACTCTTTTGGTCTTGTCATTTGGATGTTTACTAATGGTTTTCCGGTGGAAAGTGGAAACCGTCCAACTTCTCAGCCCAAGAAGCTGGAGAGGGAAGTGCTGGCGGAATTTTCGAACAATAGAAGTACAGACTGTCACACTCTTTGCAGGACAAGATGTTCTATTGGCCGCATATGAGAATTATCATCCGTTCTTGATTTGGGGTCCAGCGTCACTGCTACTTACGGTTTTCATGAGGTTCATTGTTTCGTCAGGTCCCCGCCAAAAAATCTACCAAAGTCTCTGGCAGTGGTATTGGCATAGCAGCAAAGGCAACCTGAGCGCCCCTTTGTATTATTATGTGCATTTCAAGGAGATTTTGCACCTAATGCTGCCATATTTCCACCATTCCAAATGCGACTTGCATGGAGATCCAATACCGCCTGTGTAAGGCCAGAACTTCGTCGTGATGAGAGTTACTCAAATCACTGTCTAATTTACACGGGCCTTCACCTAACGCATGAAAGAAAATAACAGCAAGCAGTGAAGTACTTCTGTACTTGTGTACTTTGTTGTTGCCAAAGTGGAACGTTTATAGAATGCACTACATTACATATTGAGGTACTCCCTCCATTTCAATTTATAGGTCGTTTTAGGTTTGGAGAGATTTTTCAAAATATAGGTCGTTTTACAAATTTTAAGTAAATTAATGACTATTTTTCCAACTTTATCTTTAATAAATGATGCCAGTCTATTTTCATTTAGTCTTGTTTATATTTTCAATATAATTAATAAGGGATAAAACATATATTTAACACATAATTTAATTGTTGGATAATTGTCTCCTTAGTTTACGTGTAACGTCTAAAGTGACTTACATTTTGAAATGGAGGGAGTATCAGTTTGTATTATAAGTAAAAGAATTTGACATCATTGATGTTTAACTTGTGTGATTGAGATTTGAATATCTATTCTCGAGTCTTCCATTAAGACTCCAGTGTAGTCTAATGATAGACTCAAAAATGGAGATCGTATATCATATGATTCCTTTGTTACATGGTTACATATATCAGCCTTAAATTAACTTAGTCAAGAAAAACAGAAGTCTTCTTTATTTGGCTATATATATATATATATATATATATATATATATATATATATACACACATGCACGGTGAAGTGGTAAACGATAATTGGACTTCATTTCAACTAAAACTTGTCTTCCCAAAAACCAGTTCCCACGTTAGCGCCATAGATTTCAACAAAAGTCACTCTTTTTCTTTCATTTCGGTCCAAGTCACAAGTCCTTAATGAAGCCTCTAGACTGGGTCATTGACTAAAGCATGTAGTATCTCATCACATAGAAGTCAGAGACAAAAAAGTAGAAGTCAGAGACAGATGGCAAAATGGTGTATTTCCTTGAGTTAGCACAATGTGAATTTATACCAGAAAAGTAGGCTCTTTTCTTAAACTGCATGACTAATCAGTAATCTTATTGTATTCTAATCCTACGCCATTAATCACTCTTAAAACAGGTAAGTTACTAGCTCCACTTCCCCGGATACAGCAATCTAATTAACAACATGTGGGATTGGTGGGATATGTTGTGGTTGGGTGTTTGGTACGCGCTCAGCACGGCAAGCGCTGGAGCTGCATCACAAAGTTTGCGCAAAGCCACCATCCCGGTTTCTGATGAACTCATCAATGGTTTTGATCTTTTCATCAGTTTCCTCCCACTCTATTCCACGGCGTATTCTTTTGATCATTTGATTCTGTTTCAAGTAGCTTCCGAGATGGAATATGATCCAAGTTATATTGACTTGCGAAACTTCATACAAGATAACTATAAGCATCTCTTAGGTCTCGCTATCTGCAAAGCTATGGTACAATATTGTTTCGATTTCTCAGTTTATTGGATCTCGTTTCTCGCCGTCTGTCTTGGTTCAATGGAAATCGATCAGGTACACGATGATTTCTACATCCCAAGTGATAAGCTTCATTGGCTTTCAGTTGTGGTGCTGCTGTTTTCTCGTAATGTTCTCTTGAAGATTATGATGTTACTGATCCCATATTACTACCATGTCCTAGTAACACCTTACTTTATAGGTTTAACCTCAAGGTCATCATTGGCGGCCCGCGCCTATGAACAAAGAAAGTACATTGAAATTGTTTGTGGGATGTTGGCAAATGCACTTAGTACATACTATTTCAGGTTCCAATCTATGGATCTTATGCTTGCTTTATTGGGCTCCGCTGTATCCTTCTTGTATATGTTTGCAACTGTCAAGCCGTCTACTGATTTCGGGATCATGCAGTTCTTGCTTACACAAAGCATCCAGTGTGCAGTGACCCTATTTGGGCTCCTCCACTTTAAGACTCTTTTGGTCTTAGTATTTGGATGTTTAATATTGGTTTTCAGGTGGAAACTTGAATCTGTCCAACTTCTCAAACTGAAAAGCTGGAGAGGGAAGTGCTGGCTAAATTACCGTACAATACAAATACAAAATGCTACGCTTTTCGCAGGACAGGATCTTCTACTGGCCGCATTTCAAAATTATCATCCTTTACTAATTTGGGGTCCATCGGCACTTCTACTTATAGTTTTCATGAGGTTCATTGTTTCAGGTCCGCGCGAGAAAATCTACCGAAGCATCTGGCAGTGGTATTGGCATAGGATAGGTAACCTGAGCGCACCTTTGTATTATTATGTCCATTTCAGGGAGATTTTGCACCTAATGCTGCCATATTTTCACCATTCCAAATACGACTTACATGGAGATCCAATACCGCCTGTGTAAGCCAGAACTTCGTCGTAGTCTTATTTGCAGTCAACCCACATGTAAATAGAACTGTCAGTATAATAGTGTACTTAATGTCTAATTTACAGCAGTCTATTTTTTGTTGAGTGAGAAAAAGTTGAGGATTCTGATGAAGCTGGATTGAAATATCAAGCAAATCATGTACTCCGATTTGATGGGTTGATATATTGGCTTTATTCCAGTTTTCTTTTGTGCAAAATGTAAACACAGGTAGTTGTATGATGTAAGATGTTAATATTGTATAAATCTTGAAGGTCACTGTAAATATTGTTTGTATCTATCTTGTGGAGCAAAAATAAGAAAAAGGTAACCATAAGTAATGCGAAAGGGTGGGGAGGAGCAAGATATACTCAGCATAATCATAATATTACTAAGACTCTGTTTGGAAGCTTGGATTTGTCTTGGAGCCTCCAAAACCAAATTCGGCATTTGGCAGCACAAAAAATCCACCGATTTGGATTTGGCTTCATGTCCAAATAGTCCCAAATCCATTAAATCACACTGAAATATATACATCTAATTGTCTAATGTCATGCAGCAAGACAGAACTCTAAAGTTACTAAGAACAAGAGGTTGAGCTGCGCAACATTACTACATGATCAGCAGTTAGCTAGGTGAGCAAGGAACAGTACTACTTAGACCTGGGACCATTCAGCATTCTGAACCACCCATGGATGCTCCAAGATTTCCTTAAGCGAGAGCCTCTTAGTTGAGTCTTTGACAAGGAGCTGAACAGATGCAAGTTAAGCCAATAATTTGATTCTTTACGCTGAAAGGAGTGAAAATAGATTCAATGGAAAACTCACCCGACTAATTAGATCTTTGGCTTCTGGTGACACGATTGGACAAGATGGGAAGCTAAGATCAACCTTCATTATCCTGTAGAGTTCAATAATAACTCCATTACTTGGGGATGAACATTTCATATTTGAAGACAAGTACAAGTCTAACTGAAACTGTCTTTTACTACCTTCTGAATGTATCTTTTTGACTCTCTGCCTCAAATGGAGGGACACCATATAAAAGCTCATAGCACAGCACACCTAAAGTCCAGTTATCGACGGCATAATCATGAGCCTTCTCTTCCACCATTTCTGGTGCCAAATAATCTAAAGTTCCACACATAGTCATCCGTTTGCTTTCTGACTTCAACTGAACAGACCATCCAAAGTCAGCTATCTTCAAACGCCCCTGCAACAATAATTATCCAGATGCATAGAGTGAAGCATTGCTGGTTGAACCATCCGAAGCCCAACAACAATGACAAAGCCACAAGAATATGAATGCCTGAAGATACATGAACACATCGATACCCAAATTTTGGAAGGTGGTTTTCCAGTTACTTTAATGAAAATGTTCCATTTTCCTTTAGGGCAGATGCCGTTACTGTCTACAAAGCTTCAAATAAAAATAGCTTACTGTCTACAATTTCCCATGGCACTGTGAAGTCCCATATAAGAGAGCTCAAGGGAACTCTCAAGAAGGGAAACATTTTCCTTCAATATACCACAGACATAGCTTGCAACAAGTAGACCATTCATGAAATGATCATACTTTAGCCAAATCATATCAGCTTGAAACAGTTTCAGAAGGTAAATTTTCAGAGCTAGAAATCCAACTCACACACAAAGCCACAACGTACAAGTTTAACGAAGCATTACCTCATGATCCAATAGCAGGTTTTCAGGCTTAATATCTCTGTGAATCACATGCTTCTCATGACAATATGCCAATGCTTGTGTGAGACTTGCTATGTACTACACATTGAAGAAATAGATCAAACATCAGACTGAAGCCCAAAACTAAAAAAACAATATCCAAGATTTCAGGCAGATAGAAATTTACGCCATGAAACAGACACTCAACCATGAACTCCAAGCTCACATCTTAGTCCATCATACACAGATTATAGAAATTCCGAGTGATAAACACATTTGAAAAGCACAAATCCTATACAAATTAAGCATTAAAAACCCCTAATTCAGAGGAAAGTGTCTCCAACATTCTGAACAACTATATGACCATTTAAACCTAGAAGACAATTGCACAGTACGCACAGTGGCAGCTTGTTTCTCAGAGAAGGAGCCGGACTTGCGGAGATGGCGGTAGAGTTCACCCCCGTGAGCGTACTCCAGAATAAGAACAATGCGCTGATCATCGTGGAACCAGCCGTAGAGCCTCAAAACATTAGGATGTTGAAGATTAAACTGAATCTCCATTTCCCTCCTCAATTGATTGTACAATCCATGCTTCTCTATCTGCTCCTTGAAGATTATTTTCAGCGCCACAATGAACTTACTCTGCCAAAACCGAAAACAAACAAAATAATTCACGATTCAATTGAAAGAATCAGGTTACTCTGGGGGAGTGAGATGTTTGAATTTTTGTTTACCTTGACTTCACGGGCGAGGTAGACGCGGCCGAATTTGCCTTTGCCCAGGGGTTTTCCAATTTCGAAATCGTGGATGGACCATTGTTTTCTGCCGGTGGAGGTTGCGGAGGTGGTGGTGGTTGAATTGGCTTCCCGGTGGTTGATTGGGGGTTTCTGATTTTGAATTTGAGTTTGGGAGGTCATCTCTGGTAATCTTCTTCTTCCTTCGATGTTCTCGCCGGAGTTGGGTGGGAAACTAGAACGTTGCGATGTTGTTTCACACAATATTTAAAGAGTTTAAATTCAAAGTTTTTTTTTTTTTTCAGAAAGGATACCGGACATTCGAGACGAAAAGCCCATACTTCTGGACCAATATGCATGTTTTGGGCTGTGACACTTTTGGCTCTTCCATCTTTCTATTTTCGTAAGTACTCCCTTCTGTCCTTAGTATATATTTTTAATTAACAAAAAAATCTTAAAAATATTATTAAATCTAGGATAAAAGACCGAAAGGAGTATAATTTAATTTTTAATTAATTTAATAATATTTTTTCGTTCATATTCAAAGAGTGTCTATCAACTGAATTATGAGCACTTCAATAAGTGAAATAACTTCTCAACAAATTTAAAGTTCATGTAATGTTAACATTTTGTTTCCTATGATTACATCGTACAAATAAATACTTAAAGATTTATGAGAAATGCTCTCCCTTCATCCCAAAAAAATAATTCATTTCGTAAAAAAAAAAAATTAGTACAACCAAATGAGTTTTTTCCCCTGACAAAAAGAGTACTTTATTAATAGAAAAATAAATACGTGATCTAATATCGGAAGCAGAAAATGGACGTGCAAAGAGACCTTTTTTTTTTTTTTTGGTGGGAAATTCAAACCCGTCGTCTGTGTCTTTTTTTTTTTGGGTATAAAGAAGAGAGACCGAAGCCTGATTACAAGCTATTAAAACTTGTCATGGGTATAAAACCCTGATCATATCATGTTCAAGCCATTACTATGTCTCTGCCAGCGGAACAGGAAGATGTTGAAGACCACCCGGACCTCCTTGTCTGCCCTTAGTTTGCCCAATAAATTTTGGTTTAGAATTCATTTTTATAACTCCATAAATAAAGATTCTGAAGTGTGACAATCGCTTCATACTTCTTGTTTTCACGACCAGGCAAATTATGCCGTACCAAACTTTGATTTCTATCATTTGGATGACAAAAAATTTTAACCCTTACAATTCTTTAACTGTACCATGTTATTTCGAAATAAAACCCATCCTCTGTCACTTAATACGTTTGGTTCAAAAGTCCAAAAACTGTTAAAGGTCCCATGACTCATGGACACGCGTATAACGAACATAGACTAACTAATTAAGAAGCTAACTCAGGTTATGGGGGATGATAAAAGAGAGCTGATTTATGACACTTCTAGACTAGTAGACATCTAAAATGGTAACCTCTGGTCTTCTCCATATATAATAGTTTTCCATAATCCATACTAAATTACAGATCATAAAATTGATATCTTTCTTTCCCAACTACTCCACCATTAATTAATTTCCTTTTTATCTTCATCCATTCTTCATTTCCCTATTCAGTTCACTCTCCTTCCCGATCGATCAAAACGAAAACAACATTTTCCTCGTGCTTTTAGAGTAATATTGCCACAAGGCTAAAAACAAACAAAAATCGATTAGTTTTGGCCATGATCATGGCAGCTGACACCAAGAAATACTATTGTTCCTCTGTTTTCTTGATTTTCGTGGTTATTTTTATGCAGTCTTCATACGCTTATCAGTTTTACGTTGGCGGTAGAGCTGGATGGGTGGTTAATCCTCCTGAAGACTATAACCATTGGGCTGGAAGAATGCGATTTCAAGTTAATGACACTCTTTGTAAGTCTATTAAACATCCTTTAATTTTTATTTGAATTTATTAGTGATCACTGATCAGTTTGATTTGTATTTTTTTTTTTATAAATTTATTTACGTTATTGGTTTGTGTTACTATTAATTTGGGGCAGTTTTCAAGTACGAGAAAGGATCAAACTCTGTTTTTGAGGTGAACAGAGATGATTATAACCAATGCAACACCAACAATCCGATACTGAAATTGGAAGATGGGAACTCCATCTTCAAGTTTGATCGATCCGGCCCTTTTTATTTCATCAGTGGCAACAAAACATTATGTGATCAGGGTCAAAAAATCATCACTGTTGTGTTAGCAATTAGACCACCACCCCCGGCGCCGGTAACTCCGGCGCCTCCCGGTCAGACTCCGGCACCAGCACCGGCGCCGGTGTCAACTCCGCCGGCTCCAGCGCCGGCGGGTCTGTCCCCGGCACTGACACCGGCATCATCACCAGCACCGGCGAGCTCTGTATCTCCGAGTATCTCACCATCCCCCATTGCCACCCCACCTGCAGCCGGAGGTTCAAATGCTTCCACCCCGGAAACTTCACCCGGCTCATCTCCGCCGGTGCCGTCGTCGGGAGAGTCTCCTCCATCGCCACCTGGTTCGTCGGGATCATCGTCGTCATCCCCGCCGTCAACACCAAACGGCAACACGCCGGCTAACAACGAGTCGTCGTCGGCAAGGCCAGCAATTAGTACTACCTCAACTGTTTTGATGTCAGCCGTTTCTTTAGTCTTTGTTGCGACTTTAGGTGCTCCCATTTTTTGAACATTTTCCACATTTTTCAAAAGATTATTTGTGCAAATTCCTTTTCTTCCTTATTCTTCTTCATCTTTTTTTTTTTTTTTCCCTTTTTTGGGTGCATATAAATTTTTCTTTTCTGTTTTATTACCTTTTTCTTTTTGGTTTGAAAATTACACTTTCATTGGACTATGGGTATGTAATAAATATCGGTTCATATATTTACCATTTGGTGATGGAGATTGAGGATTTTGTGTTTATATATTCATGTGATGATGATGATAAACTGGTGTTATATCTTTGCTTTCACTATCTTTTTGATAACTGATTGGGTTAAGAATGTCTTTATGCGCTTTGTAATTAGTGTTCACTTAGTAAAATGCAATCGGTGAATCTATTTTTTCTTTCTTAATAAAAAATCAGAGATATACTAGAATTTGTTTAAAAGAATAATTAAAAATTCCATCACATAATAATTTCATAAATATGGATAAGTAAAATGCAGTCCTCCAACACGCATCACGAAGTTGACCACAATATTTTCCCGCACCCATATAGACTACGTACATTGCATGTAGTGTGCGATGTAACGTAGACTCATCGTAATCGTAGTTGTTTATTATTATTATTATTATTATTATTATTTTCATCGCAAATATCATTAATTAAAGAGAATAGAAGAAAGTGGCGTTTGTTGAATGGAGCTTGATTCTGTTTACATTTTGTGGTTTCTTTCGAGAGGCGGAGGGGGGAAGAGGAAGGAAGAAGTGAAAGATTTGTTCGGCATCATATTCACAAAATTCAAATATTTTAATAGTATAACAATTAACACATTAATATGTTCCGGGAGGTCTTTTTTGTCATTATATACGCATGAAAATATACAAAAATTTATCATCATTTCAGAGATTAAAGATACAAAAGTTAACATCATTTGAGAGAGATCAGAGTTTCAGTTATTTGTCAAATATGTAATTATGTACTATAATTCAGTTGGCCAAACAAGATATTCCATCTTGATTAGTGATTTTTTGCATTGAAGCAAATGCTCAGCATAAAAAAAAAAAAAAGAAAAAGAAAAAGAGAAAAGCTTTATTCTGAAGGCACTGCCTACTAAAAGGAAAAAAACAAACAAAACACTTCGAAAATGAAAAGTGAAATGCAAACGAGATGCGTTACCTGACAGATGTCATACCTATGGTATGGTTTAAGTACTGTTAAACATGAAATGACAAAATTTAGTAGTACTAATAAATAAAACAATACCTAATAGATTGTGACTTTAGAGACGTGTAACGCATTTCATTTAGGTATATACCTTACTAACTTTTTTGTACTCTATGTTTTAGACCCGTAACGCATCTGAATTAGTGATTCATTGAGGCTAAATAGTTTCGATAAATCGGTACAAGGTTGGTTAGTATTATTTATTGAGTACAAAGTTGAGAAGTTCATTATTAATTTACCTTGAAATTCTAAAACGATCTATATTTTGAAATATTTCTCCAAATTTAAAACGATCTACATTTTGAAATGCAGGGAGTAATATGTAAACAGTTGTCATTTTTAGTTTGGATAGTAAGCAAGTTTCTTGTGATAACTTACTTGTTGAAGTTAGTTTCAGTATGATATTGTTGTTCTTTTCAACAAATTAAATTATCCATTGATTAGCTGTTTCTAATACAATTTTTATCGCTTATGATAATAAGGTTGAAAAATCAACTTTACGAATTGATGTCAGATCAATATCTGTCCCTTACAGCAAAACACTATTCCAAAAAAAAATAATAATAAATAAAAATAAGGAAACAAGTAAGTTTATCCTATCCAAATATGAGGAGTCCTTTCTCTTACTTTTGTTACTAAACAATGTTATCTACATGCAGTAGTATTACTTATACACAAATTTAAAGTCTTATAAACCAGAATCTCTCATTTTGTTATTATATACGATATGATTTGCACAAAAAAAGAAAAAAAAAAAATTGAATCGCGAGCCCATTACATTGAAAACACGTACAAGCATACAGGTGTTTTATAAAGCAAGGGACACCACGGGAGGAACTAATTTGTAGGAATATTCATATGTGGAAGCAATTAAATGTATTGAATGCAAAAAATAAAAAATTTAATGCTAAAGTTCGAAATTAATGCTACCCAAACTATGTGTCGAAAACACAAGAATCAGCTAAAAAACATAATTCGGGAGATGCATGCGACGTGTTGATATTCTCCCATTAATTAGTGAAGGAAAATCCATTTTCACATCGCTATCTGAAATCAATATATATATATATATCGGACATTTTCTTGATTACTTTTCAACTCAATTATTATTTAGGGTACAAAAAAAGAAAAAAGAGAGAGACAAAAAAAACATAACGTACGTGTATATTTCATATGTTCAAGTGGACTACGTGCTTGTAAGGGATTAGTCAGTCGTCCTCATTCGACTAAGATTAATTATGAAATCTTCAACCTCAACAATTTTGTCCGGGTGGTGTCGGCAGAATATATATATATGTAATTAAACTTCCCCAAAACAAGAGAGAAAAGGCAAATTGATCTTCAAGTGAACTTTCTAGAGAGTAGAGAGCCAGCATATTCCATTTTCTTTCATTTATTTCTGCATATAAAAGAACATTAGTTTTTACATTTTAATTTTCTGCAGGTCATATTTGTATGGTACAATTTTAATTAAGGTCGATCGAAAAAATATGATAATTTTACAAAATCTCATAGATCTCTTATTCGGTTTTAATTTTCTTTTTACAAAGTATGATAATAAAATACTACATTATTTTGTATACCTGTAATGACGAATGAAAAAAAGTTGTTACACGATCATCAGCTCATAATCACAATATTTGAACAGATGTTGAGAATTTCTATCAACCTAACGTTAGGAGCGCTTATATAGTTAATATTACACACGAAATAGATGGCCTGGTTGACTGCCAAATGCGTGTCACACTCAAAGGAAATCCCAATCAATCCTGGGTAAAAAAAAAAAAAAAAATGCGCAACTAGCTGCTGCCACTACTACTCGTAGTAGTATATTCTCATTGTCAACATCATATATTAATTAATTGTTTCAGTCAAAGTGAAGATAATTAAATAAAATGATTAAATTTGCCAACTTGATTTGATGTTACTCTCCTACCTTATACCAATTGACTTCGGTTTTTAACTTTTAATCCCGTTTTTGTATTTTAATCTGATACTATTCGGAGCATGACAAAGTCGATCTCTGATTTCTAGTTTAAGAAAATAAAATAAAAAAATCGGACATTATTCATACACTAGACGGTGATAAAATGAAAGGGGAAAAAAGAGAACCATTTACTAGTTCTGCCTTAATTTGATAGTAAAGATGTAATTCGGGATTTCATTGACAAATTAATTTTTACTTATATCGTCTACATTTTTGCAGTGACAAAAATAATGAACTTTCTCTCTCAGCGCCCAAAACACGTTGTTTAACATGGTAGTAAGCATACAACTAATACTGAAAATGCACAATGGATTTCCGGTTTTACATCGACCAGTAATTAAACCGTTAAATCAAATTCGTGAGTTGGGTTTTGAGATTATTAAAATTTAAAAGTAACGTCTTCATGTCCAAAACTCAAATAGCTTTCATGTTTCATCATGTGAAGAGTTTGGAAAAGAAGGAACAAAATGGTATGGCAAGCAGTTAAAAGAAGTAAAGGATTAAGGGACTACAACAAACCACGATGGAACCCTGAAGTTTGATTTTATTGTAGGAACCCAAAACAAAAATGAAATAAAAGCTCAAAATATAGCATTTTATTTGTCCCATTTTAACTGTTCATATTTTCATTTTAAACTGTTACATTTCAACAAAAGTAATTAACTATTAACGTGATTGCTATTTAATTTAAAAATACTATATATAATTTTCTAATCACTGTACAAATTTTAATTTTATTTTATTGCTTGCAGGTTTAATGAAACTATCCTCTTCAGTTTACATTATAATCATCATATGAATGCAGGTTCTAAAACAAATATTACGAGTACATATATATATTAGACATGCAAAAAAAAAAAAAAATGGCTCTTTTTTAAGACCAAAAAACAAAAAGGTTTTTAGATCACTTTTATAGATTATATGGATGTGATATGATTATTGACGGCATAAAATTATATCTTCTGATACCACATTTTTTTTATTATTATAACTAGATCATCTTATTGAATGATTTCACTAGTATGATATCATTAATTGGCAAGAGTTCCGAAACTTTAAAAAATAAATAAATAAATAAATAAAATAATTAGTGCATATTGGTAACTTAGCCATGCACCATGCACGCAAATTACACAAACGAAAAACAGCAAAAAGAAAGGGAGGAAGAAGCGGACCTTAAGAACCTCCATTTCCCCTCTCACGTAAATTACGTTAAATCACACAAACAAATTGTCCCCAAAACCTTCCAATATCACAAACAAATATTTCTTCCCTATTTCATCCATCTCATAATCTCCTCCATTTTAGCACTCCCAACAAACAAGAACAAACCCAAAAAAAAAAACACAAAGCTCTACCCTCCTATACCAAGGCAGGGCAAGAGACTCCTAGAGATCTCGAGATCGAATAGGAATAAAGAATAAGAACTTCATTCCCCTCTTACTTTCTTTCTCCTTTGCATTCGAAAACCGAAAAAAAAAAAAATGGCAATTCGACTCGGGATAGTTTTCCTTCTTGTGGCCTTGGCCTGTGCCATGGTTGTCAACTCATCCCCAACCTTTGACTCCGCCTTCGGCATTTCCTCCATCGCCACGGCTAAAGGTGATGGCGGCTTATCTGACGTCAGAGTGGGGGATTTCATCGATGACGCCGAGGAAATGATGATGGAATCCGAATCTACACGAAGAACTCTTCGCGGCAGGGGAAGGAGGATCAGTTATGGAGCCATGAGGAAGGGAGCCACTCCGTGCAACCGGCGCGGCGCTTCCTACTATTCATGCAATAGCCACGGTGCTGCCAACCCTTATCGCCGTGGGTGCTCCCGGATTGCAAGATGCTCCAGAAACACTCGCTAAGTTTCATCACCATTATTCAACCAACCTGCCTTCAATTATTTGTGTGTGTGTTTGTGTTCATGGAAAAATGGAGAGAGACAGAGATAAAGAGTGGTTTCAAGTATGCCCTGGTAATCCTAGGAATAATAACAATGTTGCTGGAGGTGGATTTATACTCATAAAAATCAGTCTTGGTTAACCTATGCACGAATTCATTTCTCTCATCTCAGTTTTTAATGGAGTAGATTCTGTGTTTTTCGGTCCTTTGTGTTTTTCTTGTTGTTTATGTAACCTGCGATCAATGTCTGTACATCATTATTGATTATTGATATTGGTAAAATAAAATTTATTATTATAATTGTTACTGTTTATGCATCATTACAGAATGACCAAATGAGTTTTTTCTTTTCTTTTCGTTCCTCACCATCAAATGAGTGTTGTTGGATAACGAATGAAGACTTCTTCTAACCATGTTGTACTCTTTTCGTTCCAAAATGACTATTCATTTTATTATACTGAAATACTAAAACAAACAACACGATAATTTTGAGACAAAGAAGCTGTATGCAATTAATGATGCTGGGATAAGGGACCTGTTTTGGAGAGAAGACACCCCAAATAAAAGCGTTTAACCCACTTACGGGTTCAGATTTTGACTGTATACAATCAAACGAATCACAGAGTTTCATAAGCATGTGATTAAAGCTTCATTTCTTAACACAAATGCACTCTCCCCCATCACCATTTACATTGACACATGTAAATCTGAAAACGGAAGCTATGACTAAAGCTCTTGATGCTAGTCACTTATGGCCAAAACTAGAGGGAAGATATGCAATCTGAGGGCCTTCAGCCGAACGACATGGCACAGTGTACATATAATTTACCTACATAGTGATTTAGGGCCTCCCGCCGACGTGATTTAGCATCCCTCTACAATCTAATGCCGATGAGATTAAAATCCAAATTCTGGCTGTCAGAAAAAGAACCATCGTCTTCGCTTTTTCTGCATCAACCGGAAAAAAAAATGACTAAGAACGTATCCTGCATGCATGCATACTTTTCGAAAATGGTTATATCCAAATGCTTATTGAAAATAACAGTTGCCAAAATGGATGTATTCCCATATGGGCTCCGGCTTTTCATAAAATTGTCAGATACAATAGCTAATGATAAATGCAAATCTTGGTAGTAGACATGATTAAAATCTTTGGTTAAACCAGAGCATATGGAATTGGCATACCAGGAATTTAGTAAATTCAAGTTATCAGAATATTAGGTCTTACATGGTAACTCAACCTCAGGAGACTTTAATCCCCAATCCCCATCATAGACTTGAATGTTCAAGAATGCTTACTACTATATCTCTCAACTTCTCTATATCCAGGGTTTTCCAAAAATGTAACATGGACAAGAAAAGCTACCTGTTGATCTTGACTTTTTGGTGGAATTACAATGGGCGGAGAAAGGCCTCCACTCTCCATGTTTCGCAAGTACGGACGGACTTTGTCTTCGAGCATTTCATTCAGCTGTAGATAGCAAAGAACTATACCAATTAGCAAAAACAGTTCAACCCCAAAGAGAACTTAACAGAGAATGAACTTAACTAAGGATTGAAATATAAATAAAGCTCAATCTACAGACACCGCAGTCCTTTCCCCCACTTGTGGGTAGATGTGGTACGAGAAACATAAATGAAGGAAAAGATACCGAAATGGACCTGAGAAACTCAATATGTGAAACTAAAAGGAAGTGACATATTAAATGCAAAGATACTCAGAGTACTCGCGCATCTTAACCACAACACTACCTTTTCTTGACGCCATTTACTTTCCCACTGAGCATCCAGAATTTGATCGGCAATTTCTCTTTGTGCATTAAGAAGAACTGTCTTTTCGTATAATTTCTTTGGATCTTTAAGGTCTTCCTCACTCCAGGATGATGATGTTAATGGAAGGTCCAGTTCCTGTAACGCTAGAGTTACAAATAGAAGACAAAAGGACTTCTTTCATGTGTATGATACACCCTAAAGATAATTACATTTCCCAGTGGCAATCAACGAAATTCACACACAATAAAGGGCACATACCCCCCAATTCTCTGGACGGGGTGGAGGATCAAGCCTCATCACTTCTGTTTCCAGTGCCTGTTTGGCCTTGTAATAAGGAATGTTCTTTATGACAACTGGATCTTCCCTAGCACGTGCGGGATCAATAGAGATTAAGGCCTGACAAAGACAAATTTGAATTATGGATTTCTTCCAATAATATTTCAATCTTTTTCTAAAGATAAAATTCGGGAGTCTCCAGGATGCATACAACCCTTAAAGCTCGGGATTTCTCAAAGATTAATTGTATATGGTATGGTAAAAGACATGATAAGAAGCAGATATCAAAACGACGACAATTTAATCCATATGGACATATGCAGATGGTAGGGTGACAAACTTGAGTTCAGACAGACGCTAGCCACTGATAGATCACACATTTGTTAGGAGTTCACGGCATTTGATGCTGAAATAAAATTACATTGACGTAAAACTTACCTCCTGCAAGTATTCCCAACCTGGTTTTCGCCTGGCCACAGCATCTCGGAGTTGATCATACCTCATAGATTCCTACATAAAGTAGATTGCAGAGAAAACAATCACTTTAAGCATAAAAATTAAGTTTCTCAGGCTACAATCTTAGTTCGCGATATTTAGGTCTTAATCACTAAGAGAAAAGAATGCAATAAGTTTGGCAGAGATGAGAGAATAAAAGAGAATTAATTGTAACAACTATAAAAAAATTTGTAGAAGGGACCAGATTTCAGCCACTATTTTCAATCTTTCGCTTTATACACAACAGCCGGACCAATAATTGCAAGTTTGAATGCAAGTAATGCCATCAAATGTTAGAATCTTGGCAGGAAAAAGAAATCCATGAAGCTAAAAAAAAAAGTAAAATAATAAAATAATTAAAAAAAAACATGAAGCTGAAGAAAAAGGAACCTTGTATTGCCACCAAATTTTCTGCTTTACATCATCATCATATTCAAATCCTCCCATAATCTGAGGCAGAGTGATCAACCAAAATGCAGCAATACTGGGATCTTTCATACTATGAAGAATATGCTGCAACAGGTAACCAATTTGAGACGAAAAGTTATTGACGCTTCAAACATTTAAAAATACAGGACAATAACCATAGCTAATAAAATCATTAAGGGCAGAGTGTTAGTGTTTTCCGATCAAATGGAGGTAATTATGCTGCTAGTACACAAAATCATTATTTATCATCTCCAAGTAGGACCAGCGAATTTAATCTTTTGCTTCAAAAGTAAAATCAAAACAAGAGGAAAAAAAAAAGGATAAATATCTGAACCAAAAATTGCAGAGAAGCGCAAATTCACAGAAAGAAGCCAATACAAAATAGCGAGGGACAGGCAGCACTTGCCTCATAAGGGTAGTCCATCTTTCTCATTACATTATAAGCTTTCCATGGAGGCTCCATTATCTGTGAAAATGGAGAAACATGAATACATACAACCATAAAAAGAGAAAACAATTGATAATTTGAACTTTTGTAAACTATCAAAATGATTAATAGAACCAGACAAAAAGAGCAAAAATTAACTAACATCATCAGCGGAAATCCTGATTTGAAGCTTCCCTTTGCACTCTGGACATTTCATTACACCCTGCAAAATCAGACTACTGGTGATAAGCATTAGCTTAATAACTAGACTTCTTGTTTTGACCTTGGGGATGGTTTATGTTGCATTCAAACCGATGAACTGATGGTATTATGCGTGGAAGAACGACAAAGTTCTCAAAATATCAAGCCATGTAGTTAATGCTCAGTTCTCACCGATCCATCACAGTTTGGGCAATCCTTGGATGGCAATGGTACGTGAAGGTCAAAGGTGGAAGGAAGATGTACAATCTCAGCTCGATTCTCAGCTACAGCATCAGCAATGGATTGAGCTGTTGCTTTCTCTCCACTACAAAAATACAGCCGGGAAACATCAATAAATGACCGTAACAAAGCAATCAGCAACTGGATTTTGCTTGAATAGGTAGGGAACATTGATAAAACCTAAAGGACGGAGAACGGTTGGGGGGTTGGGGGAGATACCAATATCAACTGTGACTAAACTTTTCCATAACCCAATGGATTCAAGGATATGGCTAAGGGCTCAAATGTTGCAATCAGTTTCGTCCAAAAAAGGTAGGACTGGCCTAATAATTTGAGGAGTGAGACTTCAAATTGTTGTTAAATGACTTGCAGACTGTTCTGGGCAAAGTGGTGTATGTGATACATTTTAGAGTAATCAAAAAAAAAAAAAAAAAAAAAGCAATGAGAAACATTAGCATTCTAAACATTTTGTAGTGAAATGCATTAGCGGTGGTTTACTTTCTCAATCTATAGTTTTTGACTTGGTAATGCACTTTTCCTGATCCTTTACACATCGTACATTGCAGTGCATTCCATCCATTGCACGTCCCGCAGTTCCTACAATACACAATATGCATAAAATTACAGTTTTAAGTGCTGGTAGTATCATGATAAAGCTGCAAAGTAAAACACAAAAGTAGGCAACAACACTAAAAATAGCATCATCAACCAAAGAAAGCTGTGAGAGGCTTGGAATCAGCAGAAGCAGAAGAAAGAAGATAAGCAGTTGGGAAGCACCTCTGACAAAGCACCTTCTTTCCCAGTTCGGTAGTAATGTCAAATGTTCCAACAGCGGCAACAAGCTGCAGTCAGGGACATATATGATCAAAATCAGTAAGCCAATTCCAAATGCCCAAAAATTCTATGAAAAACAACTCCATTATGCAAAATGTGATAGAAAACAATAGTTGCAGTTTCAGTAGTTGCAAAATGTGAAAAACAACTCCATTTTGAACACATCAAAATGTGATAGAAAACAATAGTTGCAGTTTCAGTACTTCAATTTCTAAAATCCATCAATATTTCAAAAAGCCCTTTGCATGTTGATATCAATTCTACCACCTATCCAAGAGCATATGGCACAATAATCGCTCTTAAAAAAAAAAAGGAACAAAAAAAAAATTCAATTCAATTCATCTGAAACGAAAATGCACAAGAAGGGGAAATGGCAATTTTTTACATGTACGAGCCCAGTAAATATAATCAGCTAAGTTCCTGGTAAAATGAACAGACGAATAAAAAGGGAAAAAATTAAAAAACCATTTCAGTAAACCTGAGAATAACCACACCCATTTCACAAGGTACAAAAACACGAATAACCATGGCATTAACTTTGCAAAGCAAGAGAGAAGAGGATTTACGAAAATTGCAGAGTAGGAGAGCTTGGAAATGAACTCAGGGACGCCAAAACCCCGGGGAGCAGAACCAGCAATGTCATAAGCCAAAGTAAAAGGGGAAAGAACAAGCTTAATTGGGAAGTCCAAGATATCAATGATTTGTTGTCCATATCGCCGAGTGAAAATCTTATACTGAATCTCAGCTTGCTGCTGCAATCCCTTGAAGAAACGGTCTCTCGACATTTTGGCGAAATTGATGAAATTCTTTGGTCAAGGATTAGGCGATAGTGTGGATAACGAAGCAGCTTCTCATTTTTGTTCTTGCTTCGTTTTTTTGTCTGAGGTTCTATACTGTGAGTTTCGGAAGGATTTTGTGAAATTTGCAGGATGTTGTTCAACAATTTGTTATGGGCTTGGACTTGTCATTTTGGTCCATTTGTTTTGGTCTGATTTTAATGCATAAATAGTAGTCCAGTTCAAGCCCATACACCCGTTTTGTTCCCGTTTTCTTAGACTAAACTTCATTTCAATCCATAAGTTTGAATTTGTTCTTTGAAAATTGAAATTGTGTTCATTAATCCCAATCCAAAAAAATTATTACTCCTGTCTCCCTCCATTTCAATTTAGTAGGGCACTTTTCTTTTTTGAATTTTTCAAAATTCAATCCCATATCAGAAACTAATATTAATTTCATTTGTAAATTGTGTAGTGTACCCTATTACAAGTAATAAAATTTACAACATTCAATTGGATCCAACTCTCAATCTCACCATATTAAGTAACAACTAGTAGGGAAATTAAATTAACGTTACAATTCTTAAATTAAAGATTCCAAACCGGAACCTCTGAAACTCAGGCCTAACTCCAGCTACCTTCTTCCAACTCTGATCCAACATGGATTCGGAAATGGAAGAGACAATCCCTTTTAGCCAAGACAAAGACAACCCATTCACTACAAAAGTCAAGAATAAAGAATTAAATAACCAAAGTGCAAATAACCAGCAAGACCCAGCAGTACCCCATCCCTCCAACACACCATGGGTTGATGGGGCACCATCGTTCAGGGACCGGCTCCTCAAGGGACAGAACAACCAGACTGTAAACGGGTTCCACATGATCAAGGTCACAGTAAGGGAAGGAGATTTAACATACAGTGAAGAAGATGGAGTCCCATCAACCATGTTCTCCGACCGGGTCAAGCACCAAATGGTTGTGGCCATGACATACACGATTGCCGTCAAACCTCTGGGCAAAGAATTCAGGTATGATAGACTTTTCAAGAGGTTTAAAGGCATGTGGAAACCAAAGGGGGACATCAAACACGTGGATACAATCGAAGGATATCATCTATATCGGGTCACCAACGAAGAAGACTTCTACTCAATCCTCCTCAATGCCCCCTGGTCACTAGATGAGACATACATTAGGGTGCTCCCCTGGAATAAGGGCTTTAATTACAAGGAGGACAACCTCACTGCTGTCCCAACATGGATACGCATCCCTGGCCTTCCGGTGGACTATTTCCATGAGGATCTCCTGAGAAGCCTAATAAAACCGTTGGGAAGATACATCAAAGCTGACAAGAATACGCTAGCAGTGGAGAGGGGTAAATACGCAAGGCTGACAGTGGAATTAGACCTCACAAAGCCTTCGCTAGGAAAGACCAAAATTGATGGAATTGAGTATAACATCGAATACGAGGATCTCCAAAAGATATGTTTCACGTGTGGCAAATATGGCCACCTGAAAAACGAGTGCAGCCTAACTCCGACGACATCTCCGGCAACAAATCCGATGAAAACAGAAACTCTAAAGCCAACTTCCATGGTGGGGCCTTCTTCAACGGATAGTTATGACACAGCCAGACCAACTCAGCACCTTCACAAACCACTAAAGACCCCAACTGTCAGGGAATGGAGCCATGCAATTAAAAAGGAGAAAAGATATGTCCCATCTCAAGGGCAATCTGGTAACTTCTCTAAAACCACTCCTGTAGCAGCTAAAAAAGATGTGCTTGTTAACCCTTTTGCAGCCTTAGCTGAACTGGAAAAAGACACACATGAAGGGTCTTCAACATCAGAACCCACAAGCCAAGCAATTTTTAACTGGAATAAAGAACTCCCGACCAGCGCCTCCACCTTCATCCCAAACCAGAACTTTAACCAAGGAAAGGGACTCAAACCAGGGACCAAGCAAAGCATGCCAAAAAATGCTGGCCCAAAGAACAAAGCCCATCAGCCCACAGTAGTACCCAGCAAAAGAAAACCTGAGCAGCATGCCCATGGAAGAACATGGATCAAAAAGTCCACCAAAGAAACCCCCCCAGTGACCAAAACCCAACCGACCCAATAGAGGAAACCCCCCAACAGCACAATCTAACCAACCCACTTGCTGAACCAAAAAATATCTCCACCCTAAGTCCCACAACGCAGACCCGGGAAATTCTCGACACCACAAAGCATACAGTGGTTAACATACCCCACCCAAATCCTCAAACCCAAGAAAAAACAACTCCTACAATACTTAACTACACAACCAACCCAGAAAAAGATTCCTCACAACCAGCCAAACCCCCAGACTCCTACAAGACTTTTAATCCACGCAAAACAGTTAAAATCAAAACTCCAGGGTTGAACCTTGAACCAAAAGGCCAATATGACGAAACAATAATCTCTGAGATGGAAGAGAGTGGTGCTCCACCCAACGACGAGACGATGCTTCTTGAAACAGAGGATCCAGGCGATCCGCACAGATCAATGGCTGAGCCCGAAATGGAGGATGTTGAGCTGCCGCCGGACGCCGACAGGTAAGCCCCTCCAAAACCACCTACAGTTTTTATGAATAATAAGATATTATCATGGAATACGCAAGGAATTGCAAACATTCAAACAATTTCAGTGCTAAAGGACCTAATTAAACTACATTGTTTACAAGTGCTAATAATCATTGAACCAAAAATTCACGGGAGGGATGCAGATCTAGTAATTAGAAACCTAGGGTTTGAAAACTCCCACAGAGTCGAATCTGTTGGATTCTCAGGGGGGATATGGCTTCTGTGGAGAGATAATATAACAGTACAAATAATCAAAAACAACTGGCAGTATATCCATAGTTAAATTCTTTTCCTGGACAACTCCTCTTGTTACGTCACTGCAGTGTACGGTAGCCCTCAACGGCTAACAAGGCGCACACTGTGGAACAATTTGAATCGTATTGCAGGAAATACTTTTGAGCCATGGCTGGTCCTGGGCGATTTCAATGCAATTGTGGATGAAACCGAAAAAACTAAGGGAACAAAAACCAGAGGATGCAAGCATTTCATAAACTGGATCAAAAGCAACGACATGCAAGATCTTAGATTCTCAGGCTCCAGGTTTACATGGAAACAGTCACTATGCCACGTCAGACTTGACCGAGCCTTGGTCAACACCAAATGGCACAGCTCATTTGAAAATTCAAAAGTACACCATATGGCCAGAGTTGCATCAGATCATTCACCAATTCTGGTGCAATTTACAAGCCGAACCATAACAATACAACAAAGGAAATTTTTCAGATACCTAACAGCATGGGAACAACATGACCAATGGAATGAGTGGCAGGAAAAAAACTGGAACAGGGATACCAGTCTACCAAGGGCTCTAGAACATTTCACCACAGCGATAGAAGACTGTAAACACAACTTTTTTGGAGACATTTATAAAAGGAAAAAAAGAACCCTCACAAGGCTCGAAGGAATCCAAAAGGCTTTAGCCTCCCATCCAACAAACACCCTACAAAGGATAGAGAAAGAACTACAACAAGAATACGAAGAAACAGTAACGCAAGAGGAGTGCCTTAGAATCCAAAATTCATGGTCAATTTGGCTGGCCGAAGGAGACAGGAATACGAGACTTTTCCACACAAAACACAAGCTCAAAAGAAACAAAACAAAAACAAAGTCAAGGGAATGCAACTGGAAAATGGCGAATGGAGCACGGACCAAGACATCTTAGGAGAGGAAGCTACGAGCTTCTTCAAACAACTGTATACAGGGGACACAACACCATCAAGCAGCCAATACCACATGAGAAATCTATCCCCACCCATCCCACCCAGGCTCAACACTAGACTATCAACCCCCGTTGAAGATGAAGAAGTCCACCAAGCCGTCAAAGAAATGGACCCTACAAAAGCCAGCGGAATCAACGGAAACTCAGCTGGTTTCTACCAAAAGAACTGGGACACAGTAGGACCATCAGTATGCAAAATGGTGAGAGAAGTCTTTCAAACAGGACAAGTTCAGCCAGAAATCAACAAAGCAATGATTGTTTTGATCCCTAAAGTCCACCCACCTGAGAGATTTCAAAACCTAAGACCGATAAGCCTCATAAACGTCTCAGCAAAGATCATATCTAAAGTCGTGGCAAATAGGATAAAAAGGATAATGCCTGTTTTAGTCTCACACACACAGTCCAACTTTATTAAGGGCAGGAGCATCATCGACAACATAATCGCGGCCCAAGAGACTATACATACTATGAGAATGACAAAAGGAACTAAAGGTTGGTTAGTAGTAAAAATAGATTTGGCAAAAGCTTTCGATTGCATCCGCTGGGATTTTATCCTGGACACCCTACAAAACGCCAAAATACCACAAACACTAATCGACATCTACAGAAGCCTACTCACAACCGGAAAAACCCGAGTACTTTGGGACGGTAAACCAGGAGAAGAATTTGAACCTACCAGAGGCGTAAGACAAGGAGACCCCCTCTCACCTTATGTTTTTGTCCTATGTATGGAAAGACTATCACAAGCCATCAACAACGAAGTGCAACATGGTCGCTAGAAACCAATCCCTTTCGGCAACGGACGGGTTTCCCATTTATTTTTTGCTGACGATTTAATTTTGTTTGCAAAGGCTACCCAAGAATAGGTGATGATAATAAAAGACACCCTACATCTATTCTGTAGGGCCTCAGGGCAGACAATGAGCAACTCCAAATCAGTACTATACTGCTCACCCAATATTGAGGTTCCCACACTGCCTCCCTAAGTTCAAAACTAGGCATAAAACTAGTCGACAACTTAGGGAAGTAACTTGGGGTCCCCATCAACCATAACAGGCTGACCAAGGACTCATACCAACCCATGATATGCAAAGTGAGGCAGCGAACAAGTCAATGGAATGTAAAGAAAATCAGTATGGCAGGACGATTGACACTCTGCAAAACTGTACTCGAATCGCTCCCTATCTACATAATGCAATCGCAAACCATCCCTATAGGAGTATACAACGAGATAGATAAACTCCGCAGAGACTTCCTATGGGGCTCCATTCAAGGAGAAAAGAAACTGAATCTTATCAGTTGGAACACTATCTGCCAACCCAAAGAAAGAGGAGGCCTTGGCCTCAGAAAGCTAAATGAAATCAATACAACGTTTCTCCTCAAACTAGCATGGGAGATCATATCTGCTAGACAATGTTTATGGACATCACTATTTATGGCAAAGTATGAAAGTTTCATGTCATCAGCACAAAAAAATCAGAGTAAAAAAGGATCTCACCTGTGGAAACAACTATCGAAGGTCTGGGCAACAACAATTAAAGGCACAAAGTGGTAAATCGGCAATGGAGAAACTACACGCTTTTGGAAGGACATCTGGTTAGACCTGGAAAAGCCAATCCAACACTACATCAATAATCAGCCTCCGGAAGACATTCTACAAAAAAGAGTCAGAGACTACGTGGATACCAATGAAAAATGGAATTGGCAAGCAATCAAACAATGGACCCCCGAAGACATTCAAAAGAAGATCCTCTCCACCTCACCACCTGACCCATAAGTTGGACCTGATAAACCAACCTGGAGATGGACCAAAACCGGCATTTTCACCACTTCCTCTGCATTCAAGAGTCTCAACTCAGGAAATTGGAACAGAAAGGAAAACACTTGCGGCATAATCTGGCTCTGGAAAGGCCCAGAAAAAATCAAATTATTCCTATGGAAATTAGCACGGAAAGCACTGCTAACGAATGCAGAGAGCAAACGACGACACATTGCAGATGACGATGCGTGTGAATTCTGTGGAAAAGAGGAAACTCTGTTTCATTTGTTTAGGGATTGCCCTAAAACCATGCAAATCTGGAATACAATTAAGGGAGACACCGACACCATTTTCTGGACACAACAAAATTGGAAAACATGGATTACCTCTAACTTATCTCTATCTTATTCTCAGGAGGGAATCAAGTGGCCAATATGGTTCGCAACATCTTGCTGGAAGATTTAGAACTTCAGGAACGAAGAGACGTTCACAGGCAAATATTCAAACTCCAGAAACATAAGCCATTCAATTAAGGCACTGGTTGCAGAAATCAATCGATCGATAAACCTCACCACACCAAAAAACCCCCCTTTGCCACGCCGCCACCCCAACAACTGCAGATGGAAACCACCTCCATGGGAGTGGATTCGTTTAAACACTGATGTGTCAACAACACCACATGCCAAGAGATCCACGGGCGGCGGAGTGTTTCGCAACCACAAAGGAGAGTGGCTCTCTGGTTTCACGGTGAACATAGGGGATTGCCCCATCCTTGAAGCAGAATTTTGGGGGGCCTTCCATGGGCTGAAAATCGCCTGGAAGCTGGGCTTTCGAAAAGTCCAAATAGAAATGGACAGTATCGAAGAGGTCAAAGCCATCCAAGATGATAATGGACCCTTAATTCGGCCCAGTAATGTCCTCCGACGAATCTTTCTTTTGCTCAACCAACCCTGGTTGGTTGAAATACTTCATATAAACCGGGAAGGGAATAAGGTAGCAGATTCGTTAGCTAAAATGGGCCACTCGGCCTCGGTGGGGGTACATATTTTGGCAACTCCCCCTCCCATAGCACTAGATAGTTTAGCTTTTGATAGCCCGTCTCCTTTCCCGGGAGCTATTTTGTAATCCAAGTGTTATGCTTCCCCTGTATGTAAAGTAACAACTACTAGTCATTGACAGGAGCATAGTAGGTGAATTACTCACAAACTAACTATTTGAACTTTATTATCTATAATAGAACGTCGATAAATTAATAACTTCTAACAATTAATAATTTTCTCCGGTCCCAACTTGGGACCAGTACAAAAAGTGAAAAAAATCGATAAATGATAAGATAATAATGTTTCAGAAAATCTCCAATATATCTATAGGTACCAACAATACTATAAATTAATAAATACCCTAACAACAAAAAATAGTAATAATTACTATAAATATTTAGTAAAATATGAACTATTAACACTTATTTTTTAGTCCAATGAATTATGTGTGTATTTTAGTGTTCAATACTTAATTGATTCGGATATAAAGACAACTGCAAATTAAGTAATTTAGTGACGGTTTTTTTTCTCATACAAATTCTTTAAATTAATAATTTATTAATTTATCGATTATTTAATAATTCGCTAAATTAATAAATTTTGGTGGTCCTAACACTATTAATTTATAGAAGTTTTACTGTAGTTTTTCTTAATATCCGTATTTGTCTAAATGGGCATATGGAGATAGTACTAAAGTTGACATAACACATAAGTTTGGTTTAAAAATTCAACATATCGAAGAAAACCTAATTCCCCAATGTTAGTATAAATAGTGTCCCTAAAAAAAAAAATCCAAGATTCTAAGACATCATTAAGTAGAAATTATTCTATTCCATTTGTCTAAAAAATTAATTCATATTAAATTTTAAGATCATATATTGTCGCTGGAAAATTTGAATTAAGTACTAAGAAGACCTTCTATTCTTTGGGCTTTATATTTTTGATTTCTTGAAACATTATTACATTTCCCGTATTTGAGATTTTGAGTCATGTTTCCCATCTCCGCGATGCTACGAATTCAAGATTTACTTCAAAGAAAAACAAAAAAAAAAAAAAAAGAAGAAGAAGAAAAGGGAGATCCAAAATTTTCAACTCAAGTCGAACATAATATTTAATTTCCAAAAAAAAAAAAAACATGATGTTTGACTCATTAGTGAGCATTTATCCCTTTTACCCTATTAAAGCAGAATACAGGATGTTGATGTGGCAATTTCTTATTAAAAAATTTTGGCTCCAAATGCACCACATTGCTTTAACCATTCTGCCACGTGTCATCTCTTTTTAAAAGAAAAAAAAAATTCTTATCCGAAAAAATAAAAGCTAATTTACAAAAATAGCTACACAATTTTAACTCCTAACACTTATCATTTATCAATCAAATTAAGATAGGATTTAAGTTTGTCTATAACTTATTTCTTTTATTACTCCACATTCTTTTGTATGATTTCTGCATCGGTGTACTTTTTTATCATATTAAAGCAGAATACAGGATGTTGATGTGGCAATTTCTTATTAAAAAATTTTGGCTCCAAATGCACCATATCGCTTTAACCATTCTGCCACGTGTCATCCCTTTTTAAAAGAAAAACAAAAACTTCTTATCCGGAAAAATAAAAACTAATTTACAAAAATAGCTACACAATTTTAACTCCTAACACTTATCATTTATTAATCAAATTAAGATAGAATTTAAATTTGTCCATAACTTATTCCTTTTATTACTCCACATTCTTTTGTATGATTTCTGCATCGGTGTAGTTTTTTACCTTATTAAAGCAGAATACAGAATGTTGATGTGGCAATTTCTTATTAAAAAATTTTGGCTCCAAATGCACCATATTGCTTTAACCATTCTGCCACGTGTCATCCCTTTTAAAAAAAAAAAAAAAAACTTCTTATCCGGAAAAACAAAAGCTAATTTACAAAAATAGCTACACAATTTTAACTCCTAACACTTATCATTTATCAATCAAATTAAGATAGGATTTAAATTTATCCATAAACTTATTCCTTTTATTACTCCACATTCTTTTATATGATTTCTGCATCGATGTACTTTTTAATATTTTTTCTCCTTTTGCAGATGATTTTTTATTTTTATTTTTGGCTAAAAAAGAGAAAAAATAAATATGTAGCTATTTTATTTTTTCCAAATCAAAAATTCATTTACCTATTAACACAAAATTAAAGTAGAGGGGGCGCCCAGGCAAGCATCCAGTAGAATCTTAAAAAAAAAAACACACACACACAAAATAAAGCACTAATTGCAGCATAACAACACTACACAAAATATATCCACGTGTCCCAATGATCTTCCAGTACCACAGGCAAAAATTTTCAAAGAATCCTTCTTTAGAAAAAAAGAAAAAAAGAAAAGAAAAACAACATCAGCATCCACGAGAAAAATATTCTGGTCTAGCGTTGGTTATAAAACAATGGCTGCTGCTTTAGCAGCCCCTTTTGCTTTGAACGGAGCCGTGAAAATGGCGAACTCAACCACCTCCCAAGCTTACCTCGACGGCTCCAGAGTTAAAGAATCCAAGACCCTGATTGCCGACCTCTGCCGCCAATTCTACACTCTGGGTTGGGTTTCCGGCACTGGTGGCAGCATCACTACCAAAGTCCACGATGATTCCATTCCCAAACCTGAACAGCTCATTGTCATGTCCCCTTCAGGTACTTCATGTTGTAACTAATTGGTTTTTCTTGAGCTTAAACGCCTAAATTCATCATGGGTTTCTACGGAAATTCGTGATAGATGTTACATATTTGGATTCGAGATTTGATTTTTAATCGTTTTACTTCCTGGAATTGTACGAGCTGAATAAACATCAAACATGTGATTTCGACGGGCCTAAATAGTCTGGGTTCCCTTTCTGACCGATTAATGTTCTATTGATAGGTGTGCAGAAAGAAAGAATGGTGGAGGATGATATGTATGTGTTATCTCCAAGTGGGTCTATTTTGTCTGCCCCATTGCCGAAGCCTTACCCACATAAAGCTCCTAAGTGCACTGATTGTGCTCCTCTGTTCTTGAAGGTATGATTTTGAAGATGAGTTATGGAATTCGTCAATGGTTGTGTTCAGTTTTGACTTCTCTGGTTGCCACCTTCTGCAGAATTAGCCCAACTGAGCACTCCATGTGTTGTTGTCAATCATGCAAATTTGCTAGTCTAGTCTAGTTTTAATTGTCTTAAAATGACCCATCCTAGGGTATTTGAAGATTGGTGGAAGATCATTGTATATTTTGGGAACCTTCGTATTGATTCAAGGCAAATGTCTTTAATGATGGACTCTAAAATTTCGTTTGAGTGGGGCACTATCATGTTTCTACCTTGGTTTTCCGTAAAGAATTGTTAATCTTATCGATCCGGAGCCCTTTAACCTAATTAGAATCTGAACCCTATTTTGTCGTACTGCCTGTTATTTTTAAGCCTTGAATATGATTTGCCTTTTAGCTTTTGCTCTTGTGAGTGACATTTCCTTTCTGCTCTCCAGGCATATCATATGCGGAATGCTGGCGCTGTGATCCATAGTCATGGAATAGAATCCTGTCTTGTGACAATGATCAACCCATTCTCAAAAGAATTTCGGGTAAATAAATTTTTCCACCCACTACCCTATAACATCTCATGGTTGTCAATCTTTAATGATCAATCTTGCATGATTTATATTGTGCCTACAAGTGAGCATGAGTTTCTAGCCATTATCCTAAAATGTATCATTGTTGAAGCAGATTGAATTTACTAAAAGATCTCCAACACCAGAATAAAATAATTAGACCATTGAATTTCTTTGTTGCTGTTTTTATTGTTGTTTCCAGATTCTTTAAGAGGCCAGAAATGAATCTTACGTGAATAAATGCACTACCTCCCCCTCCCCCACCCCACACCACACACACACACAGCCGAAGATAAAAAGAGAGTCCAGAAAATTGAAGTTCTGATTCTTGTGATAGGGGAAGAGTTGAGGCAACTGTGGCAATAGATTTAAAAAAAAAATAAAAGAAAAAGAAAAAGAAGAGAGGATATCTGATGATATTTCTGCTAAAAATATCATGAGCGGTTTTGTTTCAATTGGCATTTATAACTCAATTAAAGTGCTTAACCTCTTCTCTCACCAATGTATCAGCTACTTAGTTCCTATGAGTTGGTTTGCTCTTACCTGTTAGGTCTGGTCTTTTGTGACTTTCTCAGTTGAAACTCTTATCTGGCAAGCACAGGAGATCAGTGCAAATCTATACTATAAGAAAGTCTTTTGAGTTATACTTGCTCAAATTTTGAGTACTTCGATATCTTGTCTTTTTGGTTCTGATAACATACTAATCTAATTTGTTTATACATTAATGCACAGATCACTCATATGGAAATGATCAAGGGAATTCAAGGACATGGTTACTATGATGAACTTGTTGTGCCAATCATTGAAAACACAGCTCAGGAGAGTGAGCTCACGGAATCTCTTGCCGAAGCAGTATTGACTCTTATTTTGTCTCTTTTAGTTTTTACATCTACGTGGTAATAGCTGACATTACAGCCTGCCCACCCGTCTGTTTGCCTCTGTTTACTCAAAGTATGTCGTGGTGAACGTTTGTGTATTTAGCACAATGGTTAGAAATTAACACTAAAACATATGTTCATGCCTCATGGAAGAGTGGCTTGGTATAGGATGTGTATGCCTTCCCATAGTATTTACATGATAGTGAGATCGTAAGTTGTACTTCTGTCTTGAGCGACAAAAATTATCAGAATGAAATCACTGGATACCACCATAAGCAAACCAAAAGTGCATCTTTCACAGTTCTTGTCATGATATTGCTCTGCTTCTGCTGGTCCTGGTTATTTTGTTCTAAGTCTTGGTATGTTGAGTGACGAACTGCCCTATGAATATCGACTTTTTCTAGATAAAAGCTTATCCCAAAACAACGGCTGTTCTTGTACGGAACCATGGCATATACGTCTGGGGTGATAATTGGATCAGCGCCAAAACACAGGTTAGTGATCAAGATTTAATATCATACAAAACAAAAGTGCTGGTTAGTTGTATATAAAATAGTATACAAAAATTTGATTAAAATGTTCCTTTAGTATCAGAAGCATGTTCCTAGTAGTGCTGAGTTGTAAGTTCCAGAATTCATGATATGTATTAAAGCTTTATGTTCACATCTTGCATCTGCATGGAGCAACCTGTTGCAGGTGAGGGCAACGCTTGTTTTGTCGTGCTTCTTTTCTAATTTTTAACTTCATCTTCCAGGCTGAGTGCTATCATTATCTCTTTGATGCTGCCATTAAACTTCACCAGTTAGGAATGGATTGGTCAACTCCAACACATGGTCCCATCCAGAGTGCTAATGGTGTTTTGGGTAATGTTCGGGATGCTTATAGACCCACAAAGGCAACAAAGATTGCTTCAGAGAATGGTACTGAACCATTAAAAGTAAGTTTTCTCTGCCATTTGCGTTTTGATTTTATCCGTGACTTTAAGTTGCAGCAGTTATATAATAATACTGGAATGTTTGTTTTCCAATTTAACACTGAAGTATCAATGTGTTACAGCGCTGCATTGTTCTGGACATCGAGGGTACCACTACTCCGATTTCGTTTGTGACAGATGTTCTCTTTCCTTATGCAAGGGAGAGCGTAGGGAAGCATTTAGCTGCAACATATGAAACGGCAGAAACACAGGATGATATCAAGTTATTGCGTGCTCAAGTATTGAATTTTTCCTTTTCTGAAATTGTCTTTTAAATATATTGCTTTAGAAAATTGCACTGGTAGTGCGATGTAATTATGAAGAATGCAAGTTGTCTACCTCATTCATCTCCTTAGGAAAACATTGTTACATGTGCTTACATTTAGTGGTCAACATTGCTAATTGTTGGATCTCTAAACAAGGAGGCATAACTTACTGATGGTCTTTGTATAGGTACAAGAAGATTTAGCAAATGGCGTTGCTGGTGCATTGCCAATTCCTCCCGAGGAAGCAGGGAAGCAGGACGTGATTGCAGCTGTTGTTACGAATGTGGAGGCAATGATTAAAGCTGACAGAAAGATTACTGCTTTGAAAGAATTGCAAGTGAGTGTATGACTGATAATATCAAAATCCTTTATACCTTACCCCTAACCTCCTCATATATAAGGTCGCTTCTCTATATGAGTAACATTTCCACCTAACGAACACTTCTTCACTTTGCAATTGCAGGGTCACATATGGCGCACCGGATTCCAGAATAATGAGTTACAATCTGTTGTTTTTGAGGATGTGCCTGAAGCACTGGAGAGGTGGCATGCCTTGGGCATCAAGGTTACTTTCCCATGCCTTATTGTCTGTAATGTTAAACCAGTAGAAATGTTCCAAGTGGATTGCCAAAAGTATTTAGAGATTTTCGTTTAAGTTCTCCCGTCATCAAGTATCTTCCACTAGCCATATTGGCACTAGCTGTTATATATATGAACACCAGTAGTCCTAGCCATAAATGATGGATACATTCAATTTTGTTCATAGATATGGTCTTTTCTAATTTTCTTCCTGGAAGAATATGAAAACAGATATATTTCGTTTTAAGACCGATTACAACTTGATTTTCCACGTTGGCGGCAGCAAGACTTGTGACCAACCCAATCTGTTTCATGTGTCAGGTATACATCTATTCAAGTGGCAGCAGACTAGCACAGAGACTTTTGTTTGGCAACACAAATTATGGAGACCTGAGGAAATTTTTATCTGGTTTCTTTGATACCACCGTGGGGTAAAAACTTATTCCTGTTGGAAACTTATTTCACTTGGCTGCTGTTTGTCTTATCTTCAGATTTTGTTTGTTTAACAATCGCTGATTCAGGAACAAGAAAGAAAGCAAAAGTTATGTAGAGATTACAGAATCACTCGGAGTAGATAACCCTTCGGAAATTTTGTTCGTTACTGATGTCTATCAAGAAGCAACTGCAGCCAAAGCAGCAGGTAATCCACTTTGAGGTTTCTAATTTAAGGTAAATCAACATTAATGTTTTGGTCATGAATATCATTGGTGCACCACAAACTGATGGTCCAGCAGCCACACTGTATAATTTTGAACAAGCATTAAAACCTAGACTAGTAAAACATGCGCATGTCTGCCCAGTGACCTAGGAAAACAGATATTTGTGTTCATTAATCAAATGATTGAGTCTTTTGCGTGCACATTTCAGGTTTGGAAGTGGCAATATCTATTCGGCCAGGAAATGGACCTCTTCCGGAGAATCATGGGTTCAGAACAATCACGTCTTTTTCAGAAATCTGATATATGTGGAATACTTTATACTCTTGTAATAAAGGCCACATTTTTGCCTGGAGCCTTGTAAGGATTTTCTCTGGACATTTGTGCCTTCATGGCATTGTCTGCAACTTATTGTATGTGAAATATGATAGTGTTAGCTTCATTTCATTCAAATAAAAGAAAGTTAGATGGAAGATTTCATATTCATGGATCAATATCTAATTATCTGCCGATTGTGAAAATGACACTTGCGAATTCATGTTCTAGATCCTCTGGTCTATATTCGGGATTCCCTCAAAATTAAAATTGTACAGAATCTCATGAGGACAATTTGTAAGTCGACCCTTGTTAAAATATAAGTCCTAACAACAAGGACAGAACATCATCCAAACCTTTGGAGCTATCTAGAAGTAGCTGGTTAAGACCGTATCAACGGCCTGTTTGAATTTGTTTATCTGTTTTTGATATCTTCTTTTTGGTTAGGGGACAGGAATTGGGTGTCCCGTGTCCTCTTGCAGCTAGTGAAAATTACAGAAATCACAACTGTACGCCCGCCCGTTTTTTTTTTTTTTTTTTTTATCAACTGCGACAATTGAATTTTCGACTTACATTATCCCTGAATCTCCTTACCTTTCATTGTGAAAGGAAATCAAACAGCATGGTACTTTGTTCTACCTATTTTATCATAATGAGAATCGATTCTGCTTCCATTAAAATGAATACATAAGACACAATTATCTGTTCACCTTGTTATTACTGATGTAATCATGAAGTAAGGGGAAAAACTAGGGATGACTAGCAAAGTGGAAGTGTGTTTAAGAACCCAAATACTAACAAATGGAGAGAAATGATCATCGTCATCGTCATCATATGGATCAAAGACTTTGAAAGAGTGTTAGGGCATAAAATATATTTCGTGCACGTCCCAATTACTTTAATACACATTTGATTATGTCATCTCCCAAAATTGGTTACTCTAAAAACCCGTAACAGAAATACGTGTGTATATTAAAAAGTGTTGAACTGAATTGAAAAAAAAAGAAAAGAAGGGCAAATCGCATTTTCTTCAAACCTAATTATTGCTTGGTTTTACTTCTTTCTCAATCATCATTTCATATCAATATTGGTAGCATTAGGCTTTAGCATTTCCCCCTACCTTTCTCTTTCTAACCTTTTTGGAGTGTTTTTCTTTCTTTCTCCTCTGTCCATGTGTTTTTCTTTTGGCTTTCTCCCCCGCACTGCCGGTCTCCTCTTAAGTCAAAAAGACACCACAATTAAGTAATTAAACCCCAATATTTAATACTAGTTTATAGTACATTATTAGTACCTACTTGCTGATACGATCGACATTGTGTTTGTGGTATTGCTCCTCTTTATTGTGCACATTGGTGGTCACTTTGCATCATTGCTTTCCTTTCCTTTTCAATTACGTTTTGTATTCAACATGTAACAAATGGAGCATCCCAACAAAAAATAAAGTCGGAAAACAGAAAGCTCTTTCAAAAAAAAAAAAAAAAATGTATAAAACGTTTCAACGGTTTGAACTTTCTATATTCCCTTTTTGTGGTGTTGTCCGATATCAACAAATTATAACCGTTTTCGTGATAGTTTTCATTTCCTTTTCACTTCAATGTAGTAACTATAGTTAGTGACTTGTGTTTAATGGGAGCAATTGGGATGAGATTGCTAGTATTAGGTAAAAATCTCCATCCATTCATTCTCACGTTTCAACCAAAGTTTTTTTATTATTATTTAAAACAAAAATTAAAAAAAAATTAAGGAGGTGCTTAATTACTTTTCCATGATTTCATCCAATAAGAACAAAAAATTTCAGTTCCACGTACCAAACCCAATATATATAATTTTTTTGGCCAATTCTTTTAACCAATAAAATAGTACAAAAGGGGCAGACAGATTCAAATACAAGTCAAAAATAAGGGCTAGGTCTTTGATTTTTAATATGAACTCCCTATGAGATACAAATTAAATTAAAATATCTTTGATTGTGGGGTCAATCCTAGTACTTACTCCTCCTCCTTGAGCTTAGTACCCTTTCTCAATTTTTTAACTTTCAAAACCCTTCAAAAAAGATACCTTAGTAGTTATGTTCTTCTATGGACTCTATTGAACCATACATCCAATCATCGGAAGCAAAATGGATTCTACAATTTAGCCAAAGTGTCTTTTAGTGTCTATTTCTTCTTAGGAAATATCATAAAGGGGCTAGTTGGGATTAGAAAAAATTGACTCTCCAGCAAGATGATGATGGGACCCATGAAAGCCTGTGTCTTCTCTGTTTTCTCTGTCTTTCTGTGTGTGTGTGTGTGTGCGTGTTTTTTTTTTTTAATACTATAATAATTATTATTACATGTACACGGGAGCTCAGGTTTACTAGATTTTCTTCAGTTTGTTTGTGTATGTCCTAAGCTCCTAGCAATGGTAAACCCTAAACATGTAAAGTACTTGTTCTTCTGTAAAGGTTGGGCCAGTGAAAGCTGCACAAAACCTCCTGCACCTACCTTCTATTAACCCAATCTAACTCACAAAATCACAATCTATAATTTTGTGTATTAATTCTATGATAGTGTTGTTTGATCTCGCGCTACACTTGTAGAATTTGAAAAACAACATCAACAGCAACTTATTAAATGCACAGTATCAGAGGGCAGGTCTGAACCTTTTTTTTTTTTTTTCTTCTTTCCTTTCAAAAACTCATTATTGGGTTCCCCCTTCAAAATTATTGCCATTTTGACAAAAAGAAAAAGGGGGAATGATTTATTGCTATGCACTTTAAACTACAAACACCCAAGTTGGGAAAAATTTTAAATTATGGCATTGATATTTTGTTGTTCCAACAGCAGTAAAAAAAAGAAAGAAAAAAGACATAAAATGCAAGTGTAAGAATCTGAATTTTTGGTCCATCTGACCAATTTGACATTATAAAGATCATTATCTCATGTGTTTAGTGCAAAACTGCATATATGCCAAGAATATGAATATGAATCATCTGATCAAATGTAATGAAAGCAAATGTAAACGCAAAATGTTATAAAGTAACAATCTTTTTTTATATGTGTATTGGCATTTTTTAAAAAAACTTGGATAGTGGGATTATCAATCACCTTCTTCCTAGTATTTACTTACAACTTTTGCATTATAATGAAGCCATTCACGTGACACAAGAACAAAGGACAAAACTCCACAAATTTGGAATTAGATTTTTCCGGCAGTTTCATTATCCCAAGACTTGGTCACAAAAAGAAAAGGTAAAATAGAAAACAAAAAATTAAAAAACTGAAGTTCATAATTGAAGAGTAAAAATCAACGTCCTCATTTTTCTTGGCTTGAGACAATGATGAAGAAGAAGTTTAAAAAAAAAAGAAGAAGAAGAAGAAGAAGAAGAGGGGTCAATCAAATTGTACATTTTGGGAAGCAGAGTTTGATCTCTACCTGTTTCTCTCTTTCAACACCCTCTACAAAAAACAGAACTCACAATTAGACAATACTCTGTTTTTGTTCTTTCTTTTCTGGGTTCAAGATGAAGAGCCTGATGATACTCTGGGGGAAGTGACCGGAAAGAGTGGCAATAACTGAGGTTCAGAATCTCTAGGCGTGGTTGTTCTTGGAGACGGATGCAAATAGAATTTCTTCTCGGCAATAGCCTTTTCCTCTTCGGAAGAATTCCCCAACAAAGGCGAAGAAGACTTGCTGAAAGTATCCTCATTCAAAGGGGTGACAGGGCTGAGTTTAAGAGACGGGAAATCGAGAATGCTGGGGGACAAGATCTCCGGCGGCTTCCGGGGAGAAAAGCTAGTGGAATTTTGGTGATGATGGAAACCCGGGACCAAAGGGCTGATCATAAGCCCATTCTTGAGACTGTTCCTCCTCTCATAAAGCTTAAACCCCTGTTTCTTCTGCCCTGTTTTGATGGGCGGAATACTGCAGCCTTTGTTGTTGTTGTTGTTTGAATGTTGTTGTGGATCTGATGATGGGGAGGCTTGCTTAGCGGTTTCCGATGATCCAGTCAGCATCTGAACTACCTGTTTGAAAGTGGTTGTGTCGGCTTGAACAAAAGTGGTGGGATAAGGATTGACTTCAGATCTAGATACTGGTTTTGGGGTGGCTGGTGGAGTTGGGATTTGATGTGGTGATGAAGTTGATCCCCCATTGCCGTTGCTACAACTTCCATTGCTGTGTGGGGAGTTTGTGGGTGATGGGTTCTCTTTTTCTTGAGGTTTTGAGGAAATTATATCCATTTGCATGATTTTAATGTTTTTTTTGTCCTATTGGCCTAAAATTTATGATAACAAATGGCAATTGAGAAGAAGAAGAAGAAGGAGAAGAAGAAAAGGGTTGGTTATGAGTTTGGTTTAAGGGGGTGGAGAAGAAGAAGAAGAAGATGAATTGAGTGAAAAACAAGGCTTTTGTTTTGGGTAAAAAAAAAAAAGAGAGAATTGTGGGATTTTGCTTATTTTTGCTTTTGTTTTGTTGTGCACTCGAGGGTCTTTAGAGCCACTCTTTTTCTGTCTCTCTCTCTCTCTCTTGACTTATTTTCTGTTGTGTTTCTTCCTTTCTTCTTCCTCCCAATCACACTTATTAGGTTTTATATATACTTTAATTTTTATTCCTTTTTTGTTTTTTCTCTTTTCTTCTGGCTTTATTGGGTGGGGTTAATAGTCTCTGTGAATGAAGTAGGACTGACTGATTGGCAAAAAAATGCAGACCCAACGGTCCTTTTAGATAAGGGGGAGAAAGAAAAGAGAAGGTGAATGAATAAATAAGGTGGAAAATGGCATTTTTGGGCTCAAATCAACTTCAAATTTTGGAAATTCTTAGGCATCAGAATCATCAACCATCATCATCAACTCAACTGGCCCTTTTTGTTGTCTTCTTTTTTTTTTGCTTTTGCTAATTGGGTGGGAATTCCCCCCCCTCCCAAGTTTTCAATTTATTTATTTATTTTTGGTTTTCAATTGTGTAAAAACGTTAAAATATATGCAGAGCATTGACTTCAGAGCCGGAGTGTCAGTGGTGGTGGGGGTGTGTGTCACTGTATCACTGTGTGACTGTGTGTGTGTGTGTGTGTGATTTTGGGATCGGAGATGTTAACATTTGATCAGCCATCATCAGTGCTTGTGGTACTAAACTCCAACACAAACCTCAAAGTTGTGTAGTAAGCGATGGGATATCTTAGGACTGAATTTTTTGTAAAGAGTATTTTGCATTTTCATTTTTATCTCGGATTGTATTTAAAGTAAAATATTCAAACTGAACAATTATTATAAGACGGGAATCGTGGTTTGTATAAATTCTGCGCGTGAATTACTTTTATACAACACTTCCAATCACAGGATGAACGATGATAAATCACATTCCTGGATTGACCCTTATTACCTATTTTATTTACTGTACCTCTCCTATCCTAGGCCAGTAGGCCACTGCTTTTCTTCCCTGTTTTACTAATGTTACTTTGTTTTCACCATTTTACGTTAACCTCTGACTTTTTACCTTGTGTTACTCGTACAGTTTTTACAGATAATAAAAGGTTAAAAAGTCTTTTCCTCAGAGGGAACAAAGACTAATTCGGATTCCATTATTGTGTTGAACAATGATTGAAGAATGGGATTTCCAAAGAGTTGAAGTTGAACATTCCAAATTTCCACCCTAATTAATTAAATTAAGGTTTTTAAGGCATCCTAATCCTAATTATTAATAAAAGGTTTATATGTATGTGTGGAGGCCACGGGCGGGGGATTAACATTCATCATTGAATAAGAATTTCCTTGGTTTGCTCTTGGATATATGTACATTTCCGCTGGTCTTCCATATTCTCTCTTAATTGATCAGCTTGAATTATTGAATTTTTGAAGGGTAATGTAACGTGGAAACTCGTACAAATTTGTAGTATCAAATTAAAGAAAACATTTAGTGCAATATACTTTCTTGGTACTACTTAGAGATAACGATACTCATAATAAGAAGTATCTAGCTGTACACACGCACACATCTATGCCAGCCAGGACGTTAAATTAAAAACGTATTCAAGTTTAGGAAGCCAAAAGAATTATTGTTTTACACAAGCACTATTTTTACCTTGTGATCTGAAAATAAAATTATATTCCTACCGTCCCAAGACTGAAAATCAAATCTTATTAGTTATTGCTATATTGTTTTGGTTTCACAGACGACATTTTTTTTCCTTTTTAAATTTTTTATTTTTGGAGAGGTACAAGTGAAAGTATTTCGTGTACAATGCTTTTGACAAAGACCCTGTTTGATAAACCAATTCACCATTTATACTTAAACTTATTAATTAAGTACTTAATTGATTATCACTGTTTGATAACGCAATATCATAACAACTTAATTGGTTAAAAACTTATATTTTAAGTACGCTTCAAAATAGGATGTATTAATAAATTAAGTGAGTCTGAAATACAAATACGAATGTGAGTCTAAAAATAAGTGATGGGTCTATCACTTATGTCTGAACTGAATTCTTGAGAAATTTTTGTTTCCCTATTTTATTTTCTTTTATGTTTATACTTTTGATGTTTTATCTTGAATTTTTTTTATTAATCTTGATGTTTATATTAGTTATAAATTAAAATTTATATTAATTTTTTTAGTTGATAAATATTTATTTTAATATAAAAATTAAAAATCCAAATAAATTTCACGATCAATATATATTTACCATAAAATATGATATTTTTTTATAATAATAAAGATATGGCATTATTATTAGGGTGTTTATTTTTCAAGCCACCAAGATTACTACTTGAAGCCACTTTCAAATTTGGAGCATTTTACCCCTATTATTTTTTCAAATCAAATAACTTGACTAAAATAACTCGAATAATAAATTATTCATAAATTTAATAACCTAAAAACTAGATTAACTAATTACAAAAAAAATCTAAAATTTTAAAAATTTTAAAAAAATTAATTTTTTTTTTAAAAAAATCAACCGACCAGACGGTCCACCCGTCCCGAGTTAACCCGAGACGGGCAAGGAACTCGTCCACTTGTTCACCCGAACGAGTTCCTTGCTCGTCTTTTTTTTTGTTAATTTTTAATTTTTTAAATTTTTTTTTTAAAATTTTAGATTTTTTTTTTGTAATTAGTTAATCTAGTTTTTAGGTCATTAAATTTATGAATAATTTATAATTTGAGTTACATTAAGTATCACCAATCTTTGTAGTACAAAAAATAGTTAATCTATTTGCAGATATTTATCACAATCTTTGTAGTACAATTATAATTTTTCATTATAAATGTATAATTATTCTTTTAACTAAAAATTATCTTTAAAATTATGATTGAAGTAAATTTTATATTTGAATATCAATTCAATTAAATTAACTTAACGAATAATCTTAAATTTGTTTTCAAGTAAAAATTAATTACTTATTTATTTTCAAATAAATATAAAATCGAAAGTTTAACCACTAAAGTATAAATATTGTTAAATGACAGGGGCAAAATGGTCATTCTTCAAAAATGGTAGCTCTAAGTAGTAAAGGGGGTGGCTGGAAAAATCGTCCCCTTATTATTAACTGGAAGAATAATTATATAATAAAATTTAAATATTTTTATTACATAACTTTGTAATAATACTATTAATTTTTTTAATCATAGGTTCATATACATCAATTATTTTCATAGATAAAATTATAAGTCGAGACACTTTAAATTTCAGTGTTCAGACTCTAGATTTCTGACATTTTATTCAGTATTCATATTTTTTTTTATCAAACACAAAAAAAATTAATCAGTTCATTACTTATGATTTAGTCATCAGACTCGAATCCTCTAAATTATCTAATTATTACGGGTCTTTCATGTCGTGGTTACTGAAGGGACAGAATTATATAGATAACGGAATGTGGGAGTTTTCTAATTAACTAGGCATCATTTACAGTTTTAGGAACACTTAAGTCGTAATTAATTAAATATCTCCAAGTGTGTAACGTAAAAAGTTCCAAAGCAAGTTCGGTGTCTAGATTCAATTAATAAGAATAATGTGGCTGGTTATAATTATAAATATAAAAGTAGTAATTTTAAGTTGTTTTTAGTAAATTAAAAGTCCACTTATACGAGAGATTCTTCACATATGATGCATTTTAAGCACTTTCACAAATTGGAGAAGAAAAAGCATGAAATGTAGTAGTAGAAGTAGTAGTAAATAATAAAGGGAGAACAAAAGAATCGAATTCTTCTCATTCATTTCAACTGTTTTGGAATAAGAGCTAGAAAAGGACGGACACTATCAAATTATCAAATACTCTATTAGGTCTTCTAACAAGTGCATGAAACATGTAAAGGCGCAAAATAACTTCTAGAATTTTTATTATCTATTTTTTTTTTTGGGTACTATTTTTTTAAATTGTAGTCTACGGTACTAACTATAGAGGCAGCTTAGGTATCGAACCACACTAATTTTTTGAAAGTGGTTTGGGATTTGAGATTTATTAGGTCTCTCGAACAAATTCGGTTTTTTACAAGTACATTGATTCCTTTATTTTTTTTTTAAAACTCAATTATGTATAAGATATTTTCTTTTTTCCTTCCCTCTATAATTTTGTGGACATGGGAAAATAAAATACACGTGTATGAGTTCTATGGGTAACCAAAAGATTCGTGAATTTTGGACAAATCTTATTGATTTGGATATCAAGTATAGTTTGGAATTTAGGGTTTAAATCGAAACTCAGTCGTTATTAGAAAAAACGAAAGAGAGTAAAACATTCCGAAGTTTCCATGATCCTTTTAATAATACTTTTAAGTCTTCGTTGGTTTTATCTTTCACGACGAAGAGTTGTCAAACGCACACAACACGAAAATGACCCGCCGGCTTCTGTAAGACCTAATCCGATGTGGAAATTTCTCCTTTTTATTCTAATAATTAATTTCACGTTTTTTTGGTCTTTTTTCTTTCTCCCTGTCCGATTTTATGTTTACATGAGTACATATATGTATATAATATGTGTATATGTCCGATTTTTCTTTCAATTTTCTCCATCGTTGTTCTCTTACTTTCGTGTAGTGATGAAATTAGCTAAGCGCTTTATAGTTTACATGTCATATTTTAAGGAGTAAGTCTGCTGGACACTTTCACAATATATTTTGAAATGTATAGAAGTATATGAATAGATTATAGATATCCAAGCAAAATGTAGAAAGGCTTTTTTTTTTTTTTAATATGGCAAAGTATAGAAAGGTTGATGGACCAAGTAGCAGCAGCAGTAATCCTATCTGTTCCAAACAAAATTGCTGACTGGCTAGAACAAGGAAGGAAACGGCCTCAAAGTTGATCTGTTAGATTGTTATGGCTTTGGCAGAGGAGAAGTATTGCCATTGCAAATATGCATGATTTGAATTTTTCTTTTTATGACTTGAATTATTCCATCATTCATTTCCAACTTTTTTTTTTTTTTTTTCTCCTTTGGCTATTTTAGCATCCATAAGGGGTCGAACATTAGCGATGAAGCAAAATGTCTTCAAATCATTGTGAATACACAATATTTACCAGTTTAATATCACTTTCGCGTCTCACTTTACATAACGTTCAATTAGTAGTATTTCACCTGGAATGAATAAAAATGATAACAGTTCGCTTCTATTTGAAATTGGCCAAATAATGAAAGTTCACTATTTGCATATATATATATATATATCATTATTTCCGTGAAAGGGTCGGGCGTGCTACTATAAAGCCAGCATGAATTTGCCAGAGTTGGCTTTCACATGATCTTCAAGATGGAATACCACATATATAACTTCAATTAATCAATTAAAGTATTTTCCTAGCTAATCTTGATACATGCACATAAATTAATTAAAAAGAATTAGCTCTATTATGATGCAGCTATATTTGATTAAAACTAAATTATAGTACCCCTTTTTAGTTTTTATACGTTTATTTGAGGACATCTAGGGAGAGCATTGGATATGGCATAAAACTCTGAAGAATTTGTGGACCACATTTTGTATATTGTGCATGAATTTTGAGCAGTGCGCAACACAGTGTATACTGTATTTTGTGTAGCTGTCTCTGCCTGTATTTTCATTTCTAAATTCCTTTGGCATTTATTATCTTCAAATTCAAATCCCTCACCTTATTTTTCTATTTCAACAACAAAACGAAAGAAAAATTATTTCACAAATCGAATTTTTGTACTCAAAATAGAAATTCACAGTGGATAATTATTTTTAGAACAGAGAGAATATTAAATGGGACCGGATGGGATATTTTTGAATAAAATGTTTTACAGAAAAGATTGGATCATGAGAATTTCTATAGCTCTGATTTTTCAACTTTTCCTTCTGGTTAGTTCAAACTATATAGGCCGACGTGCTGAGCCCATATCACTTTTATTTGTTCGCTGCTCAATCTTCAAAACCTGACCGTCTAACTCCACTCAAGAAGTTATTTTGTAATCTAAGCGTTAAGCTTCCTCAGTTTATTATAAAAATAAAATAAAATAAGAAAAAAAATCTTCAAAACCAAGACCCAATTTACATTCTCAACAGGTAGCCATTACTGTTTAACCTCTCCTTATTTGTCTATACCAAATCACAATCTACTTCCATCAAGCTGTATAAGTTTTGTGAGAAACAATGTTTATAAATGGAACAATCAAATGAAGCAGGCACATCAATTTGTCCACAATCAATTCTCCCTGGTAACAAATTCTTCCTACATAAATATAGAAGAAAGCAGCAGTTCTACTACTATTATTCTTCTATAGATACTAATAAGTGTGAACCTCCAGTTCACACAATAATTCCGTCAAAACTAACATCAGATCATAGTTCCGCTATACATACGTAGAATTCCAATCACAGTGCCCTGGCAACATTTTTGAATTCGTTCAAGCACGAATGCAGTATCTTCTGACGTTTCTGGAGGGATTCCTTCTCATTCTGAAGAACATCAATTGCTCCAGGAGCCACAAACATGTCCATAAACCTGTCGTCATTCACTGCAAATAACTCCAGTCCAAGTGCTACAATAAGCCTCTCTCGACTGTAACAATTAGCAAAGGAAACAGATAAATACAAAAGTTTTGAGTCCACTGAATATAAGACATAAAGTAGAGCCTATAAATTTACCAAGGGGTCAAGAAACTGGAATTTAAAGTTGACGCCACACTTCGTTCAACCAATACTTCCCTCATTCGAGCAAAATGCCTTGCAGCTGATGAGCATATATCTGAGTAAGCAGAGCCTGATTTGCCAACAATATCTCCATTTCCAAACAAGGAATCATTGATTTGACCCCTTAAATGGTCAGCGTTCCTGTTGTTTCCTGCTACTCTAGGGTGGCGTTTCTTTCCTCCAATCTCAATGCAGTTTGCAAGTTCCTTTTTAACAGCATAATTTCCACCACCTGGCTGCTCAGGTGAAGGGGTCTCAGGCACAGTCATTTGGCATTCCCGGAGAGTTTCTCTACCTTCTTCACCTCTTCCTGGTGTGGTTCTTTCCTGGACATTTTTCTCTGGGGGTATGTTTTCTTGATTACTTACGAGTGCATTGCGCAATGAAGGTGCCACATCAGATAGCTCAAGTGCAAAAGAACTAGGAGAAGCTTGGTAGAATGACCTGACACATGAACTCGAACTACCAAAGATATCATTCTCGTAGCAGACTTGAGAGTATGGGCTTGTAACTGAATCAAGATGGTGTCTAATTAGTTGCTTGCACTGTTTGGCCAGATCTCGTACAAAGCGGTTGTATGAGTGCCTCAGAGCAGCATAGAAACCAACATATCCAACCATATCTTCAGCTTTCAAACCATCTACAGAATGAAATGGCAGTTAGGATTTCAACAATGTTATCGTTGACAATAAGTTTTTAAACTATGCAGCAACAGATGCTATTGAGAATTGGTTGGATTCTACGAATTGCAAAACTGAAGACTCATAGCACTAATGGTACTTAAAGTAAGCTTCAACCACGACAATTTCAATATTGCCTAACCATGTCGCTAATTGAATTTTATCATTCAGAGTCAATCACCATGCAATTCTTTACGTTCTTCCATTGATGCTTATCCAGAAATTACTGTCATCTACATGATGCATATGCACATGTGATAACAACCCAAGCAGCAGAAAAGGCCATGCTCTTGGAAAGCCTCAAAAAGAACCATGAGAATGAATGTGGTTCGTCACATTGACAAGTAATGGTCTGTCTTAATGAACAGCTACAAACAGAATATCTTAAATGCAGTAAGCCAACAAATAAAAGTTAGATCAAAACAAAGAGAGCATAAGCTATCAACTACAAGGATAGAAAATCTTACATTCAGTATCATGGAGATGATTTCTCTCAACAGCTAAATCAAAAAGTTTGCTCAAAACAAAACCAAGTCGATCACATGCTGTATCAAGAAGAGGAGAAAGCCACGACCGTGCAGCAGCACGTGCTATCTCTGCAGCTGCCTCTGTAATTCCTCTACTCCCTCCCCGGCCAGCATGTGCAAGTAATATGTTTGCCACCTGATACATAAGTCACAATAATCAAACGTTTATTATTAATATACTAATTCTTTGATCTTGGCAAATGATTACCTTTTCCCTTGAAACTGGAGGGCATTCAATGGAATATGCAGCGCATCGAAATTCATGCATCACTCTCTCAAAAGCAGCTCCTCCATACAGTCGTAAGGAAGCATTTGGAGGCTTTATATCTGCTATAACACCAGGCCAACTACCAATTCCACTCTCTAACCGCTCCTCATCAGTTGTCTTTCCCCACTGCTCAGGATCAGGATCTGCTGCTCCATCAATCAGGGCCCCCTTTCACCCAGTGAAAAGGAAAAATGAGTCTCTAAGTGAAGTAAAGTTCCAAAACACTCTCAATGAATATAAGCCAAAAGTAAAAAACCAGACTAATTAAAGTGACAAACTTAAAAATATCCGTAACAATTACCATATGATTACATATAGAAGCAGCGTGCAACATGGCAGATCTCCGAAGATGACCAACATCAGAAGTCGATTTTATCTTGGAATCCATCCTGGCTAGTTCATCAGTAACCTCACCGCAGCGCTGTTCAAGCAATGCCAATGTAGCTGGGGCAGCTTCTTTGTATCTCCTTTGTAGTTCAGTTTCCAAAAATTCTCTTAGGCAACCGAACCCGATATGTGACCTGTATTTTTCCTCGTCAAAGCCACCTTTAACACCACTACGCAGATGGCATAGAACTTCTGCATCGACCTGGGAAATTTGCCTGCGAAATTCATCATTTGATACTGCACTTCTTTCCTTTGGCAAGGCCACAAAGAAAGGCCGCGTGTTCTCCCCAAGGTAGCCACTAGCACTCAAATAGCGATCAACTTCCCAACGGTCACCAAACTCCTGAAGTACATCAGTAATTCCTTTATGTTGGAAGCTGGTAATCCAAAAACATAAAGAACATACAAGAAGTCAGGCTAATGTACCTTTAGCCTGTTATCAAACTTTGAGACAACAATTATAGTCCTACGGAATGTTGGATCAATTTCTCGAATTGAATCCAGCCATAGTGATGAGCACCACTCAACACTGCTTTGCTGAAGGAACAAGAGGATGCGATGAGGAGGGCTAGCAAGAGACTTCACCATTGCCAAAATCTCTTGCGGCGTACTCTCTGGTTCACCTTTCTTAGCCTGCCAACAAAATTCAAGCCTCAAATTTTACATGTTTACCAAGTACAAATCACCTAAACAAAACTTCTGCACAAACATCCCTCTCAAACTCCCAATATGTAGCATCGCTTTGAACGGAAATTACCTTGAGAACAAACCCAGGGGTGTCAATGATAGTCAGGTTAGGACAATGCGCATATTCTGCTCTCATCACAATCGGCTTCGAAGAAACAGCAGTATTGGTCTTTGACAAAAGTGCCTCGGTCCGAAGCTTTATAGTATCAGCTATAGCAGATGCCGAAGAGATAGGGTTCCCATAGTCCTCCGAATCCTCCTCCTGAATTCATGGTCAACAGCATTTCGTTCACTTATGTGTTTATCAATTAAAAGTAGCCTATAATTACAGGAAGTTTTCAGAAAGTATCCAAAACTGAGAAGAACTAATAATCATTTCAGCAGTAATTTCCAAGGACTTAAGCAATTTATACTGAAATCCAGTCATGATTGCTTCAATATAATCAATAATAAACTTAATTCTTCTAATCGGACACAATAATGATGAAATGAATCCATCAATTTGCTTGAAATTTCATACCGTTATTAATCAAATCAAAAGTAAGTATAAGAATAACGTGTGTTCCATAATTCGACGTTTCCTAACTTAAACGAAGTTATTCTAGCGTTCAGTATAACTAAAATTGTTTCACGGAAAATTAAATGACATTTCGAGGACCTGAAAACGGCAACGAGGTTCCAAAGCAGTAGGATCATGGACCATCTGAAGTATAAGAGGTCGTCGGGTCCCCATCTCAACTTCCCGGACGTTGAACCGAAAACCAAGGAGGGCTTCGAGAAGAGAGCTCTTCCCATCGGACTGACCGCCTAGGGCAACAATCTCAGGAATGGGGAGTTTCTCGCCGAAGGCAACGGCGGCAGACTGGAGGCGATTGTAGGCTTCGAACCGGGTCTTGAAGTCGGCACGGGTTCGGGCGGCTGAATTTGGATCGCTTAATTGGCTGTGATTTCGCTTGTTATTAATGGAGGAGGAAGTAAGTGAAGCTTTATCGGAGATCGGAGTTTTATTTGTTGGGCTGGTGAGGAAGGCGGCGTGCGCCGTGGTGGTGGTGGTGGTGGTCGCCATTGAGGTGAGGATGTGGATTCCTTTCTCTCTCTTCGTCAAATATGCACATAAAGGCGCTCCGGAAACTGAGAATGATTTTGAATTTGAAAATTTTAAACTGAAGGGAGACGTTGAGTAGGCTTATTGGGCTGGACCTAAGAGATAATACAATCTGCTCGTTTTCGTGACGGTACGTTTGGGCTTCACACCCTTTCTCCGAAATTTGGGCTTGAGGCCATTTCTCTTATAATCCGGTAAGGTAGTCATGCCATTTCGAATAACTCAATGTATAGATAAAAAATCCAAATGATATGGTACGTAAACAAGATATGTAGCAAAATACGGTACTTTGGTATGAATTGCAGAATTTGATAAATCATCGAGGCCTTGTTTGGATAACCTTCCATTTTACATTTTCACTCATTTTACATCTTAAACACAAAATCCAATGGAAAAGAAAATATCATTCAAACAACTTTCTGATTTACATTTTAAATTTTAACTTGAAACACTTTTTGTTAATGTAATGACCATTTTAGAACTACAAATAGTTCAGTGACAAATTTGGCAGGATTCCGTTGTTGAGTGATTGTTTTTGAAAAAGTTCTTTTTTGCATTGACTATAATTAACAGTATTTAATTATTTAGTGATGACTTGTACTTGATATTTCAAAATGTAGTTCAAAATAATTTTTTTTTACCAAATTCCAAACAACATTTTTATTTTCCATTTAGTTTTCAATTTGAAACACTTTCCACTTTTAAGTGGTAAAATGAAATGTAAATTGACGTCCAAACAAGCATTTGTCAAATTTTCTAATGCACATCGAAAATCATTAGGTTGATGAAAAGTCTGATTGGTCCATCGCAAATCGTCGAGAAAAATAAGATTAAAAAATGTGTAAATCATTCTAACATCTTTTGTTATTCTGTAGTTAGTACTAGTTACCAACCTCCTAACTCTAATAATTTTAATAGCTTTGTCTGGTCTTGAAAGCAAAAGTTACAAAGTTTAAAGTTACGAAATTGGACTGTCGACTAAAACTTTCTAACTCAAAAGCCAAACTTACGAAGAGAAGGATTTCAAAACCATAGAATTTTTCTCACTACAAATGTGCAAAATCATTGAGTGGATTATGGCAAACTTGTGTCCTAAATTATTGGTCAAAATGGTTGGAGCAAAACTATGCCATGTCATTTACTTCCTTTCCCTTTGTTTTTTTTTTTTTTTGCCAAGTTGCCGCAAAATTTAGTTGACTGTGAACCATGCATGGAAGATAGTGTAAGTGAAGTTAATGTAAGACTTTGGAAGAGCAAGTGAAGAGAAAAGAAATTGAGATGTGAAAATTGTATAGCTAGTCTTGAGTTAATTGACATTCAAATAAAATTCCAGCGGAGGAGTTTCGATCGGTCTTTGTTTAAAGAAGCTAGAATTCATGGAGGGTTTACTTTGCTCCAATTTCCGTGACACCAAAATGGCTTACGTAAACGAAGTGACGCATGCAGTTGCCTTGCATACCTTTTGTTTTGGCTACCAAAACACCGATCCTTTTTAACCTACGTACGTACGTATACAATCTAACGGAATGAAAACAACATTGAAAGAAAAGAAGAAAAAAAAAACAAAATGAAGATTACCCCTAATTTTACAAATGTGAGAAGCTATTCTATACATTTGCGGGGGGGGGGGGAGGGGAATGAGGTTTTTTATTACATGGAAATTATATATGGTTCATTATCAATGTGATAAAGTATATATGGTACAAAATTCGTTAACACACAAGGCTTTAATCACAGGGAAGAAGAATCTTTTGCTAGTTAATTTTGACCACAACACCGCTAAAGATATTCAATTGTTGTATTGCATCTGCATTAGGGTTTGATCATCCATGACGCAAGCATTGAGCGTAATCTCTTACTTAATTAATTACTTTAATTAACAACTAGTACTGAAACTGAGGTATGTATACCGCTCTGATTACCAAAACTGGTTGTAATTAATTAGGTTAAAACCACTTACTTCATAAAAATGTCAAAACTAAGAGCATAATACTTAATTACACACTTGATCTAGTAATGGTGGCAAATTGGGAATCACAATTATTGCAGTGAAAAATGTAAATCTGGACCTAATCAAAAGTCGTAGCTAGTCTTGATGGAAAAATAAACAAAGACTTAGAAACAAACAAATATTCACAATCACGATCATACGAGCTAGTACAGTGTGTGTGGTTAACCTTTTGACTTTAGATCAATCAACCAATTAATTATTTAATAAGAAGTACAGGAAATTTGAAGTTGGCGGTAGCTTCGATTTTCATCTTAATTCACTGTACCTAGGTTCGCGCCGGCAACGACAGAGTGAAATTAACCAAAAATAAATAAAAACTCTCTTTGAGAGTTTCACAACTTTGACTTCAACACCATGCATAATTAATTATATCAACCAAAAAAAAAAAAAAACTAACGGTGAGATGACTCCATTCGTGCGGGAGGCCATGAGATGGACGGTGACAAAAACCAAATTCACATGCAAATGGACCAAGAACAAAATTGCCGAACCATCATCGATCAATTAATTCTACAATGATCAATTCGACAAGATCAAGTATAGCGGTTCATGAACAATACAAACAAAACGAAGTTTTAGACGTTACTCCTTCTATCCAAATAAAAAAAAAAAATTAAGGAAATAAATTTCATCAACTTTGTGGAACTCATATTTCAATAATGAAGAAATGGATGGATCCAAATAAGTTATTGTACGTTGGCTATGCAAACAGGACATTTTGCATAAACAAAGATAACCAGGAATTAGCTAGTAGGTTGCAGAAGTTGTAGTAATGTGAAATCCCATGTGATGTAGGAAAAGGTAAGCATGTGACATTGGAGGCGAAACCACGACAGTAGTAACAGAAATACGATTGCGAAGAATGTGATAATAAATTCAAAAAAAAAAAAAAAAGAGGAATAAATTATAGTAATTGGAAATTCTGACAAATGCAACTTAATCAATCGGGGAAAAAATCATCACAAAGCACCACGTAGCCGCTTCCCACGACCTGCCTCCGAAATCTAAAACTAATACCCCGAATGAGTCTCAAATTAAATCTTGACGTATGATCCGCCGCCAATCCAGATCCTACCGCGTGAAAGTTGTTAACATTCCGGGGACCCGAAATTTCGAACCAAAAATGAATGTACTAGTCTTTGTTTTTTTTTTTTTTTTTTTTTTTTTGGGGATGGTGGAGAGAAGAAAACTCCTTTCTCTAATGGAAAAATAAAATTCAATGAGAATTTTGCCCATTTTCACAGATTTGCATAGAACAATGGAGACTGAAAATTACTAGCCCTAAACATCGTATTTTCTCTAAAATGATCATTAAGAAAGTGGAAATAGAAATGAGCGATATTTAATATTTAAGCGCTTAAATATCGTTTAAAGAGGGTTAGAAAACGTAGTTATTATGAGTTTCTGACTTAGACGCGCGGTGAAGAGAAATGCATTGAGTATCGATATGTATCAAAGCATATTGCGCACCGGATTCAAAACTCAGTTTATCGATGATGTTCTTTCTTCTACCATTTTTGGAGTGTGTGTTGCTACTTGCTCATCAGTACCAAGGTCAAAGCTTCTTCTTTTTTTTTTCTTTTTTTTTTCCCTTCAACTTTTCTTTTTCCCGAGTCAAGCACGATACCATTCTTTTGGACGATTCAGTTGTACGAATTCGGAATTAGAAGAACGCAAAAAAGATTTACATTTATTCAAAACTTGCCGCTTCTGAACCGCGCGCGAGGAGAGAACGTGATAATGATATCGTAGAATTTTGAAATTCTTAGTCTTTAAGCAAGACACTAAAGAGTTTCAGGCGCCAGATCAATTTCTACAAAAATATTTGTCTAATTAACCCAAAAAAGAGTATTAGAAAAAAATTTATTTGCCACAAGTTGTGCCATTGTACTCTTTAGATGTTTCCATAGTGATTACTGTGGTACAATTAATATTTACTTTTCTGTATTTTATTTACCAATTATATCGTTGATATTGAAAAAATTATATATGCAAATTAACTATTCCTCTTAGTTGTGAATTAGGTGTTGCTGTAATTGTCTCTTTTTGTTGATGTAGTACATGTGGGACAAACGTAGTACGTACAAAGTCTTATTATCTTTCAAGTTTACCAGTGTGGAATCAATTATTTGGCATAACTTTTATACACGCCTTCATCAATCACAAATATTATCTCATAATTTCAAATACACGATACGGTTATTAATAGTGAATAATATTGCACTAGGTAATAGGATTACAACAAATTTCTGGTCCAAAATGACAATTTATATTTGTACTTTTATTACAAATTGTATACAAAAACATAAAAATTCAAATCAAAAAATCGTTTAGAGCCGGAGAAAATACATCACATTACACACTACACTACGGAGTCAACACACAACTAGTAGTAAAACCAGTGTCAAAATGCATGTTCTACCTACTAATTAAACATCGGCAACATACGTCCAAGCTAGCTAAGCCAGCTTAAAAAATCATTTCAAAAGACTTCGCCATTTTGGAATTTCCTACCATTTTTCATAAACAATCACAACTAGCTAGCTAACCTAAAACCGAAGACAAATCAGTCCGAAGTTTGGTATTTTCTTAATCACAAATTCATCAGTTTAAATACTCCATGTCTTATGGACTTAAAACACCATAGTAACTCGATCTCAGTAACATTAAGATCGATCAGCTTAATTTTGAGAGAAAAGAGATACCAACAAATAAAAATGGCTTCCTTAAAAACACACCATTTCATAGCCCTTCTCTCTATCATGCTTTTTTTGTTACTACATTCTCAAATGGCTGCCTCACAATTAACAGTTGAAGGGGATCAATTAGAGGACGATGATCAAGACGAAGAATACGTGCTGGATTCGCCGTTTATGCACACGCATTTGAGGAGCCGGTTTTTAGCCACCATCAAGAAAGGTAAAAGTTGTAATCCGAAGAAGAAAAACATTTGCAACGGGGTCAAAGCTAATAAAGGAGCTAGCTTGCTTTACTGCTGTAAAAAGCGTTGCACAAACGTTCTTGGGGATATGAATAACTGCGGTAAGTGTGGGAGGAAGTGCAAGTTGGGTAAAAAATGCTGCGGCGGAAGATGCCTTAGTGTGCTGAAGGATTCACATAACTGCGGTAAATGCGGTAAAAAGTGCAAAAAGGGGGTTAAATGCATCAATGGCTACTGTGGTTATGCTTAAATCAGGCACAAGGAAAAAAACAAGACGAAAAAATAATCATCGGTGCGTTTGTTTGTGGATTTTGTGGTTTTTACTTTATATATGTGGAAAGGTGAACGACTAGTTCATGTACATGTAGAATACGTAATATTTCCTCCGTTCTAAAATTATTATTCATTTTAGAGTTTCATTTTCAGATTAAATTGTAATAAAAATGAAAATCCAAATCAGACAATAATTTTGGGACACAGAGAGTATTGCGTGTTTACTCTAGCATCTGTGTTTCTTTTTATTAATTTTTCAGCCTTTGGTTGGGTTAAATTGTAATACAGACAGGTGTTTCCGTTTCCTTTGTGCAGATCTGAATGAGATCATCAGTGACAATTTTCTTTTACTTCTCTTGTTTTTTTTTAACTGCGTAAAACAGTTGCATTTTGCAGCTAAGTGGTGATATTGTTTAATTTCTGTACTGAAGATTTTACTAATAGTAAAAAAATAGGGACAGCGATAAATTTTAGGGTATAATGATTATTGCAACAATCTAAAGCAGTACTTGGACCATATAAGACCATCATCACCTGGAAGAATAATACTGACAGCATCAATAAGCTTGAGAAAATTTAACTAAGAGCAAGAAGAATACTAGCTAGGCCAAAACTCGTGCGATTTCATTGCAACAATCTATAAGTAGCTGCATCAAAAAAACACACAAACCCACAGCTGTACGTTGATATTCATGTAACACTTCTCACATTCAGCATCAAAGAGTAATAGTAATATGCATGGCTTCTAAAATCCGGCAGCCGGTGTGGCTAGCTTGAATTCAAAACGAACAACCTTGTTTTGTCAGTGGGAGAGGGAAATGTTTCTCATTCTGAAAACTGAGAAACAACTTTCAGGGATGAGGAAAGTGTATATAAAAAGCTAGCTAGCTTACCTCTCAGTACCAAAGCAGTGACACATTTGGTATAGATTGTAACACGCAGAGTGATCTCTATATATATATGAACAACTTACAGAAAGGCTGGTACCAAATTAAGATTATCATCTCATCTAAAACCAGATATGCAAATTGCACAAAGAATTGCATAAGCTTCAATTCCTGCAAGTAAATAAGTCCAAGTTTTGGAGTTAGGACTTATGTCAGTTAGCTGGTGCTTCTTACCATTTCTACTTTCTACTGGTTTTCTGCATGAAGAAATGGCTTGATGCTCTCTTCAGGATTCTGAGTTGAGCTAATAACTGAAATATGCTGATCAGTTTCCTAGTAGTTGAAAAATAGTACTAAAAAAGAAGCACACTAATGAATTAATCTGTGTATAGGGGAACTTTAATTAAGAACCAATAATAGTAATCACAGAGTTAACCACGTGGCCGCTTATCCTCACCTGCGGGATCCTAGCACCTGAAAGGCTACCTTGGAGTCTCAATTCCATTCACGTTTCATCCGCCGGGAAATAAGATCCTTTCCGCGTGTTTTTTTAAGTGTTTTCATTTCCGGGCCGCGAGATAATGAAAAATTTTAATTTTAAACCATATATGCATGTTATAAACCTCATATATGAACATCGTACATACTACATCATTAATTCATTATCATGGTTATGTTTGGGGAAACGTTCATCATTTTCTTGCCATACACTCGCATCTAGAACTCACCATATGATTTGATTTTTTTTAGTAGTTGACTTTTTGGATTTGAAAGGATGTGGAGTTTTGTTCTATTGATCCGAAAAATTGAAACAATCGAGAGTATAAGGTGGGATCATGTCTACCTTTTAGGCGGGGTATTGAATTTGTAGTTTAATTAATTGGACTGATTAGTTCACTTACGAGTTGGCTTTTATGTAGTGTTCCCTGTTTAGATTGAGAAATACATAGTGATTCATTAATATTGCGATTATTCACGAAATTATCTATACCATATCTGTTTATTTGCTGAATATACAATTATTTTAGAACGAAAATATATAAGAATATTATATACACTTTTTTTTGTTACAATGGAGGAGGCAAATGTTTATATTTGCACATCTCTGGGATACGACACCCCTATTACATTATCAAGAACATTGTATATAAACTGATTAATGAGTCAATAACACAAAATTAATGAATACTGGGTTCTCTAAAATTTGAACTACATATAACAGCGAGAATCTAGCCAGGCAAATAAATTTTTTCAACCGACTTTTGTCCTTTCGAAGTTTCCTCATTCAAACCACACAGCTGTCTGATAGAGAAGCAAACAATACATCAGCATGAGGTATGGAACAGTTTTCTATTCTTAAAACCACTGAGTGAGTTTAAATAAAGCCCTTGTCTTGTGACTTTAATTTTGCAGATTTGCATTCTAATGAAAACATCCCAAACTTGAGAGCTTTTAGTCACAAGAGAATACAATGGCCACCACCAAAGTACTACATCTCGTAGTCTTCCTCTCTTTACTCCTTGCTCTACTACATTCTCATATGGCAGCCTCGCAATCTACATCATTGTCCTCATTTGATGAGGATGAAGAGGATGACGAAGAGTACGTGCTCGATACGCCGTTCGCCCACACGCATTTGAGAAGCCGGTTTCTAGCCAGCATCAAGAAAGGCAAGCGCTGTAACCCCAAGAAGAAGAATAAGTGCAATGGAGTCTGGGCTAACAAAGGTAAAAACCTGCTTTACTGCTGCAAGAAACATTGCCGGGACGTCCTCAGCGACAAGAATAACTGCGGCTTCTGTGGCCACAAGTGCTTACAAGGCCAGAAATGCTGCGGTGGTGGATGCCTCGACGTTCGCAACAACCCAAACAACTGCGGTAAATGTGGCAGACAGTGCAAAAATGGACAAATGTGCGGCCAGGGGTTCTGTGGTTATGCTTAATCAAAACCAAAGCATACTTTGCAGGAGGAAGACAGATACTGCCCTGATGAAGAATCTTGAGATCAACTATTCTCTCTCAGGGCGATTTATTACATCATACAGAGAGAGATCAGATTTGGACCCACACTCAGATACTATAAGCTAACCCATTGTGGATCTGTTTCTGCTTTTGTGTGTTTTTACTATCTATCTATATATATATATATGGAAAGGTGAACAGCCAGTTCATATTGAATCCGCAACTAGCTTTGTTGCAGAGGTTTTGATAGATACTGATTGTATGTAATACCACATGTCTACTACTGTAGTACAAGTTTTTTTTTTTTTCCTGTTGTTCGCCAGTTATACGGATAATCTTCATTTCCATTCATTTTACTGATCCTTAAATCATCAGTTATATTTTACCTTGTTTTCTGCTCATCTAAAATTCTGATGTTATGATTAGCCCCTGTGAAACTTAAACATGGTTCATCTCAGTTATGGCTTTGTTTCTTTCAGCAATATATGGCAATTACTCAACTTATGAGTTATGATGGAGATCATTCATTACACTAACATCCAAGTAACCCCTGCAAATGTGTCTTTGAGCCCAAGGACGATAAACTAAACGCACAAATTTTGCCAATGTATAAAGCGTCGAAAAAGTAATTTTCATTTACGACTTCTGTGTCCAAATCAATCCTCATAATATTCATACATTTAGCTAAAAGGCTGATGCACATTCCAAATTTAGCTTTTCACGGATAGAGATACATGTCCATCACAGGCAATTGACAGCCGGGGTACATCGAACAAGGTTAAATCTGGGGGATCTGTCTGCCGGAAACTGAAACAGGTGTGTTTCACTTGTATCGAATGATTTCAACTGCAAACTTACCCTTCTTCGTTGGCTTTATGTCTCCAACCTGATGGCAGAGTAATACTTCGACAATTAGTTGAAGGTGGTGCAAAATAAGTACTCTTAATGATAACGAGGAAAAATATATTTGGAGGAGTTTTCTAAGTTTTGACTTGACCGAACCATTCAATGAAGCTCATTATAAAACTTAATTAGAAGCACAATCTAGTAAGATACGACTGGAGCATATAATAGATCCGCTAACAGACCTTCATTCTCCCTTTTCCACTAACTGAGACAATGTCTCCGGTCTTAACATTGTTACTACTTTTTGTGACAGTGGACCAATTCACACGAACATCTCCATTGCTACAAGGCAAAAGAAGTTTAAGAATTGTTAATTTCTCCATCTTAAAGGTATCCTGTCCGGAAATACAGAAGGTTAATCACTAAGCTGAAAGAGTGTAAAGAGTCCGAAAAGAAAGAGTGTAAAGAGTCCGAAAAGACAGCACATTACATCTACAGTGCAAAGGATAAAACTGAAAGAGTTTTGTTCAAACCTGATTAAAGAAACCATTTTTGACCTTGAAATTTTGAATCCAGCACTAGCAACTGAATCAAGTCTGACTGATGATTCTATAGAAATAAAAGACTTGGTACTGCGGAAGAGTAAATGATAATATTAATACGTTCACTGGTTTGGTAAAATCCAATCAAACCTATTAAAGTCAATCAAAGAATTAAAGCTACTAAATAAAAAAAATAAAAAGATGAAAGATTCAGTAAGACCTTGGAGGTTCGTATTCAATTGCCAGCAAAGGTATCCTTTTGCAAGTAACTGAAACATTTCCGACCTGTATTAGTAAAAATACATTATCAGAAAAATTAAGAACTGCCAAAATTTCTTCAATTTTCTTACTAAGTATAGATACTAAGAAGTTTCCTCAAATACATGCATAGTTATACAACACATTTCTCCAAAATGGTTCACATATCAATAAAAAGAAAATAGATGAAGACTATTGCTACACGTAGAAGGTATTTTTGAAATGTGTTATAGGAACGCCGTTTAAAATCTGTGTTCAATTTACATAATAAAATGTAGTTTGAGCTGCAAGCTATAGACATCATTTTACAACTTCCAGTCTTGGTAATAAAGTTGTGTTTTGAACCATGAAGTCCTAAAAACAATTTTTCATCTCTGTAGAGACACGAATGAAAGAGCGAATTTCCAAAGGCAAAAATGAAACTCTTATGTATTGCAAAACTAAAAGTGCAAGTGAAACACATATATCCATTATGCTAGACCAATTAACTAGAAGTAACCATGCCAGGTATTAGGGTGAATTCAGGAATGATTTACCTTGTCTAAGGATGATATGAGATAGTCAACGAGTTCAGGAACAACAAGAACGTGAGCTCCACTCTCTCCCTAATCCAGAAAAAGAAAAATTGACAGAAGGAAATTAAAGAGGGCAAAGCACTTCGTAGAGTGATCTGAAAAATCACTTTGAGAAGGGATTAAAAGTCTTCAAGGCTGAATCTTGAAAATATTGGACTGTGTAACTTAAGCTTGCATGGATTTAATTACTCTGTCCACCTAGATATAAAGGTATTCCAATACGAAGGCCATCCTTTGCATATGGATAGTCTAGAAGAGTTTAAAACAGTCATGTTTTATCTCAAACAAATTCATCTCAGCCACTTAATATTTAAGGAAAAAAAAAAAAAAAAGAATCCCATTGCAGAAGTAAATTCTGATTGTTGAAAACTCCAGGTACTACCCTACAACTTAAGTAAAATAAATAACAACCTCAACAAATCTACCTGCACAATAATATCTCCCACTTTATCTCTAGTAATTCCTGAACCAAGTATTGAACCAAGGAAGTCACCATGAGAGCAAGGCTGGAATCCAAAGTTCCCTGAAATACTGGAAATTTGAAATGTGTTTGTTACAGGCACAAATTTCAGATAACCTGGCGAAAGAAAATGGTCGAAATATTGCATGAGCACCTTAAGGCTGCAACAATATCGGGGTCAGTGGTCAAAACATCGGGATGTCCAACTGAGAGTCGGCATCTCTCAGCCTAGAAAAAAAATTAAATATGGCAAAAGCATTAACAGAAAACCATCTAATCTTGGGAGCAGTAAATAACAAATGATGACATTAAATTTAATCAAACCTCAGGATAACCTCCTTGAGCAACCATTTTAATTTCAGCTAGATTTTGCAATGCTTTCATGGACTCATTCAGTACAGGTGGTGTTAGAAAACCAGTATGCAAAATTTCACGTCTTGTTGCAGCTCGTGTTGCCTGAGAAGCCATAAGGTATTGGAAAATATGAACCCAATATTACTCTTCTAAGCAAGTTAATTAAGGATTTCTGCATTCTCAGTGAGGAGGAGCTACTAAAGGGGAAAGAAGGAGTAAACCAAAATTTGAAAAAGTAAACAAGTCTACAATATGTGCGCACAGTAGCTACTCATCTACCAACTCAAGAACGCGCTTGACATCTTCAATTGTGTCCTTGTCTCCAACTCCTCTGAGTAAAACTTCTGTGTCAGTCTTTGAGGCCTGCGCTAGATGGCATATGCTCAAAGCTGCATGGAAAACAGCATCAAGAATAGCACACATTAACAACCATCCATGAAAATAAATAGGATTGGAGAATCAACCAAATAATCGAAGAGACAACTAGCACTATAAAAAAAAGTTGTACACAAGATTCCCTTTCCTCCTGGTGGGTATTCGTTTCTGTTTTTTTTTTTTTTTTTCCGAAAGATGTCTTTGTCCTTCCACCGGATATTTAATTCCCAGAAATCAGCTTCTTACTAAGGAGTAACTCAATTAAATATACAACAACGAAGAACACAAACACACACCACATGAACATCTACACCTGATAATATGTCCTTCAGCCTTTTGACAACAGCCTAATTATATTCCACAAGGAGATGCAATTGCAGGGTACATGGTCATAATTTTGTTCAACGGAAAAAGCTTCTTCAATTGACACCCTCTATTAAATAGGCAGAAATTCCTAATTCCTTCTACATACATCTTGTTTAACAATGCGGTCCTCATTCATCACGAAGCATACAACATGCTACCAGAATACTCATTTCACAAAAAGAAACAGAATTTCAATGAGAAGGTCTTTACTGAATCAAAAAGCATTGCCCAAAATTCAAATTTTCCTGCAACCCATTAGCAAAAAACAAAGCATACAGCTTCGCAAGTACTATAAAAAGCCAACCCTCAAACACAGCTAGCTCAAAGGAAGAATAATAAAAACCAATTCCAAAAGAATATAATACACTAACGACCATAGAACAGAACTACAACAAAAACCCCAAAGCAAAGAAGAAAAACTCAACAGAGTAGATAAAGAGGATGCACCTGGTGACTTGAATGGAGTGGTAAAAGGGAGGAGAAGAGGTCTACGGCTGATACCAACAGCACCATGGATCACATTTGGTTGTAGCCCACATCGCAGAGCCGCCACGCCGTTGGATAATAACCGCGCCGGAACCGCCCACATCCCGGTTGTGGATACACTCAACTTGTTTGTTGCAGTATGTGGCTTGGATGACCGGCCCTGGCCTTTGAACACAAAAAGCTCACCCTTTTATACGTTTCCCCCTTTTCTTTTCTTTTCTTTTCTTTGTGCTACTGTTTTCTTCTATTTTTTCCCTCCTCGAGAAATAAATCCTTACAGATCTTGTCCAAAAAGAAAATCCTTACAGATTTATTCTCTATTCTAAGAAAACTTTTTGTTAAAAGTTCAAAACATTAGATTAGAACTTGTATACAGAATGAATGAAACTTAGTTAACTCAAGAGGGCCTCTTTTTTTTGGTTAGAGATGTTCTAAATCTTATTCATCAAATGGTCAAATTTCCCAATTAGTAAAGCAGTTCGCCCTTTGAAGGCTACTCAAATGGTCGAGAGATTTGAGGCAAAGCGGCCTCACTTCAAACAGAAATAAGAAAAAACCATTTCTTCCAAAACAAATAACTGACTGAAGAGAAGTATAGCCACAGCCAAAACTTACAGAACAGACAACTAAAGCAGCAAATGTGCATCCGTTCTTGAATACTAAACTTACAACCTGGCTTATCTCTACCAATTTATGAGTTCTGGGTTCACCCAATGCTATAAGGTGTGAAGGAAAAAAAGAAAAATGAAAAAAAAAAACCAAAAATTTTGAGACAAAGGTAAAAAGACAGGCACATTTAAGTCTACTTATACAGAGTACAGGCCTAATCAATCTCTCAACTCAGTAAAATGATAAGGAAAACCAAAATTCTTCGTTCCCTGAACTCTTTCAGGTTATTATTCTAAGCCGAAACCATATAGTAATAATAACCAACTGAGATTAGCAGCACCAACACCAAAGCAGCAGGAGCAGCCCACATCCAGTAGTTGGTTGCTGCCTTTTTGCGCTTGAGTATAGCTCTTGGAAGGGCATCTGAACCCCTGGACCTAACAACTTTACGTCTCACTGGATTATCCTTCCTTTCTTTGTTCTTTGATGGCGCCGGAGTTTCAACTCTTTCTTCCGCCTTCTCTGCTTCAGCTAACTCATCACCAGCATCAGCAGTAACAGCTTCAGTTTGTTCCTCAGCCTCTGGAGCATCACCCGATAAGCCAGCTTTCTTCTTTGCTCTCTTTTCACGATCCTGTAATACCATAAAAAACAGTCCATTTTATTATAAGCAAACTTGTATTATAAGGCTCCAATCCTAAGAATTTTGCACAAGGGGAAAAAAATTTAAATGACAATTTATTTACCTTGAGTTTCTTCTCAGCTTCCTTCTGGGCTTTGATAGCAGCTTTTTGAGCTGCTTTCTCTGACAACTTCTTCTTCCTCTCCATGGCAAGCTTCGCCTTCTCAATCTCCTCTGCCCTTCTCATCTCCTTCAATTTCTTCTCATCAACTTCAATCACCTTTGGAGGATCTGTTGTCACCTTCTCAGGCACATAGAAATCCTCTTCATCTACTACATCAGCTGCCTTTGAGCTATTTCCCTTGATTTTGTTTGATTCTTTCTGCTTCTCTTTCTTCTCTTTCTGGACAGGAGCTGCAGCTTCAGGTTTTAAAGAACTGGAGTCTTCTTTTGGTGCCTGTTTCGCAGACACTCTTGATACAGCCTCGGTTTCAGGTGGGGACGCTTTCTCAACCACCAATATAGGCTTCTCATTGTAGTTCCTCATTCGTCCATCCCTACTCAGCTGTCGATTGTCAAGAGAAGATAAAATCCTCTTCTCATAGTCTTCCCTAAAAGCCTTACTACTATTCCACTGGGAGATAAATTTATCAATCTGTCAAGAGCAGATGGAAGAGTCAGAAGAGGCAAAAACAGAACATACGAAAAAACACAGGCAATGTACCAACCAACCTCTGTATCTGAAAGTTCCTTCAGGGCTTCAACATCCTTCTTCTCTGCAAGAACTCTGGCTTGGTTCAGCAGGGATCGATTTAGGTGAAAAGCGGAGTTCTGCAAAGTTAGAACTCACACATCACCACCTATCTCTCAATCTAAGATAACAGGAAGTCCATGTTTCAAGCATTCCCAAAAAAACATAATGAATGAGAGATGAAGCACATAACAAATCCAGTGGTCTCACTATACACTGTTAAGCCACAGGTCCAGTCTTAAAATCGGATGAAATCACAATAGATGTGTGCCTGATACCCAGCCCCACCAGATATCCCCATCACTCTTCACTCATGTAATTTACCATCACAACAGATATTTTCCTCATAATCACAACTTAGTAATCAACCAACAATATAAGCCAGATGCAATATCTAATTCATTTCGTCAGCTTTGATGAGAAGATCACACAACCAACAATGACGCAGATTAAAACTTTTTCTCCACTACGTTGTTTAAGGGAGAACCTAGCTGGGAAAGGAAACACAACCCAAAAGTTCTGTATTCTAGAAAATCTAGTAAGTCTAAGGAGTATATCCTTGACAAATGGTCATTATTACTACTATCTCAGCTAGCAGACCAAAAATGAATTCCCTGAGTTGCAACCAAGAGACAAAGCACCAAAAACCATATTACTCAGCAAAAACTGGTGATCATAGTGTACTGCATACAATATGTAACAAGAAAACACAAAATAGTATTACCCCTTCTTCACGTTGTTTTCTCAATTGTTTGATACTTTCATAAGTTTGGTCCCTTTTCTGAGTAAGAGTGGTCAATTCCTCCTCTAGCGACTTGATCGCCTTCTCAATAATATCCTTCTCTTCTTCCAATTGCTTACGCTTAGCAAATACAACTTGTTGATCCTTCCGAACTCCATCCATATCAACTCTGATGAGCTATAAGAAAATGACATCATTTCAGCATACTTCACAAATGATAAATTTTGAGAAAAGAGCGGTATGCAAAATCAGCCATCTTCAAAAGAACAGGAGTTCTTAATCAATGGGCTTACTTTCATCTGATCTTCTAGGGCTTCTTTTTCACCCATTGACTCCTGAATCTTTGCTCTCATAGCAGCATTAGCTACCACCTTCTCCCTTGTTCCTTCAAGCTGCTTAATTTCCCTAAGAATTTGTTTTTCCTCGGTCAAAGGAATACTTTCATGTTGCATGCGATATTGCAAACTTTTAATCTGCACATACAATCAGAAAAAAAATGATATAAACTATTGTCCTTTTAAGGAATTCAATACGAAATTAAATCAAGAACATGCTGAGAGATAGATAGGGGATTGGTTCAAAATTAAACAGAACCTCATTAAGAATTTCAAACATGCATCAAGCTTACACGATAATCGAGCTCTTCCACGGATGAACATATACCAGATCCCCTCTCTTTTCCGCCATGTAACTGGCCCAAAGCCTGTTGCAGGGGTTCTCTTTCCTTTTTCTTCTCATCTATCAATGACCTATACTGCTTATTCTCTTCATTTAAAGCCTTTAACAAAGAAATCTTTTGTGCTCGGTCGGCCTACAAAAGGAAACCACAAAAGAAAAGACAAACGGAGAGTTAATAAAAATCAAATCATCAACAGCAGAGATGGAATAACACATAAAACATAGAACATAATCATCAACCACTCGTTACAGGATACAAAAAAACAAGACTTTGCACTAACCTTTAAATTTCTCAATTTCTCAATGAGTTGCGACCGAGCTTGTGTCTTTTTTGTCAGGTCACTATCAACCTGATCCAACTTTATTTTAAGCTTTTGATCTTCATATGATCTATACTTGACAAAATAGAAAGTATGTATCTGCTGAGGGGCAGGCCACTCATCAACTGCATCCTTTGGGAAGCTGACCTCAGCTGCTTTATTCGTTTCACCTTTTGCAACTTCGTCACTCCCATGAGACCCAAACTTTATGGGCTCAATATGCCCAACAACTTCGTTTATTTTCCCATTTTCATTCAACAGGCCGCTGTCTTGACCGGCTGTTTCCCCAGGAACATGTGCCAACTTTGGTTCTGCAACTTCCACACCCATTATTCCAACAGAAGATCAACACAAATGTGTGCTAAAATCTCAAACCCTGACAAAAGAAAGAACCAAACAACCAGAAGAATGTCATCTTCAGACCAAAATCAAGTAAATTGATACATAGACATAAACCGCATATAACTATCACGGAATCAAGTGGGTGTGAATTAGAAAAGCTGGAACTCCAATTTTTAAAATGAAACAAACACCACCCAATCAAGGCCAGAAACAGTTAAATATAAACAAGTTCTCCACTTAATTGGAAAAAACAATGGCTCACCACGGAAAACTTTCAAAGAATTTATCAGCCATGGTTTGCAAACATCACCCAAGATATGAAAATGGGGAAGATGCACATAGAAAGATGCTTTACAAACATCACCCAAGATATGAAAATGGGGAAGATGCAAATAGAAAGAATTCAGAAGTATTCACGATTTCATTTTAAGCAATCGAGGTGGCTAAAACAAAAATTACTGAAAGATCGGAAAAATAAATCTCAAGTGGATGCATGCAGGACACATCACATGCTAATCGAAAATATAATTCAAAGAATTCTGCGGAGAAATCATTTCCAATATATCATTGGGCCAATCTCGTTTATTTACAATAAAACGTTGAATCAGACCCAAAAAGAACAATCTTTTACAATTGCATCAAATCAATGGGGTGGAAAGATCAAAACTTTAAGTCGATTAACAGAAAGAATTGATAAAACAGAATCGCTCCACCGCATTTTCCCCCAGTTACATCAATTGATAAGTCAAAAAAGAACAAAATCGATTTCTTAAATCATGAAACTAAAATTCAAGAAACACAGCATCATCCCCAACACCATTCCTCACCCAAGAAACACAATAAAATCAGTACAAACAAGACAGAATTACCTTCAAGAACCGAGATCAGTACAGATCAAACAATTAAAAGCATAAATTAAACATCCCCAGCAAAAAAGGACAAAAAGATGAGAAGACTCACAAATTGAAAAAACCCATCAACAAAATAAAAGAAAGCTGCAAATTTTTTTTTTTTTCAAAAGAAAAAAAAAAACCCCGGAAACAAATGCGTGTATGAATTAAAGAAGAAGCAGAAAAGGAGGAGACTTTACTTACCAGAGGAAAAACTGGAGAGATATTTCAGAGGAGACCCCTTCTTTGACAAAGAGAGGGCTTTTTTCAAGACCGGAAATTTAAGAGAGAAAATGAAGTCAGACCTCAGATCCCTCTCTCTATATACTAGAACTAGAACCGTAAAGGGCAAAAAAATACTTCTATAAAAATAGGTATTTTCGTTATTTCTTTTTCCCAATACGTATGAGATAAAAACTAAAAGGGGCAAATACTAAAATCGTTAAGGAAAATGATACTCTTAGGGAAATAATATAGCGAGAAAACATAATGAGTGATGTGTACATCATATTTTGTTATTATTTTACCGTTGAAATTTTTTCTTTCCCTTTAAAATTATTTTTTTACCCTTAATTATTATAGACACATCAGTCACGATATATTTTCACTATTTTTTTCTCACTATCTGTATCATTTGCTCAATGGTTAAATGGTGGAAGCAGGCTTTTTTTTACACAAATTCTGGTGTGTTTAGTTTTCTTTTACCAAAATGGGTAGTAAAGAATAAGGAGAGAGGGAAATCACAGAAATCTTGACAGTAAATTATGTGTAGTGTGCAATTTGAGCAAAAATGGCATGTCCATTAGATTCTGGAAATCAGTGTCCTGAATTCTGCTGATAGAGAGAGGGTCGACAAATTTTGTGTTCCCAACTGTTCACACTAAGAACACAATAAGGGAAAGTACAGTTGGAGTGTCCATTTGTATCACAGTATTCCATGATTTTTCGATAAAAATCCTAAATAATGTAGGGAGTAGTATTTAAAAAATATATTTACTGTAATGATATTTTCTTCTTCTGTTTTCAGTGAAACCCACAAACAACAATAGAGTGACTAACATTAATTACAGAATATGAACCACTACAAAACATATGAATGATTAGAGTATTCATAACGTTTTACGCTATTGTGGATATAATATTATAAACTTTTAACATTATAATTCAACTTTTCACTATATTGATTTACACTGTAAAAATAAAATAAAATGAAATAGTTTTTGTATTATCATAAACTTACAATAAATTATATTTTAATCCAAAAAGTTTACACTGTATAATATTATCATATTCAATACAATGATAAATAGTATAATAAAATCATTATTTACTAATTATTTATTACCATTGTGAATGTTCTTAGTAATCAAAGTTTCAGTAGTTATACTTAAGTCAACACAAAGAATAAATTGTGTAAACTCCCATTCAATATTTCAAGAGTTTTAAAATTCAAATCTAAAATACATCAAAAAGTTTTTTTTTAGACCGGATTTATTGATGTACATGTATATACTATTAAAACAGTACGGAACAAAAAAAAATAGTAATGTTAAAATAAAGTTTATTTGCATGTAATTGTTATTCGACATGTTTAGTTTTCTACTATTTGCTTATATTTAACAAAGTATATGCCTATTTAACTTCAATCTTGTGATGATATCCTAAGATAAGACTGAATTTATTGTATTCGAAGTGAATACAACTCATACAACTGATCATATGTATTTAAATTTTAAATGGAGGTTTTTTTTTTGTTTTATTGCGACTGAAAATGAAATGAGCAAAAACCGAAAAAGTGAGCGTGAGGCAAATTGGAAGCAAAACGACGATGTGAGAAAGTATGGAGCAAGCGACGGATAGCACCGGTGTCGATTTACACGTGTACACCTTAAGAGTTTGTTTCTTTTAAATCAGGCACGTCATTTCGATGTTTACGAGATTTAGCTATATATTCTGGATATATATGTTTTGTGTTTCTTTTTTGGGGGTGGAAAATAAAAATGTCGCTTTTGAAAAATTAATTGGAAAAGAATTTTACTCGGCTATTGTAATGACCACTACCATTACGAATGCAGGAGAGAACGTCTAATGCATTAACTGCTCCATCATTTTTACAAAAGAAAAATATTATTTTGGTTCAACATTAAGGCTATATATTGCGGAAGAAAAACTCCCATATCAGGTTTCAATTAATTTCCACGAAATTCATCCTTCAATGGGTTGAATGAATCTTTTGTAGTTAAAGCCTATTTTTTGGTTTCCCAAATGTGAATCGGCCAGTGGGAATTTTTTTAAAATATAATAATGGGAAAAACTAACAAACAATAACTATTTCGACTTGAAAAAAATCTTATTGCTTTTCAAATTTCAGATAATGTTTTCGTGCGAGATATTATACCAGTGTTAAATCATAAAGTTTTCATAGTAAATGGGAACCAACTTTGGCAAACTTGATTGTGACCAAATTATATTACTTGATTCAAATTTCATGAAATTAGAGCCGGACATAATTCGTAATTAACTGCAAAAGAAAAGGGGGGAAATTAGAAGAGAAAATGAAACTGAAACTCAAACCTACAGCCTACTACACTTCTTAAATGGGCCAGACTTTATTACGCAAAAGGCTCAATACTTAAAAGGTTGTAGTGGAGCGTGCCAGGCATCTCCTAGTATCGAATTCTCGAAGGTATCGAGGCCTATCCTCGTTTTGGATCAGGCTGAAATGTTAAATTGGGCCACGGTCAACATAAGAATCCAACAAAAGCAATTCTACATTTCAAGGTCTAGTACTATTAAAAAAATCTACAATTGACATGTGATCTTGAAATCTAAAAGTGATAGACGAAGTGGATAGTTAATGTGTAGCTAATATGACCGATTGTAAATTATGTGTTTCTGGTTGTATCTGTTTTTGCCAATCGTTATTAGACGATTTCTAGTAAATTAATGAATTTATCTTTTATTTCTAAAAAAAAAAATGGTTACATTCCTTTTAGTAGCAGTGGATATCCATAAAAGTTTCGTATAGGATATTAAAGAATTGATGAGGCGTAACGAGTGTGGACAGTACAAATTATACATGTGTTTTTAAAAAAAGTCAATTTCATAACTGATTATTTGTTTTCTATTGCGAGTACTATGTCCGATGGGATTAACTATTAGAAATTTCTCGAGTTTAATTTAGTGATCGGAACACGATAATGGATGTTTGATATTCATGTACTTTTGTAATCTAATATCACACTTTGCATTTTCTTTCTGTAAAAATGAAAAAAAGCAAGCACAAAAATTCAAACATAAAAGACAAAGGGTTAAATTGTATTATTTGGACACCTCCCGCCCTAAACAATAATTCACATTAATATTAGTAAATTATATTATTAAAACTAGTACTATTACAATTCATAAATTATAATGTACATTATCTTGTGGGAAGGAGGTATAGTATTGACATAGGCTAGGAAATTGAGGCACATTAGCAATGCATACATTCTGTAATTCGACAGGCACTGACATAATATAAATTCGGTAAGCTTCAACCGGTTTTATCACTCTTGCTTCTGTAGTTGGGCGTTAGGTCACGGTTATAACTCGAGCTAGTTGGCGGTTCTTATTTGTTGACTCGCATTTTATACGTAACGGTATGTTTTTTATATGTGTTTTTAGATTTTTTAAAATATAAAAAATACATTAAAAATATAAAAAAAATTATTATATTAGGATGAATATATATTAATAAAAATTTCTGGAAAAACTTAAAAAAAAATGACCCAAAGATAAGATAAAATCAAACATAAAAAGTGAAAGAATCACATTGTTTGCCTTGTTTTCTCCTTTTTCTTTATGATTCCTAGTTGAGAAAAAAGAAAAATTGTTAAAAAACAGGCATATTATTATTAATTTAAAAATATTAACAATAGGAAAAGTAAACCAACCTCTTTTTTTTCCCCGTATACTAAAGTCAAATTGTAGAAGTCCGGAAAAAAAAAACAAACTGAAAATTGTAGTCACGCTGGGAAAATGAAGGGAAGAAAATTTGATCAAGAAACAAAAAAGAAGGGAAGAAAATTAAAAGCTGTCGGCCCAAATAGGTGGCGGATTTTGTACCATCCCCGTGCCCACGACTGACTGAAACTATACGGCGATTAATATTTTGGGCCCACTTGATTTAATGAGGCCCCCAACCTCAAACTCTATTTTGCCACGTCTCATAAAAAGCGCGATCAAATGTTCTTTCTCAATTCCCAATCAAGTTCGTGACATATTCAAAAAACAATCAAAAAAAGAAAAAAAAAAAAGAAGAAAAAATTCGTGATGTTTTACAGACATCAATTTCTAGGGACTCGGACCAACAACCCAGAATGTCTGAGTGCTTGTTTGTACGTCAACTTACATTTCATTTTGCCACTTAAAAGTGAAAAGTGTTTTAAATTGAAAACTAAATGGAAAATAAAAATGTTGTTTGGATGTTGGTTTTTGAAAAAAAGTATTTTGAACTACATTTTGAAATATCAAGTACAAGTCATCACTAAACAATTAAATACTGTCAATTATAGTTACTGCAAAAAAGAACTTTTCAAAAAACAATCACTCAATAACGGAAACCTGCCAAATTTGTCACTAAACTATTTGTAGTTCTAAAATGGTCATTACACTAACAAAAAGTGTTTCAAGTTGAAATTTAAAATGTAAATTAGAAAGTTGTTTGGATGACGTTTTCTTTTCCATTAGGTTTTGTGTTTAAGAGGTAAAATGAGTGAAAATGTAAAATGGAATGTTGTCCAAACAAGGCCAGTTGTCGTATTTGTTTCCGAAATGTAGTTTATGCGATTAAACGTTTTGTAATATATATATATATATATATATAAATTATAGTAGTCTCTGTATTCTAAAGTTATTGCACTGAACACAATAATTTTGAGATGGAATAAGTGAAATCAAATTTAGAAAAAATAAATAATTATTTTAAGGTAAATAACTCGAAAGTATTACGAAACCATTTTGTTACCATGCTGACATTAGTGTCTCTTCATTTATGTGCTAATTTCGTTTGAGATAGCCGTCCATTGTTTATGAAATTTTTGTTGGAGTCTATGACAAATATGATTTATTGGGGGACTTTAGATTCAAAAACTTTTCTTACTCCTAGATTATCTCGATACAAGACTTTCTAAACAAACTTTTTTTTTTCAACTATGGAAGATGAAATTTGTTCCTACAGTAATTAAACTCTTGTAGAAGAATTCCCTTACAAAAGGGGAAAAACAACTATTGTAGGAGAAATTATATTGGGCAGGAGAATTGAGTAGAGATAAGAATGGATTGTTATCACCCATTAACATGACGTCTGAGTTCAAGGATCATTAAGGCCATTCAATTCTATTTTTTTTCCCTTTAAACATAAAAATTACAGTACTCCCTCCATTCCATTTTAATAGGCCCATTTAAACATACACGGAGTTAAGAAAAAGTGGGTAATGTAATTTACGTGGTTAATTTTAAATAAAATTCTTACTACACCCTTATTAAGGACTAGTGATTTATTAGTTGATATGAGAGAATAATAGTTGAAATTTATTAAATGATCTTGATTTTAGTGAAAGTGAGAAGAGTATATTATAAAGTTTATAAAAAAATTTAATTAATTGTCTAAAATAGGACTAAGTTTTGAAACATCTCAAAAGGGAAAGTGAGCCTATTGAAATGGGATTGAAGGAGTACATAATAATGTGAGATGTTTTATCTTCAATGTTGAGAAAAATGGTAGATTTATTACCACCACCCCCAGAAAAAAAAAAAAAAAGAAAAAAGAAAAAGGGTAGATTGTTAACGCGTAAACGACTTTGCATATTTCAAGTCAAATCCCGTACAAATAATGGACGACTTAAAGTAAAAGGGTTGGAAAGTCGTACTTCTTAGGCAAGAAAATTTGCTTCTAAGTTCTAAATCCTACACTTTCAAACGTTGGCTATGTGCATTGTGCAATGCTATAGTAAAAGACAATCCTAACTTCCACTAATAGTACAAATGTCTCATCATCGAGATTATTTCTACTCTTTGATTTTTTTTTTAAAGTAAATATACATTAAACTTGCTGGAAATCAACCAGTTCTGAATAATATAAAGAACTTAGTATCATTGACACCAAGTGATTACATAGTGATAGTGGATGAAACCACAATTTGTGTGCTACACATATTATCACGATGAATCTAACAGAAGATGAAACACCAACTATGATTATGAGGAATTTTCCAGAAAGATTCAATTTGCACTTGGTAGTTCTCTTAAAACATCATCGCCTTCTGAAGTATGTTGGAGGAAATCCAAATCCTAGTGATATCTTCATGCATAGTAACCCGTTCCCCAACCATATGGAAAACGAAGATATCACCAGGATTTGGATTTCCTCATATGGAAAACGAAAGAGTATGAATATTCACCTGTCGACTTCTCAATCATGGAGGGAGGAAGTATAAACTGTAATCTAATAAGGTTTTCTTCTATAGAAAAGTTTAGGAGGACAAATAGAAATTTTGCGATTATGAAAAGAATAAAATAAATAAATAACCATCAGAAGAAAAACAAAGCCACCATCAAATGAAGGAAAGTAACTGTATTGATTGAAAAAAAATGACAGAGGATGGGATGGTAGTAAGAAGTGAAAAAATAAATATAAACATAATACAACTATAGATTGTAACAATTCTAAAAAGATAATAACAAACATTACTTTGTTTTTTTTCGTTGTTTTTTTTTTTTTTTTGAGATGAGATTAACAACACAATTAAGATTCTTAAGAAACCTAAAACAAATAACAAACTGAGTGAACAAATTACTAATTAAGCTGGAGAAAATCCTATAAACATTGAAAAAATCACATCGAAAAAAAAAAACTAAAAAAGGAAAACACAAAGATGGAAAGAGAAAACATTGTTTTTAGAAAGAAAATATGAAACTTGAAAGGAGATGTAAAAAAAATAAAAAATTTAAACGAGAACAAGAAGATCACGATAAAATAACACTAAATAATTACACTTAAAAACTAAGAGATTTCGTCAAGGAGAAAATCGGTTAGTTACTCTAAGAAAACTCCCAAATTAGTTACTCTTTGACCTTGTTTTTTCCTTCTGCGTTATTTCAAACTCACGACAAGTTAATTGTACATAAAATGTACTACCATCTCGTCCTAAATTAACAGTCCAAACTCCAGAGTCCCGAGTCTTCGATAAATGTATATGCATTTTGACCCGATTGGAATTGCTTGAAGCCGCAAAGGTAGTTTACCTCTCTCCTCGTGTTGTAATTAGTCAACAAAATGCATAATTACGTTCCAATTTTTTAACCAAACATAACCGTTACATTTACGCCGAAAAAATTAAATGGATTAATATTAAACGCGAATTTATAAGGTACTAACTACCTTCTTCATGAAAATTAATAATCCTTTCCTATTAAGAAGCCACGCGTACATCTTTGAGTCTTATGTTATCTTCTCTACTAGTTATAACTCTGATCAAAACAATTCAAAAAGTGACTTTTATATCTTTTAGAGTATTGGATATGTGCAATCCCATTTTTTGAATTGGAAACTCTTCTTCCATTTAGATATACATATCGAACCAATTATCTTTTGCAAATTTAAAAAAGAAAAAAAAATTATGGGACACGAAATCACATAGGGAATTAAAAATTTTCAAGATTAGTCCAACATTACATGAATCTAACTCGAAAAAAATTTAAAAATATTTTCAAAGTGTTGTGAAAACGATAATGTACATTAGGTCAAGCGATTATGGTTTTCAGTGAGTTTACACTGATTTTATGCGTTATTGTTTTGTGGTGATTCCAATATGGGAAAAACATAACAAATACTGCTACCAAAACAAGACCTTGAAAAAAGAATTTTTATTTTGTTTAGCGGCAATAGCTATATTAGTAGAGAGCTACTAGGAGGCAATTGTGGCTTGCCTGACTTATTAGTGGTTGCCGCGGTGGATCATAGGATTCAAAATCCAAAAAAAAAAAAACTCAAAAATTAAAAAAACCAATTCGAGTATTAACCGAACTCTGACCTTTCCCTCCTTCTTCCCAGTATGGAAACTTTTCCGGTGTGAATTCTTTTAAAGATATATAAGTTCCACAATCAAAAGATTCAAACCCCACAGTCTTTATCTCCATAATTTGGACTTGGAATTCAAAGATTTCACTAATACTGCCGGTGGGTGGTTGTTCTTTCTCTTCCACCGCCGCTCTCCGCCTCTTCTGCTGTCAATAACTCTTTTTTTTTTTTTTGTAACAGCTTTTCCACTGGAATTAAATTCCTGGGCCATTCTCATAAAGTCATCCCTTTTATGCCAAAAAGAAAAAGAAAAAACTTCTCTTTCTTGATTTGATGATCCCAGAAATCGAGAACTAACACAGCTATCACAATAAACCTCATAAAATTCTGTTCTTTTTTTTTTTCCTGATACCTTTCTCGAGTAAATATTCTGTCTTTCATTTGAAGGCCGCCGATTGGAGGCAAAAGCTTATAAAGGTACGGTTATTATTCAGTTTTTTTTTTTTTTAATATAAATAATCTATTTAGGTGGTGTTTATTTGGGGCGGTGTTTTTCTTGTTTGTGGTTCCTTCCTCCTACTGCACACGCGCAGGAAGGGACACGTGTGAGCTTTAGGCTAAATCGATGTTTCATTTTGCTAAATTTGTTTGATTCTGTTGCTATTCAGCCGTTTCTGCATACTCTGTTTATGCATATATCAATATTTTTTTTCCCTGGTTTTTTTTTTTTATTTTTTTTTGAGGAAAACGAATGTTGATTTACGTTTGATTCTATTAAGAACAGGGCCTCTCTGGTGGTTATCTTTCAGCTTCTGGAAGCTGAAAATTTAATAACCACCTGGGATTTGTTTTTTTACCTTTTTTGTGGGAATTTCTTCTTCATAAAAGATTGTGATCTTTTTTTCTGCCATTTTAATGGTCTGAATGAAAAAGGAACCATTTTTGTTTTTGCCCCTCTTCAAATGTTGTGAGCATTTGTTGTTTTCTAGCTGTATCCTGCAAAACGCTTTTCCGTTTTATTTTGGTCCCTCCGAATGAGTCAGTCATTCCAATTGTTTGACTTTTTGCTTGTGGAGTTTCAGTAATCCCATGTTATATGTCTCTAATAATTCTTAATAAGACAGGATTAAGAATTACTTTTATGTCGGCTTTTGGTTGATAACTATTTCGTCATATTGATCAGTGATCACTACTTTGTACCGGTTGCCTCGTTCCGGTGTCACATTCATGTGTATTACCCGTTTGACGTATTTGACAATTTGTTCAAATGCTAATCATCCCTTCAAACTGAGGTTTGTTTTGTTCCTTTTTATGGTTTTTTTCCCCCCAAGCAATATACATTGAGGACTGGAGTTGCATTGTGTCTTTTTCATTGATGCATAATTGGATAGTTGCTCAGTTACGAGTCCATTTGTTGTTTATTGGGAAAGCAAAGTGATCACTTTATTAGGCCTGGATTGAATTTTTAATTTGGATTGGTGTTTTTATCAGCCACTCTTGAAGCTAGATAATCTGTGCGGAGACGGCATTGATCAAACTTTGGGCTGCTAGTGAAAAGGTTGAGTTCCAACGGAATCAAGTTGGAATTTTTGTATACATACATATGATTGGGGACTTTTGATGAAACTGCTAGCACCTGAGGTGTGAGAACTGTATCATTGTCACTCAACTCATGATAAACTTCAGCAATGGGGTCCTTGAATATGGAGAAAAAATGGGTTTTTCCTCTTGCTATCAGTTCCCTGGTATGCCTTTTCCTATTTGCCACCTCCTTCAATATGGGGATGATTTCGTCACTGAAAACCATCAATTCGATATTCTCGATGTTCCCCTCTATCAATCACACTAGCCAATTGTATGTTGATACCAAGATTCCAAAACCTCAACCTCCTCCTCCCCCAGCTGCTCCGCCCATGCCTCGCTTTGCTTATTTGATATCAGGATCAAGAGGTGATCTAGATAAGCTTTGGAGAACTCTTCTGGCGCTGTATCACCCATGGAATTATTATATAGTGCATTTGGACCTGGAATCACCACCAGAGGAAAGGCTAGAGCTTGCTTCTCGGCTTGACAAACATCCCATTTTTAATAAGGTGCAGAATGTCCAAATGATAACCAAAGCTAATATGGTTACTTATAGAGGTCCAACCATGGTTTCCAACACGCTTCACGCTTGTGCCATTCTTCTCAAGAAATATAAGGACTGGGATTGGTTCATCAACTTAAGTGCTTCAGACTATCCTTTGATGACTCAAGATGGTCAGTTCAGTTCTTGGTTCACATTTTTGAATACAATGAATTCTAGTTAAAAGTTGCTTACTTGCTTTGTCCAGTGTCCATTCTTTCGGTTGGGTTACTGATTTTTCTAATGTGTTGTCCCTTGCAGATCTTCTGCACACCTTTTCTGGTTTAAAAAGAGACTTGAACTTCATTGATCATACCAGCCGATTGGGGTGGAAAGAGTAAGCCCTCTGATAGAGTGTATGCTCTGATTCAGTTATGCAAATTTGACCGTCAAAATGAACTTTCAGCAAGTAACGCTTTTCGTATATGTGGATGTTTTGCAGGGGTGGTAGGGCCATGCCTTTGATTGTAGACCCTGGGCTTTACCAGAATACAAAGTCTGATATATTCTGGGTGTCACCTAAGAGACCTTTGCCAACTGCCTTTAGACTTTTTACGGGTGAGTTCTCTTTTATGGCTCTCCCCTGTCTTCCACATTGAGTGCAATTCTCTGTATTGGATCTCTGATGAAAAGCTCACTCGGTTGCATTGTTTGAATTAAACTGATTTTCATGTGGAGATAATTAGAATGTGAATTGCATAGAAACAAGCTAACGTGGAATCACAGTAATCAGAATTTGACCCAATTGTTTTACCTGGAAAGATGAAAGGTTAAAAATAAATGGATTTTGTACACTCAAAAAAAAATTTATGGACATTTGTGCAGTTCTTTTTATCAATGTTCTTTAAATTGCCTTGGCTGTTGCTTTTTGATGGCCTGCATAAAGAGTTAGATAACTATGGTCTCCTGGCTAGCTGCCACTGTTGAATTGAAGCACTGCCGGCACTGATTTTCGTTGCTCTATGCTTTAATATTCCATCAAGTTCAAATCAGTTGGATTTGAACATTGGCTGATAAAAGTTCTGTTTTTTACTCCAAAAGATGCTCCCCGGTCATGTTGTTAGTATGACTGTATCTGGTGCATAGCTGCAAAAGCTAACCTTTCTGTGTTCATATCAGGTTCTGCATGGACAATTCTTTCACGCCCATTCGTGGAGTATGTGATATGGGGTTGGGATAACCTTCCTAGAACCCTTCTCATGTACTACACAAATTTTGTTTCTTCTCCTGAAGGATATTTCCAGACTGTAATTTGCAATGCCCCTCAATTTATCCCGACCATTGTCAACCATGACATGCATTACATCTCTTGGGATAATCCCCCAAAACAGCATCCGCACACCCTCAACATCAATGACACAGCCAAAATGATTGCAAGTGATGCCCCGTTTGCGCGTAAGTTTAAGCATAATGACATTGTGTTAGATAGGATTGATACAGAACTACTTGGCCGGAAAAATGGTACCTTCACCCCTGGTGGATGGTGTGCTGGGAAGCCCCGATGCTCCAAGGTCGGAAATCCCAACAAACTCAAACCAGGGCCGGGTGCTAAACGGCTTACTCGCCTTCTGGCCAGGCTAGTCTATTCTGCAGAATTTAGAGACAGACAATGTAAGTAGATTCTTTTAGTGTATCAGTCCTTTTACTTTGAAATGGAAACATTGGCAACTTGCTAGAGTCATACACAGTTTTTGAATCCAAATTCCCAACATAATTTTTACCGCGGATGTAGGACTACTGTATATCAAAGGGATTAAGAGATATTACACATTCAAGAGGACCATATTGGTTCTACCTAGTATTTCCCATGATTGGTATACTTGGTATTTGTAACACCCATCTTCCAATCAAATTGCTGTTTTAAGAAACAGGACAGAAACATATATCTATTCATTTGACAGGATGAAAACGTGTACAAAGTGCCAAATTTCGGAAGTTGCAACGTAGTACAAAACAAGAGTTTTATTGCATAGTAAAGTAGAAAGTGATCGAAGAGGAATATACAATACAAATTTCGTTTGAGATTTTGTCCTTGGCTATACTGCTATAGCATGTTTCTGGTGCTTTTCATTCGTCTTCTTCCACCTTTGTCGCTCATAACATTCTTTTTCCATTTGCCAATAGAAATTTAGTATTGTTTGGATTCCAGAAAGGGGATTAGTGTTTTGTGGACTAAAAATATAGGACAAGTTAAAAAATTTCCCCCCAACTCTGACCATTTCATGGAACAACAGAAGTAATCCCAGCATTTGGACTTCACATCAAATTGTGTTTTGTCATCTTTTTGAGCTGAAGAGTTACGGACGTCTTATCATTTTAAACTGATGTATAATCGATTAATTATTCGAGGGTAACTACCGATATGATATGATTTGTGTTCGTATTACATTGATTGAGACGACTTCTTCGTCTATGCCGTTTTCCTGGTTTTCTCAAGAGTCACGTTGGCGTTGGGGTAAGGGTATGAATCAAGATTTTATCTTTTTCCCCTGTATTTTTTTATAACTAATTTACCGGTGCTATTGATGAACTAGTAATAATTAACCATCTTTGAGTATATCCAGATGGAATAATCAAGTCAGCTCATTGATAAGGTCGATATTGGCGTAATATTTATGGCGATTTATGTGTAATTTTGAATGGTATCTATACTAATATTGGTATTTTATGCTTAATTTGATCATAGGAAGTACTTTGGACTAAAAGGACGAAAAAATATTGATTTTAGAGAGTTCTAAAGCTTTTGTTTAAGTGTCTTATGCTCACGTGATCACACGTCACGTTGAAGAACATGCTAGAAATTTCGCCCAGGGACTAAAATGAAAAACTAAAAAAGTTTTAGGAATAAAATATAATTTCTACAAACTTTAGGGATCAAACTATAATTTCGGAAAACTTTGAGGGCAGCAGCGGTTTTGGACGAATTAGTTGCTTAATCCCCAAGTTTTTGGAGTTATAAATTCCTATTCTTCAGAAAGGAGGCAAGCAATTCCTTTTCAAAGAAGAAGGTTTCTCAAAAGAAATTATGTTCATACTCAAAAGGTGATTTTTTCCAAAGAAGTAATCTCTTACTTGGGGGCTAATTCTATTCCTTAAATAGACTTAATGAGTCTATGAAAGGGTCTAGGTTCGTTTTCTTACTAGTAAGAGATGAGTTGTCAAAAGAGTCAAATTTGGAAATTACCTTGTAAAAATAAGAAAAATATATTATATCCTATTTCTTCTCCTACTTATAAGGAGAGTTTTTAGCCATCCTTTCCTATAAATAGAGGGAAAAATTCGGCCAACACAAGACCAAGGAGAGGGAGAGCAGTCGACGCACAACTGAAGCTCCGGACAGGCAGATTTCTCTCAGTTTTCGTGTTTTCGTCACTACTTGTTCCGTAACGTTAATCATCTACTCTTTTGCTATTGATTCTATTAAGATTAATAGCTAAACTCTTTTTCTAGTTGAACGATTATTGAAACCTTGATTCATGACAATTATGAGATCTAATTGAATGTATTTTTTTATATATATATTCATGAATATTTGTTTATTTCCTTATTTTAGGGTTTATGATTGATTCGGTTTGATTGAATATGTGCGTAGTATTTAATTATTTTGGATTGATCTATAGCTATTAAAAATGACAAATTCGAAATTGTTTGTTTAGTTTTAATAAGTGGCAATCAACAACTCAGACTACTTGAGTAAGCAATTGATGCACGTTGTGAAAATAAATAATCCAATTTAAATGATCCTGACTGTGTGTTGTTAATTGGAATTGGGTTTCTCTAGGTTTTAATACTGTTAGAACACCAAATCCTATGAGCATCTCTAGGGTTGTCTTTTGATTAGAGAAATAGTTGACGATCGTATCTTGACTACCGATAAAATAAGGAGAAATTGGTTGTTAGGTCGTGCCAACAACAATAACCAATTTATTTGTGAATTATATAAATTTTTATCTTTGCATCAAGGATCAATTGGTTGAATCAAGGTGGAAATAATTCCTTTGACTAGAATCTTTTTCTCTTATTTGTCATCTTAATTTTACTTATTTTATTTAGTTGTCCTTTACTTATTTAAAAATCAAAACCACTTTCCTTTTGTTACTTGACTTTTAATTAGATATAAATTCACTTACTTGTTTCCTGATGAGACGACCCTACTCACTGCTATACTACCAAGTGTGTTAGGAGTAGGCTATATTTATTTTTGTTAGTTTGACACCCACCACTCATCAAAACTTTTCTAGTTAATTACAACTAACAATACGATCAACAATATATGCCCAAGAAAAACCCTGTTTATAATGGTGCCTTACCACATCTAAGAGTCAATCTCTATACATTGTTTGTAATTTTTTGCATTCATCCAGGTGTGTGGGAGATCCTAACAACGGCGGAACTTGGGTGATAATACAATTAACAATAACAGAGGAATTCCGTCCATACTCATCACCGTATGATAAGTAGTAAGTTACTCTTTTTGACGTAAAGATTACTCCCAACTGGGATGACCAGGGGAACGTCTTAAACTGAGCTTCGTTATTATTGGTGACTTTTTCCTTCCCCGCATTGATCAATGATCCCACTTTGTGGCAGTCATTCTCAGAAAAGGGAAAGAGTTCCAATAGCTAATCAAATGGGGACTCTCAACAGAAAATGATTAATGAGGTATATGTATTCATATAATGAGAATTGTATCAGCTGAGATGTTGAGAAACTGTGTGTATCATTTGGTAGAAACTTGAGCAAAATGGAGTACTCGTTGAATGTGGAGAGAAAAAGGGCGATTCCTCTAGCAATCATTTTGCTGATATGCCTTTTCTTATGGGCCATCTCCTTCAGCATTGGGGTGATCTTATCAAAGATTTGGAAACCTGATAAAAAAACCCTCCTCTTCCTTCTCGGTTTGCGTATTTCATATCTGGAGCCAAAGGGGATGTAGACCAGCTCTGGAGAACCCTGCAGTCATTGTATCACCCCTGGAATTATTATCTTGTTCATTTGGAACTGGGATCCCCATTGGAGGAAAGGCTGGAGCTAGCTTCTCGGGTCGAAAAAGACCCCGTTTTCGAAAAGGTTAAGAATGTCGGGGTGATTACCAAAGCCAATTTGGTTGCTTATAAGGGTCCAACCATGGTTTCCAGCGTACTTCACGGTTGCGCCATTCTTCTCAAGAAACACAAGGACTGGGATTGGTTTATCAGCTTGAGTCCTTCAGATTATCCCTTAGTGACTCAAGATGGTCAGTTCTTCTTCTTCCAGTAGAGCCCCTGTCCATTCTCCCAATTTTGGATGTTCTAACATTTGGTTGTCCCTTTGCAGATCTTCTGCATTCCTTTTCTGGTTTAAAAAGGGACTTGAACTTTGTCGAACATACCAGCCACTTGGGCTGGAAAGAGTAAGCTCTCTCCATTGTATGCTCTGTGGTTTAGTTCCGCAAATTTGAGAACTTTCAGAATGTAATGCTTTTTTGTATATGCGGATGTTTTTTGCAGGGCTGGAAGGGCCAAGCCTTTGATTGTAGACCCTGGGATTTACCAAAATACAAAGTCTGATTTTTTCCAAGTGTCACCACCTAATAGACCTTTGCCCACTGCCTTTAGACTTTTTACAGGTTCGAGTTCTCGCCTCTGCCTCTCATCTGTTTCCACATTCATTGATTTCCGTTGTTCTATTCATCTACTGCTTAATTAAGAACGAAAAGTTGTTATTCTTGTGTGTTCAGGTTCGGCTTTCTAGAACCCTCCTCATGCACTACACAAATTTTATAACCTCTTGTCAGGGCTATTTCCAGACTGTTATCTGCAATTCCCTTGAATTTGTCCCCACCGTCGTTAACAGTGACCTGCATTACATCTCTTGGGATACTCCCCCAAAACAGCATCCGCACACCCTCAACATCAATGACACCGCCAAAATGGTTGCCAGCGGCGCTCCATTTGCGCGGAAATTTAAGCGCAACCACATTGTGTTAGATAAGATTGATGCGGAACTCCTTGGCCGGAAAAATGGTTCCTTCACCCCTGGTGGATGGTGCGCCGGGAAGCCCCGTTGCTCCATGGTTCGAAATCCTATAAAACTCAAACCAGGACCAGGAGCCAAACGGCTTACTCACATTCTGGCTAGACTTGTTTATTCTGCTGAATTTAAAGACCGCCAATGCAAATAGTTAGTGTGTCAATCTTTGCTCTTCAATGTTATCAACTTTGTCCTTACACAGAAGCTCTAAGGGTATTAGACAAAATTCAGGAGAGTGTTTGTTCATACACAAAACATAAAAGGGTATTAGTCTGTGGAACAAAACTCCGGTTTATCCTTATCCCATTATTTCAATTAATCGGGGATATCAGGCAGGTATTTTTTTGAATTTAGCTTAAAAAAAAACCTAAAAAATTATTATGTCACACCATGCAACAAGAGGAGTCTGTATCTAATATACCCGAGAGCATGTAGACTCTCTCATATTTTTTGCACTATTAGTCCGTATTGTACTTTTTTATAAACTCTTCATATATTTTGTAAATTTAGTCCTTGTTACGTTTTTCTCTCTCTTCCATAAAACATCTCTAATCTTTAAACGAGCATATTTCTCAATCCGTGAAGAATTTGTTAACAAATTATACATGAAATTTATAGTACTTGGCGAGATCTATCCAACAAGATCCAAATCAAATATTTTTTTCGAGCTTAAAAATGATCAAATTTTGATGGGCAGAATTAAGATAGATATCCAGTTTAAAACAATGGATAACCGACTTATTTTATATTGATACTCTTGTATTGTATATATATTTTGATCCGTAAAGAATCACAAAAAAAATTATATATGAAATTTATAGTGCTCGATGAGATCTATCCGATAAGATCAATATTCAATTTTTGTTTTGAACTTTAAATGTATTTAAATTTTACGGGCAGAAACGAAGAAATATGTTTTTTTTTCTAAAAAATGGTTATCCGTTGTGTTCATATTGATTATCCAATCGGTTTCGACTGATTATCCATTTTGTTTGTACTGGTTATCCAATCATATTTTTGACATTCACTCCTCTTCGAAAAAAAAAGAAAGAAAAAAAGAATAAAATATTTGGATAACCATTGAAAATAATTGGATAAGCAGTACAAACTGGTTGGATAATCAATACAAAAAAATTGGACAATCATTTTCATAAAAGAGCAAGGAAAATAAAGGTTGGATAACCATCACCAAAAAGTTGGATAATCAGTATGAATATATTGGACACATATTTTCTCAAAAGAAAAAAAAGAGAAATTATATTTGGATAATCAGTGAAAATGATTGGATAATCAATACAAATAATTGGATAGTCAGTACAAAAAATTGGACAAAGATTTTCACAAAGAGTAGAGAAAAAAATGGTTAGATAATCTATGCGAAGCAGTTAAATAATCAATATGAATGTCTTGGACAACTATTTTTTTCAAAAAAAAAATAATAAAAAGAAAAAGAAGGGTTAGATAAGCAGTACTAATTAATTAAATAATCAGTATCAACAAATTGGGCAATGATTTTCCAAAAAAAGATTCGATAACCAGTATAAACGAAATGAATAATCAGTTCAAACCAGTTAGATAATCAGTATGAATACAATGGATAACCATTTTAAAAAAAAACTAGGTTGGCTAAGCAGTACCAATTAGTTAGATAAAATGTACAAACATGTTGGACAAGTATTTTCATAAAAATAAAAAAAATTAAAAAAAAAAGCTGGAGAAGCAATAGCAAGGAATTGGATAATCAATATGAATACATTGGACAAGCATTTTCTCAAGAGAAAAAAATAAAATAAAAATGATTGGACAAGTACAAACTTATTTGGACAAACGACAAAAATAATTGGATAACCAATACAAGACGACTGGATAATCAGTACACACGATCTGGACAAGTATGATTATAAAAAGGAGTAGAGAAAAAAAATGGTTGGATAACCAGTACCAAGCAGTTGGATAAACAATACCAATTAGTTGGATAACCAGTGGGAACATGTCGGATAAGTATTTTTCTCGAGAGAAGAAAAAAAGAAAAAAAAAAGATTGGATAAGTAAAGCAAACTTATTTGGACAAGCAGTAAAAATAATTGGATAACCAATACAAAGCGATTGGATAATCACTACGAACACATTGGATAACCGTGTTTCAAAGGGAAAAAAAATGATTGGATAAGCAGCATAAACAGAATAGATAACCAGTATTAACTTATTGGACACTGATTTTTTCCAAAAAAAAAAAATGATTGGATAACCAGTACACACAATTTGGATAATCATATAAATCCGTTGGATAACCAGTACACGTAAGTTGGATAGGCATACAAACCAAATTGATGGATATCTAGTACAAATAAGTTGGATATCCACCACAAACAAGTTGGACATGCATACAAACCCGTTGGATTCTAACTACAAAACAAGTTGGCTAGGCATACAAACCAAATAGATAAGCAGTACAAATGAAATGGATAACCAGTTCAAACTGGTTGGATAATCAGTATGAACACAATGGATAACCAATTTAAAATGAGTTGGTTATCCATCTTTTTAAACTGAATATCCATCCACCTTATTTCTGCCCATCAAAATTTGATCATTTTTAAGTCCAAAAAATATATTCGATATGGATCCTGTTAGATATATATCAACAAATACAATAAAATTCATGTGTAACACATTTTCTAATTCTTCACGGATTGAGAGATATGCTCGTTTGAAGATTGGAGATGTTTTTCTGGAAGAGAGAGAAAAAAATGACAGGGACTAAACTTACAAATTATAGAAAGATTAAGAAAAAAGTACAATAAAGACTAATAGTGAAAAAAAAAAGGAGGGAGAGAGCACATGCTCGGTATACCGGATAAATTGCCAACAAAATTGTTACATATCTTACCTATAAAATTCTCATTCAAGCAGGATTTGAAAATACATAATATTCTACCCCAAAATTATTGTGCAATATGAATTTTAAATTTTAGTACAATTTAAATTAAAAATAAAAACTAAAAATAGACAATCATTAAATGAACAATCCAAATCGGAAGACATAATCACTATTCAGGTTGTTAGTTTCCGTCTCGGTTTATGAAAGGCTGGAACTAAACCCTTAAATAGAACGTTTTATTAGATTTCGGCTAGTGATCAGTCGGTTTTTGGTGTGGTTTACATTTTGACCAGAACTCAGAAATCCAGTTTAGTGATGATTTTGAGTCCAATCTCACATGTTTTGAGAATTTACTAGGATGAAATTTTGCGAAAAATTCCAAAGATCAACAAACATTTTATGATTAGATTTTCTTATTCCTTCATTTGAGTACACTTATTTTTCAGTAATAGTCATCATCTTATCGTTGAATCTTTCACAATGTAATTGTTAATTTTATTAAAACATTTGTTTATTAGATTTTAGACGATGAATAAATGCAATAAAGGTAAAGAAGTAAAAACGTTTAGGCTCTGTTTGGTTGGATTGAATTGGACCTAAGAATTAGAATTGGAGGCCCTTAATTCCAATTATTGTGTTTGGCTGAAAAAATAGAGGTTTTGGAATTAGAATTATAATTCAAGATGAGGCTCAATTATTTATTTTCAATTCTTTTGTGGGAGCAAATAAATGCAATTCAAACTCTAGGGGGCTTTAGAAAAAAAGCGGGTCACATACGGGTCGTTTTCCGGGTTAAAACGAAACAGGTCCTTTTAAGTTTGAGGGTTTTTTTTTAAAATTTTTTTATTTTTTATTTTGCAGCACTGCACATGCACTGTTTTTCCTTTTTCTTTTTCGTTTTTTTTCCTTTTTCTTTTAGCGCTGGGCTTTTTTTTCCCCTTTTTTTTGCATTTTGTTAAATTAACATATGTTTTTAATTTATGGTGCAAACGAGATCTACATTATATTAATAATTATTAATGAGATCTATATATTAAAATTAGTATTCTTTTAACAAAAACTATCAAATGTATAATGACACCCGTAATTTATTTTAAAAATGGATGGTATTAATTATGGGTTAACATTTTTTTATCAAATGTATTTGAACTATACTTGAAATTTTTTTCACTAAAAATTATTTAAGCTTTCAAGAAGTCGAAATATATATTATTCCATGTAATTATATACTAAAAATAAAAAATAATTAATTAGCACCATGTATTAATGTTAATCTATACATAAATGAATGGTCTTTACTTTCAATTATATAAAAATATTACTCTAAAATTCAAAAAAAAAAACTAAAGATTAAAAATTTATAAAATAATAAAAAGGAGAGGAACAAGGATGTTCTACATGTTACTTGTGAGAATTCCAATCATCACATTCATATTTACGTAATAATAATAAAAAAATTTCCACAAGTATGTGTGTATCTATAAATTATAAAATTGATATATATTACTCAAACAACAAAAGTTCTAATATAAATGTATATGATCAATTTATTTTTGTTATCTTATATATGTAAGTAATAAATTGCTTTGATATATAAAATTAAGTATTTATTTTATTCAATGAAATAAAGTACTAAACTATAGTTAGATAATAAAAAACTAATTCTAATTCTAGATTTTATAAATTTATAAGGATCTAAACACAAGAATTGGTATTAGAATCTTAATTTTAGTCAATTCTTAAGATCTTCCAAACGAAAGAATTAAGATTGAATTGCAATATTAATATCTTATTTTCAATTCAATAGTATTGTAATTCTAATTCAATTACAATTCAATCTAACCAAACGGAGCCTAATGGTGAACTGTTTGTCACACATATGTGTCATTAATAGTTCTTCTGAATTCTGGCATACTTCAGCGCGTATGTATATTATTACTGTGTCGATGTATTTGGCAATTTATTGAAAGAAGGAATATGAAGATGTGCCCCTCGAAACTGAGTTTTATTTTGTTCCATTCTGTTCACGCAATCCACATAAATTGGCTTTCATTTTCACCAATGCTTTGATTAGACAGTTAGCCAGTTACAATTCCTTTGTTCTTGTGTTCTTTTATTGGCAAAGAGCAAAAGAGATCGAGATTGTATATTTTATTCGCTACTCTTGAAGCTAGAGAGGACGCCCACTGTGGGTGTTCCACTAGAATCAAATGGGACTCCCCAACACATATATAGATAATAATGACGAATGCACTCAGCTGAGGTATGGAAAAAGGGTGATTTCATTTTCATTTTACTGAAACATACCAGAAATCTGCTCCACCTGAGTTCCGAAACAGGTGAAACAGGACTGGATTGGTTTGAAAAGAGACTTGAACTTCAGTAAGCCATATCAGCCATTTGGGTTGGAAAGGCTGCTGGTGAACGGTGCCGTCTTTTTCACCACTCCATAATTGGATAGTTTGCGAGTTACAAGTGATAGATGGACTTATGAGGCCAACAAACACTTTCAATGATGAAAATTGGTAATTTTTATTTTTCTTTCTTCAGCTAGAGAATCTTCTTGGGGAGAAGGCATTAAAGATTCCACTTGATTCGTGGCACTCCTTGTCAAAAGGGAAGAATTCCAATACAATCAAACGGGACTCTCAGTATAGATCGTTGGATATATAAGGAGAATGCTTTGTAGCTTAATTGTGAAAACAAAAAAACAAACTATGATTGAAATGGAGTCCTCTTTGAACGTGGAGAGAAAAAGGGTAATTCCTCTTGTAATCACTTCACTGATATGCCTAGTCCTATGTGCCATCTCCTTCAATCTTGGGGTGATTTTATCACTCACATCTATTAATTCCATGTACTGGATTTCCCCTGTTGTCAATCACACTAGCCAATTCTATGTTGAATCCAAGATTCCGAAACTCCAACCTCAAATTCCAGCTCCTCCAGCTCCTGCATCATTGCCTCGCTTTGCTTATTTCATATCAGGAACAAGAGGTGATCTTGAAAAGCTATGGAGAACCCTGCAGTCACTGTATCATCCCTGGAACTATTATGTAGTTCATTTGGAGCTGGGATCCACATTGGAGGAAAGGCTGGAGCTTGCTTCTCGGATTGACAAAGATCCCATTTTTAATAAGGTGCAGAATGTCCTAATGATAACCAAAGCTAATATGGTTACTTATAGAGGTCCAACCATGGTTTCCAACACGCTTCACGCTTGTGCCATTCTTCTCAAGACATACAAACACTGGGATTGGTTCATCAATTTAAGTGCCTCTGACTATCCATTGGTGACTCAAGATGGTCGGTTTTGCCTCTGTTCTATGATTTTCAATTCAACACTTTTTCCTTCTCTGTTTTTTTTTTTTTTTAAGTTCCACGAGTATTCTACATTTGGGTTTTTTTATTTTTTTTGGTCCCTTGCAGATCTTCTGCATGTCTTTTCTGGTCTGGACAGAGAATTGAACTTCATCGAACATACCAGCCGATTGGGTTGGAAAGAGTAATTAACCTCTCTCTCTGAATGACAGAGTACTGATTGTTCTGATTTTCAGTTAAAGCACATTTTTTTTAACAGTAGGAATGAATTGCTTCTATAAATGTGAATATTTTGGTTTACAGGGCTGTTAGGGCCATGCCTTTGTATGTAGACCCTGGGCTATACGAAGATACTAAGTCTCAACTCTTCAGGGTGTTCCCTGAAAGACAACTGCCCACCGCATTCAAACTTTTTACGGGTGAGTTTCCGTCCTCTGCCCCAGAGTTCAAAATCATTTTTTTACTCTATATTGGTCCATTCATTTGCTACTTCCTTCTGTGTTCTTCATAATATCAATCAGGTTCAGCATGGACAATCCTTTCGCGTCCATTCTCCGAGTACTTGATCTGGGGTTGGGATAACCTTCCCAGAACCCTCCTCATGTACTATTCCAATTTTGTGTCTTCTTCCGAAGGCTATTTCCAGACTGTTATTTGCAATTCCCCTGAATTTGTTTCCACCGTCGTCAACAGTGACCTGCATTACATCTCTTGGGATTATCCCGCAAACCAGCACCCCCACATCCTCAACATCAACGACACCGCCAAAATGATCGCGAGCGACGCCCCCTTTGCGCGTAAATTCAAGCATAACGACATTGTGTTGGACAAGATTGACGCGGAACTCCTTGGCCGGGAAAATGGTTCCTTCACCCCTGGTGGCTGGTGCTCCGGCAATCCCCCTTGCTCCGAGGTCGGAAACCCCACAAAACTCATACCAGGACCGGGCGCTGAACGGCTTACTCGCCTTCTTGCTAGGCTGGTTTATTCTGCAGAATTTACAGAAAAGCAATGCATGAAGTAGTGTTTTCAAGTTTAAACTTCCAGATGCAAAATAGGGGCAGTGAGTCACAATAAAAGTTTATGAATGAAAAAAGTTTTATGAATGACTTAAAGAGTACTTTACAACAGAAACTATGGCATTCTTACAGTTTTATTAACATTTTCGATCAAATTATGGCCTGAGGTTAAACATGTATCAACTCAACCGTTTTTGGGATGATTAAATTTTGATAATACTCTACCACCATATATATATATTGATAATTATAACAATTTGTATGACTGAACCAGAATATATAATTAGAGTAAAAGCAAACCAAGAGGCGAAAGAAAACCACTGACCTTATTTGGTGGGGATCGGAGGCTTCACCCATCAAAGGAACAACTTCAGTTGTTTCTCAACTCCATAGTGAATTGAGTACATTGCCAGTCAGCAAATAAATAAATGTATGCATACTCCTCCGATATTAGACTATTTCCTTGTGACTGATGTTACTCTCTATCACATTTTAACACTTATTTCGTCCCGAAATTACTGTCCCATTTAGATTTTCATTTTTAATTCAAATTCTACTAAAATTAAACATTCAAACTGGATAATAATTTTGAGACGGGAGTAGTGCTTCATTTTATGAAAAAATATTCCATGTACGAGTTACACCACATCAGCAGCTGTGGTGCAACAAACCATTATCTTTGTTTAAGATAACTTCTTAAAAACCATTTTATGATGTGTTGCAACAAACCAATCTTACAGTGACATGTGTCTTATATTTTTTTAAGATAGCTTTTTTTTAAATTATGATTCCCTTTAACATCTGCCCAAAATTAGGAAATTTATCACTATCTAAAAAAAAATCATCATTCCAAACCATTAACACTGGCCAATACTTCCAGCATCCCCACACCATGAGCTCCAAGAACTCCACCAGAGATGGGTGTCACACCATTGCAATAGCCTACAAATCACAGTGGGAGGTAAACCATCCTAGGCAAGTCTAGAGTGACAAGCTCAGATGTGAAATCGGGAGTTCATAAATGGTTTTGCCATAACAAGTCTTCTAGAGACTAGAGGTGTCAATGGGCAAGGTTAGAGTCACCCCGTCACTCGGAGTTTGAACTCATGACTTTCTCTTGAGAGCAAGGGTGATTTTATATATATATATTTATATATATATATATATGTATATAAGAACCCCATATATATATATCCCCTTTTTACTTACTTAAAATAGAGTCCTAAAAGGACACATGACAGCTTCACATAAAAAAATTTCCCTCCAGTTCCAAAGAAGTCATATACAGGGATCATCACCACGTGGCACACCTCATGTACTAGAAATATTCTACCCATCAGTGTACACAAACCACGGTTAAACTTAATTTGGAAAAAAAAATTTGAAAAATGAAAAGGAAAAATACAGAGGATAAAAAACACATCCCTACTTTTACTTCTATCTTTTAGGCCATGAATTCCTCCACAATCCCCAAAATGAAAAGGAAAAATACAGAGGATAAAAAACACGTCCCTACTTTTACTCCTAACTTTTAGGCCATGAATCCCTCCACAATCCCAACTCCTTTGCCGCAGCCGACTTACGGTATTGATAACAGAATATCTTCACACGTTCAGACTCAATCAATTACCACAATTTTGAATCACAGCCCGATAATTTCAAACCGTATACTCAGTGCACATTATTAACTTCAATCGTGATCATAATCTTCCAGATTTAGTTTCTTTTCAGTGTTACAGTGATCATGTATAACCAAAGCATACATTACCTATATAAATACCTGTACAGGAAACACATGTTGTGTACCATCTCCTTCAGAAATTCTCCCTTTTTATCACTACAAAACTCAGTCAAACCTAATTTCCTCTTTGCAATGGCCGGATCACCAACAGCCATCCCTGTCGCTTCTGATCCTCCATAACAGGGATTACCAGCAGTAATCCCGGTCACTTCTCAACCTCAACAGGAAGCTGCGCAACGTTATATTGCAGACATCAATGGTCTAATTTCAACCAAAGCAAGCATTTCTTCATTGTTGTACGTGTCATGTCAATGTGGAAAATGATGGACACTTCTAGGAAGGGTGAAGTGAAGTCTCTAGAATTGGCTTTGATTGATGCTCAGGTATGCATAGTTTAATGAATGTATATTTAAATGGCTTCATCATTAGAAAAATTATATAAATTACATGTGTTGGTTTCTTGAATAATTTACACAAATTTTATTGGAAAATAGGGTAGCAAAATTCAGGCGACTATACCGGCTAGATTCATGCGGGATTTCAAGGACTGGTTGGAAGAAGGTTGTTGTCGGAAAATATCGTGTTTTGATCATGCTCTGAATATAAATGGAGCATACCAATGTGCAAAACACGAGTATAAAATTGTGTTTGAACCAAACACATTGGTTCAAACGTTTGTTGACTTTGATATTCCTAACTATGTTTTTGAGTTCACTCCATTTGCAGAGATCAATAATTTTGTGGCGAACTTTGATTACTGTTTTGATAAGGATGTTGGATCTTTAATATATTTTCAGTTTTCATCTAATGAAAGAAAAATTACCCAGATATGTAACAAACACAACTAATGAAGGATTTATATTTTCCAGATGTGATTGGACACATTATTGGTTACAGTGACCCTATTGTAGATGCATAGAAAAAGAGGATATCTGTGCAACTAGAAGATGAAAGGTAAGCAGACCACAAAATCAATATACAACATACATAACCAAAAACATATTTAATTGTTGTTGATTTTCATATAGGGTTGACAGCATGAAGGTTACACTATGGGGTGAACATGCTGACCTCATAACCAATTACATGTCTAAAGAACCAGAATTTCCAGTTGTGCTGATTGTGCAGTATGTGAAGTGCAAGAAATTTTATGGTCAGATTAATATTTAATATACTTAAATTGTGTTGGTTTTAATTATGTTTATATTTCAAGTGTTAGTTTTCAGAAAATTAAAGCTTTCATTATAAGATGATGATATGCAAATTTTATATTTTCAAAACAGGAAAGGCGTCTGTGACTACTAATCTGTTTAATGGCAGAATCTACCTTGATGACATGAACATACCTGCCATTTATGAATACAAACACAGGTGATATGCACTGATAAAAAAGACTAATTTATGTGAAATGTAGATTCATTTCAAATTATGTGAATTATATCTTTACATGTACAGGCTTGAACAGAACGATATTAAAGAGGCAAGCATCCACAAAATATCGATCATGTCCTCCATATCTGGATACACAACCTTTGATGACTTTGTCAAAGATTCAGAGATATTAACTTTGAATGAAATCAGAGATCTTGAAGAGGTGATAATTAATTTACCGCTAATGAATAGTGTTGGTTTCATATTTGTAAAATGTGAAAGCTAATCAGAATGTATATGTCTTTGATTCAAAAGGCGGGCTACGTTGTTGTATTTGGAAAAATTTCTGGAATAGCTAAGGAGTACGATTGGTCTTACCTTGGGTACATGGAATGTAACAGAAATGTTATCAAAATTGAGGATGCTGAAATGCCCAAATCAGCTGGGAAGTCCAAGACTCTATCATTTGGAAAGAAGAAACAAACCGCTGATGATAAGTCGCAGGTTCCAAAAAAATGGATGTGTAATCGGCATGGACCTGTTTCTGCTGTTGCTCCTAAGTAAAGACAGTATATCCCAATCTATTTTTTAAAAACTGATTAACAGTTGCGTAATTAGTTTAAACTTATGACACAGGTTTAAGTTGCAAGTTTATCTAATGGATGGTTCTGGGAGTAGGATTGTTACTCTTTGGGACAGAATGGTGTACACTTTCATTAACAAGACTACAGCTGAGCTACGTGAGAAGGTTTAAACATTTCTTTTGCATTCTTAATTTTTAAAATCACAATTGTATCATATTTTAGTCATCAGGTTACTCAGATCTACATAAAGTGTTTTGTTATTTCATTTCATTTCAGTTACGACATTAAATGTGAAACATGTTTATAGGACAAAGATGACTACCCAAAAATTTTGGACGAAATCATTGGGAAAAAATGCCTCTTCAGGCTGGATGTATCTGATTACAACATAACCAACAATACGAGTGAGATTGCTGTTACCAGGGTTACTACTGATGCAGATGTGATTAAGAAATATCTTGATGTTGTTTCAGAAATTCAGGTTAATTACATGTGCTATAATTCGTATGTTCACATTCATTTGATATGTGCCAATATATATAACGTTTGTCTAATTTCTTCCAAATATATCAGGAAATTGACCCAGAACTAAGTGCTGAATTTGCTGCCAACTTAACCCCCACCCAGGACAGTACAACTAAGGTTTTTATTTAGGCTAAATATTTTTAAAAATACACAGCAATTTGACATTTACTTAGGGAGCATAGATTTACGAGTACTTACTTGCTTATATTATTACTTGCAGACTGCAGCTTCATGCACTGGTGACTCAGGAAATGGAAATGCAGGGGATGACCGTGCTGACAGCCCACCACCAAAGAAGATGATACCAATCTAGGGTGGTGATGAGAGTGTGAAGTCCCTTCCAAACAAGCATGTCAGAAAACTCTGATCAGATTTCAGAAGAAAGATTGCTCAGTCTATTTATAAATAAAGAATACAACGACATCATAGGAGTTGTATCCAATTTCCGGAATGGTATTCCGTTGGAACATTTGTTTTTTGTTATTTCCCTGTTTTTTTAAACACTATCGTACCATTTGCTTGCTCAGCATTTGATTACTCCTTCAGCATTTTAGGATTTTAAAGTTTCGACCATTAATGGAAAGTTGTCTTCATTTTTCCCTTTATTCAATAAATCAATTTATACGCAATGGTTTCAGTTCATTTTTACAATTTATCCACTCTGTGTTGTGACCAAATTATATATATATATAACAATTCTTTTTCCTCGTGTTTGAACAACTTACTTTGGTGCTAATCCATCGGTTCCAACTCTGTTGATGTATAAAATGTTGATGTATTGTGAGATACTTGCAATGTATTGTAAGATTACTCATTATAATTCAGGGCTGAATTATAATGGAAATCCTTAAAAGTGAATAAAATTGTTAAATAGGGTTAAAAAAATATTAAATAAAATTCTATACTCTATTTGAAAATCAAAAAAGTTCATCTACATATCAATATACATCTTAAAAAATATATTGATGAGTTTAAATTATGAACAAGAAACAGCCATAGTCATTTAGGAATCGAAAGCAAGAGTTTAAATTCCTACTAATCAGGGATTATGTTAATCTGGTCAATATTGAATAATAATCTGGTCAATATTGATGAGTTTACATATCAATATACATCTTAAAATATATATTGATGAGTTTAAATTATGAACAAGAAACAACCATAGTCATTTAGGAATCGAAAGCAAGAGTTTAAATTCCTACTAATCAGGGATTATGTTAATCTGGACAATATTGAATAATAAATACATTATTTTTTCCTTTATGTTAAAATTTGTTTACTGATGCTTATAACTAGAGGTCATTATCTTAACAATCCCAATTTTAATGGGACTTGATGTCACACCCTTAAAGACTGCCTGCATAAATTCACTTAAACAGTGCAATTGTTAATAAGTCCCTATTTAAGGGGGAGTTTTATATAACGTCCCTGCCAAACCCTACACTAGGCTGATACAGGTCTGATCGTGTGAACAAATCCCATATAAAACCCCTTCACCATATGAGCAGTTGCACACAGAAAAATAATCATCTTCAACAACAAATTGTTCTCCACCTAGAAATAATCATTTACAAACTCAATTCGTGATCTTCCTACATTTATTTCTAAAATAGTTATCATGGATCATGGTTATGATCAGTTGATTACTTTTCCAAAAGATTTTGGAAGGAATGGTTTGGTGAGTTAAACATATGTGCAGATGGTTATGATCGTGTCACTTTAAGAAGTTATAATTACTCATATATATGTAATCAAGTCTATGTGCAGATACTTAGCAGTAACCTAACATCAGTTATGAGGCATGTTGGAGTGTAGATCCAGATCGAAGGAGGTGCAAATCGCAGAGTTTTTGCAAATATTCATATCAACAAGAAAGGAAGATGTCAATTGTATGGCAATGCTTTAGAAGAATTTTTCAGAGATATTGGCCTTGGACCTTCAACTATTGTGCATATTGTTTATCACAAAGATGCTAATGTATTGCGTATCTTCCATTTTTATAATGATGGATGCCAGGGTCTAAGCCACGATGTCACTGCCAACATTGGAAATTGTTATCTACTCAGCATAGATCTTAACACTGCATCATGCTGTGTAAGTTGTATATTATTTGACGTTCATTAGTGTTTCCTTTGACTTTTTAACTTCCTTTTCTCTAATGAAACAAAATCTCTATAGGACATTAGCAGACGTTATTTTGGTACAATAGGTTGGCCTTCACATGAGAAAACAGCAAGAGTTATTGATGACAATGGTAATCACTGGCTTTTTCCTATATCTATGGAAGATAACGAACCTTCAGGTTTTCAAGGGAAACAATGGGAAGATTTTTATGACTGGTACTATAATAGGAAGAGGTGTGTACATGTTATACTGATATACACTGGTCATTTATATTTTAAAATGAGAGCTTTCAACAAAGAAGGTTATTGTAGCCACCAGGACATTGTTGATTCAGACAACTTTGAAGGTTTGTTTTTTTTTTATACTTGCACATGTGAAAATACATACATTCAATATGATTATATGTAACATTAAATAGAAACAGAAACCACATTTTTTTTGTATCAGGTGAGATTGAGATAGTTGATTACATTCGTTACAATACTGATCAAAACATTTTCTTTGTCATCATGACTAATGAGTTAATTGATCGTGGTCGACTGGTGAGTACATAGTAACGGTTGTTTCATCATTTTAGTTTATACTTTAGATGCAAATTTATCATCCAATTAATCATTACATGTACAAAATTTTTTAATTAGTCTGTGTTTTGTCATAACTGAAGGAAATACCGTGGTACATAGTCAGAAGATTGGAGATAAAAGAATACGAAAACCTCATTCTATATTATGATCATTGTCCAATCATTAGCATACGACGGTATCATATGCCCCCAATCGTTTTGTTGTGGAAGGAGACATTAGAGCAATCATGTATATGAAGAAAATTTCTGTTGGCATCAAATTGGGTTTCCGTATAAATGCAAGAAAAGTCGCAAACAAGGAAGCATTGATACTGGAAGTTCTCTAATGTCCTTTTTAATTCTAGATGTAGAAAATGGTTTATTTTATTGTTTAAAATGTCATTTGAATGTATGATTTCCTCAGCCTATATGTGTAACATGATACTTATAACTTTTTATTTACTTTTTATTTTATCAAATAACTTAAAGTTTGTCCTTTAATTTCAGATACTTATTAAATGATGCATATGAATGGTATTACTTCACAATTTTTAACATGCTTATTTTATCGATAAATTAATAGTTATATTTTATATCATGATTGGATATAAATCAATAATAAATATAAATAATAACACATTAAAACAAAAATACTACATACCATTTGAAGGCTAACTAGATAATTTCAAAATTTTAGGTAATTATCTAATACCCCATGAGATCAGATTCTTTCCTGATAGATAACTTAGAATATATATATATATATATATATATATATATATATATATATATATTGAAGGCCTACCCTTTCAAGATCTCTGAAATCCTATGTCATTTGTGTTGTTTAACCCTAAGAAATTCAATGAAATTTGTCATTGAACGTAAAAGGGGATAAGAGACCTTTATATATAAAGTCTCATCTAGGGTATATGTGTATGCCATAGCTACATATACATACACAATAAAAATTTAATGGATCAGATTTCAGCAAAAGAAGCAAGAAGGTTGAGGAAGATAAAACTGGATACAAAAAGAGTTAAAATTCGTATCAAACGAGGTGACTTGGGGGATGTCACAGTATTAACACCCATGAAGAATCCAGTCATCAGTGCTAAAAACGCCAGGATGAAAAGGAAGCATATTTTACAGCACAAGACGATGAAAGGATTGCAGAATACTGAGAAGAGTCAATTAATTCAAACTGGATCAAGTATAGTGTCTGTGTTCCCAATTGGTAACCACTTTATTTTCTATATAAGTGTCTTATTAGTTTTTATGCTCTCCAGTTATTTATAAAAACATGTGAAACAAACTAATATGTTTTATATTAGTAGTACGATTGCAATTGTAAAAGCTGGGTTGTGTGCTATATAGTCATAATCTGTGCTTTGGCAATAACATCTCAATCCATTATTTTTTATCTATTGAGTAGGAATCGTTCGCAGCCATAAAGAGATGCAACTCCCGTTAAGGGTTGTTAACAATGCCAGATTTAAAAGGAAGCAAATACTAGACATGAAAAGGGGAAAAATCTTTTCAAGATTTCAAATGCAGGGAACCCAGTCAGTTACTTCTGGTGGTGTTGTTATAAATAATTTAGGACAGATTAATACAAATGTTTTGATGCAGGAGGGAGCCTTAAGTAATTTGTCTAGCATTAACAGCAATTCAATGGCTTTTTATATGTCGCAATCAAATGTACGGAGTATGAAAAGTCCTGGTACTTAATTTTCTATCCATTTTATGTTTTTAATTATCTGCATGACATCACATAACGATCTTTTGTATATAGTTGTATTCATTATATAATTATAGACACTTATCCAGTGAACAAAAGAAAGAAGTCATCCGCACATCTTCAAAACATATCAGGTAAGCACCAATGTTCAAGACAAATTATTTATGCCAGTGTTCCATGTATTGTCAATTACGACAAAGTACTATTAATATTTGAAAAATCATATAGCTTAAATATATATTTATAATATAAAATATTATCTCGAATATTTTGTAACTATATAATACTTTCACATGTTCTGTTGACACAACTTCCGCAAGTGGTTCATCGTCAGCAGATACCATGCGAGATGCTCAGAAAACCACAACAAGAAAATCACAAAGTATTTTGGTTCCTGGAAAATACAAAGTCAGTCGCAAAAAATCCAGCCTTATAAATGCATGTATTATTTTTCATGATTTTCTTGACTATTCAACAATACGTCAGTTTACAAAACTTTTGAATTCAGTCCAATAATACAAATTTAATTATTATTGTAGAGTATGATGATCTTGGAGATCCATATTATGTATGCGAATATTGTGGAGCTAATATGTGGTATGATGAGAGGTCAGTCAAATCCAAGAGATCAGCACAACCCAGGTTTTCAATTTGTTGCAAGAAAGGGAAAATACATCTACCTTTACTAATAGAACCACCAATGAAACTTAAAGACTTATTCATGTCTAATGATGACAAGAGTAAACATTTTTTAGAGAATATCCGGGCATATAATAATATGTTTGCCTTCACTTCAATGGGTGGCAATATTGTGCAATCAGTTAATGATGGTCGTGCACCTTATGTATTCAAGATGCAAGGGCATAACAATCACTTGATTGGCAGTCTT